AGCAGTGCATTTTACTGGCAATCAGTGACGCCAATTTAGGAGCCTTCCGAGTTGTCTAGCGGAAGAAATTGCCATTTTGCGGTTGGCAGAATAGTTAGGGGTTTTTCCAGTTGTCTAGTGTAAAAAATGGCATGGGAAAAATTGCCATTTTGCAATTGGCAATATCTTTTTAGCGGTTTTCAAGTCATATTAGTGTACTTTCTGGCAGTTTCAAATATTTTCCAGTTTACATTTATCAATCATTAATAGTCTAATTTCTGTGGTAATCATGGCGCTGCTATTTTTGCTCATACTTTCAACAAAATTGTCAGTGAAAATAACGCTTATGATGTTATCTAGATATTATGGGCAAAAACATTGAGAGATGGTGTTAAAGCTGTCATTCTTGGCCTGCACCTTAAATTTAGAAGTTTTTTTTCCCAATTTTTTAGACTCCTTTAACATTTTTTTTTTTTTATTTTTTTTAAAATGGCAACCCTGGTAGCAATTCTAGTTACTCAAGTGAAATGGAAAAGAAATTAGAGCAGAGCAATTTAGGTATTGATGCAAGTTATATGGAAAGAAAGAGAAATGTAATACAAATAATTCCAAGACTAATGTATGCAGACGACATAGTACTCGTGGTAGATAACCGCAACACATTACAGGAACTAAGTGGAATATGTGGAGAGGAAAGAGACCTCTTGGGCCCGAGTTTTATGTAGTGACAAGTCTGGAGTAATGGTGTTCAACAAAAAAAGGGAGGAACCCCTGAAAATACAAGACAGTGAAATAGACAATGCATAAAAGTACAAATATCTGGGAGAATGGCTCTATGAGGGAAGGAAATGCCCAGAGGAACATGAAGAAAATATAATTAGAAAAGAGAAAATAAATGCAGATATTATTATGAAACTCAAGACATTATGGAATTATAATAGATATGAAGTGGTCAGGGCTATATGGAAAGGAGTGATGGTATCAAGACTGCCCCTTGACAATGGGGTGCTGTGCACAAGATCAGAGGTTCAACCAGGATTGGAAATTCGACAAAGGAACTTGGGCAAGTGAACAATGGGAACACACAGAAACAAACCAAATGAGGGAGCACAGGGAGACATAGGCTGGTCATCCTTTGAGAGCAGAGATGCAATCAGCAAAAATTCAAATTTACAGAAAGGTTAACTGAAATGGATGATGCCTGGTGGGCACAAAAAGCATTCCAGTATTTATACACGAAAAGTTAAAAGACCAAATGGACAGACCGAACACGAAAGCAGACATTTATATACTTGCAGACTATAGTGATTGGGCTGAGCAGACAAGTTTAGTCAAAAAGTGCCGTTTTTCCTTATAAACCCCTATCAACGTGACCAAATGTCCATTCCAATAGAGAAAAAAAAAAAGCTTTAACAATGTTCAGGTCACAAAAACAGGCCATAAAAAAGGAAAAGGCATTTGATAATTTATGTGGAAGTTCTTAGCTGTTCGAGGCGGGAACGGGAGGGTTAAGGACAAAGACGGACGAGGCTAAATTTCAGGAGATAGACACAATATGTGCCGTATGCCATAGTGAGAGTGAGGCGTTAGAACATTTGGTATAGAAGTGCACGTCCTTCCTGAACGGTTAACGGGTCTGGCGGGGACACTGGGTTCTGGTGGTGAGGAAGAAAGAAGGTCGTCGTGGAAATATCCCACAGCGCCTGGTGATGGTTAGAAAATTGCGGAGGGGGAGCAAATTGGCTTAGAAGGGCGAGGGGATGAATAAGACTTGGTTTCTAGGCTAAATGGCACAAGCTACTGCCCGTTATAAAGGGTACAGCCATTAGCATCCATCCATCCATCCAGTACTGCAGCTCCAATGATGACGCATAATCTCTGTTTGCAACCAAGGACCTCAAATATAATTAAAACAAAGACGAAGCCATGCCTAGTCTTTGTGAGGTAAAAGTCCGGACTTGGACATGCATTCGATGCAGTTTTCCTCGCTTTGGATGCATGTGCACACTGAATGAAGCCATGCCCACAAGACACTGAAGCAATAATGAAGGTAAGAAGCTCGCGCTGGAGACAGGACAACTGAAGCTCCTTCCAGTCATTCTTATTGTGTCAGTGGCCATGGCGGAGCTAGCGGCTTGTCGGGTTCGCGAGATGAAATTGACTCCTGTACCGATTGTAATAGGTGAGCAAACGGAGCTTGAGCATTGGGGTGTTTAACCTCCCTGGGGTCCAATTTCAGTCAAGGTGAGAGTGAGAGCATTCTCGGCTGCCAATTGGACATGGCACTACGGCTTACGAGTGACAAACCAATGAGGCACTTTTGAGCCCCTCACGAATTCGCAGACAGCAAAAATTTTGGTGAAAATGTCTCGCCATTGTACAAATGAAGAAGTGCTTGTTCTTAGTGCTTTTTCATTCCCCGGTTGATTTCGGCTGTTGCACTGCGGCTGAACAACTTAAAGGGGTCATGAAACGCTTTTCCAACTTTTTCCTGTTTAGCTTTCCTCCTCAACCTATAAATCACGCATTCTACCAAACACTTCAAGAAGACGAAAAGAGGGGAGGCCCCTCTTGCTCGGAATCTCGTTTGTATAACCGGACAGAGCCAGTGTCCCCCTAGAAGGTTAGCCCGTTGCTCAAAATTCACGCAAAAGTTGCTTTCCCCACCTCGTTCACCCCGAAGCTGAGAGTGCTGTGGAAGCTACGGGCTCGTTGGGCCAGCCACACTTTTGCCGCATGATCACGCTTTCTCGCGCATACCCACGTGCAGAGAATGAGGCCAGGTGATAAAAGGGAGGCGGCTGATTAGTCGGGCAAGCTTGTAGCTTCCACCACAATGTCAGCTAAAAGTTGAAGGGAATAAGGGAGGTCCGGTATCGAGTGACGTGCGTTTGGACCCGGACACACGCTTTGGGAACCAAGATGTATCACAGTGAAAAGGCAGAGAGAGAGCTTACGAAGGGGAGGAGGTACGAAATAGTCCGCTGCGTTTTCAGATTTTCACACTGAAAGTCAGGCTATTGACCGTCCACCTTTTTTTCTTTTGGCCCACTGAATGATGTGCTATTAGTAAAATCCCAATCCAGAGTGATTTACACCAGCCCAAAATTTGTTTCATAGGCCCTTTAATCTGCAACCGGAGCGTGAGTTGTCAATGGATTCCGATGTAAAATAGCAGTCAATTGCAACTTCAGCCTGCGTTCGAGCTCAACTTTGCCGTGGCGCTCGGTTCATGGCAGACGATTTACATTTCTTCCGGTCTGTTAGCAGACGACGCACGGCGACGTCTGCAAATGGTGCATCGTAGCAGACAAACTGCGTTCTTTGCTCGTGTTAGCAGAATCAGATTTTAGATGTACGTCTAAGAACGCCATCTTTGCTCGCTCCGCGAGAGGCAAATTTAGATATTGCTCTCGTGGTAACCAAAACCGGACCTCGCCTCATTCTTTGACTTTCTTGTCGCCTAATGTCAAAACTGTTCACTAACCGTTTTGGATATATCTTTCTTTCCTCAGGCGATTCACAATTGGAACAAACTCTCAAACAATACTGTCATTTCACCATCTTTTGATCAGTTGGCTATGGCAGTTAGCTTGCATTTTTTTATAAATTGTTGTTTGGTTTAACTAGCATTTTGTAAACTTATACTGCAACCACTCCTACTATAGCTCCTTGAGTGGAGCCAGTAGTGTTCTAAATAAATAAATCTCACTGGCTCTTGAGCGGTAACCAAATGCTTGGGATCCACCACGCCCCCTGTTTCCCAAGCTGTCACTTCATTATGGTCTATAAAATTCCTCGGAGTGTCCCGGTTGACTCCTCCCAGGTAAAGTCACACTGACAGCTGGTTTGGATTGTACGCTCACACTTCTCGCTTCATGGAGTGGCCCCACGAAACTCGCTGCCACGCCCACCATCTTTTAGGCTGTCGGCGACGGCGGTCCATAAAACCCCCTTCTAAGTACTCCGGCTAGCTCCGGTCTGCGTGACCTTAGCTGACACCATCAGATAGTTGCAATTTTCACAGTTCTAAAAAAAAAAAAAAAAAAATCGAGCTTACGCGCTTGAGAAAACGCGCAGATTGAGGTAAGCACACCAAGGACTACAAGTGATGATAAAAAGAAAACGAACAAAAAGAAACGCTTATGAAACGGCAACAAACACATGACCTTTCTCCTATATGGAACGCAGTTCGTACGCCCCTCACCGAATGTTACCAAACAACACGCTCCGAGTCGAAAGAAAGAAAACAACAACGAATAACTATATAAAACCGAGAAGAAATCGTGACTCTTTAATTTCGCGCCTGATAGCAGACCAAACGTAAAAAAAAAAAAAAAATAGAAAACAAGAAATAAAAAGCACGAAGTGGAAGGCCGATTCAACCCGCCGCGTGCTGGTTGGTATCAACGACCCAAAGCTGCCAAAGCGCCTGCAGCATGCAGCGCGTCGACAACACAGCGTTGTTGCATCGACCCTATGGCAGCACGCATCCGGCCGCGAAATGTGACCTAATCCGAGCGACCGACAGAATACAACTCCCCACAAAAGGAAATAAAAAAAATAAATAAAAAAATGAACGAGCAAAAGGAAAATACAGAGACGGAAATCACGGGGGTCCGGTCGACCGCAAGCGGTTTCGACGAGGAACAGAGCTCGGCCACTCGGCGCAGTGGCTCGAGCGTTCCGACAATATTTCAGGACTGCCTTCCTCGAGTTAAAAGGCGACTTCGTCAAATGCAGCGGTCGAACCGCACTAAAAAAAAAAAAAAAAAAATATGCGTGTATCTTTGACGTTGTCGGTGAAAGATGATGGTGTTCGTGGGGGACTTTTACACGACAGAAAACACGAGCGGGTAGTGAGCGTCACTGCAGACAAACGTCTGCTATCCGACCTGCGACGCCACGCTTGCGGCGTTGTCGATATATCTGCGTCGTTAATCAAATTCGGGACCTAATCAAGTTCGAAGGAGAGAGCGCAAGATATATCAGGTAAAAAAAAAGAAGGGAGAGAGACTTGCATCTGATGCTGGGAAGTCGTAGCACTCGGCGATCTTCAGGTAAAGTTCCTTGATGTTCGAGAAACCTGAAATGATGCCCGTCGGACTGCCTTGCGCTTGCTGGCAGTGGAACACCAATTTGGGTTTGGGCACGTTTTTGGAGTGGGGATCCGTCGCGGTGCCGTTCCCGCCGCCGGCAGGCGACGCCGGCGAACCGCCGTTGGCCGTGGGCGAATGCCCGGCTGAAACACCGTCTGTGTCACCATCCACCAAGGTCTGCGACGTCGAGTCGGAGTCCCGTTTCTTCTTACCGAAGAGCGGCATGGTTCACCACGTAGGTCACGTCACTTGATCGGCCAGCTTCCGTGACGACGACGGCCCGAAAAAATATAAAAAGAAAGATTGTCACCCGCGGTGTTGGCCGACAGACCAACCGACTAAGCGTCCTTATCTAATCAATCGCCATGTCCCGCGTAGGACTCGACCACTACGCGAGATGTTCACAGCACTGCATCTGGAGCCTTTCGCACACCACGCGCGGGCACACGCGAAAAGAATGCGGCAAAATAAATTGGAATTCCCGAGCACTCCGCAGCCGCAGCTTTACCACCGTCCAAAAAAACACCTCCGGCAGAACGCACGACACGCACGCGCAGTGGGGATTGACGTTGCACAGGTAACGCTTTTTTGGCAACGCTCGCTTCTGATTGGTCGAAGTGGACAGGTAGCCTCCTGGTGGCGCAGGAATTGCGGGGGGGTCGGGGGTGGGGGGTTGTGCCGCGATGACAGCGCAACTGGCGCTACGGCGCTACTTCGTACCCTTCGTACCATACCCACCATACCGAGAGGTTCTAGAATGGGTACACGGGTACACTGTAGAAAAGTTAAATGTCGTGCCCTCGAATGATTTGATCGAACTGCGTAGACGTTTAATGCGCTGGTAACGTCTGGCAGATTAGCAAAGATTAACCTTTGGAGTAACCGCCGCCACGACCGCCTGCAAGATCTTTTGCCCTGCATATTTAAAGGTTTCGTACACGCTTGTTTTGGTTCATATTTTCGCCTACATATAACTCTGGCGTCACCACTATACATATTTATCATCATCATCATTTTTAAAAAAACATTTTTTTTAAATGTTTTATTAGGCAAGTAAAAACAATATACGTTTCATAATTGTAAAATGTAGAATGTCTTTAAATTTAAACTTAGGTTCTAGGACAAATTTGTCTTAGAATTTTGGTGGTCGGCTGTCAACCACGACATTGACGTCATCAACGCGTGGAAAACGTGACGTCACGATTGTCGTATGAATGGGCAGACGACAACAGAAACAAGCAAAAGGAACGCACCCACCTCCTGCTTGCACCGCGCTCTCGGCTCTCTCGGCGAAAAAAACATCTGTGAGTATGCCAAGTATGCTTCCGCCGTTTTTTTCTGCGCTGGGAAGCGACAAAGAACGAGCTTGATTCGTCCTTAGCCCGATGAAGACCCTGAATTTTCCCCAAGCGTGTAGTTTCCATCTGTAAACACACACCGTACCGATCGCCGCTGTGCCGTACGGTTTTTGAGCCGTTGAGCATTCCACGGTCTTCAACCTGTGAGTAGATACATACTCGGGGACATTATTTATGCCCTTTTGTTAGCTACGCGGACCACAGCAGACGCGATACCCAGTAATTATCGGTCTGGTGGATTTCGAGAAACGCCAGAATACTGATTTGATTTCCCTTCTGTAAGCGCGGCGGACGCATGGACTCTACCCGATTAACGTAAACACCGAACTCGTGAACTTTATGGTGGTCTAGCGCGGTCCACCGCTTGAGAAGCTGACTATGAGGTTAATCGCTACACTGTTCTGTTAAAATTGTGACCCCTGTGTATACGTATGCCTTATTTTGTCGGGTCTTCACCTGCCTCCGTATTTACACAACGGGTGTACCATATGAACAAAAGATAAAATGATCGGATTGGTTGTAAAATAAGGCGATTTTAAGTTGTTTGAACCCCCAAGCATCACATTATCTTAAATCGCAGTGCAAAGCTCGATTAAGTTAAAAATAAAAAAAAATATATATATATATATATTTTTGTTTTTATAACATTTTTGTTGTTTGTATTCTTTTATGTAATATTTCCGTTATTTTGCTCTCCCCGTCTGCTATGCCCTCCCAGGTACCTGTTGTGCAAATAAATCACAAATAATTACTACCCAATTACATTGATTTGAACCTGTAGCCTAATTGGTAGATTCAAAGCCTCCCAGGATCAAATAATTACGAGGACCATAACTTGCCTTAAACAAATTCGATTTACGCGTCACTTTAATCACCACCCGAAATCGCAGGCCTGACATTTTGACTGGCAAATGTTCGCTCAGCCACGAAAGGAAATGCTCCATGGTGATTGAGAGCGCTGTTGAAATTATTAAAAAAGGCGAGCAATTTACTATTAACAGCCACCAATTGTGGAGAGGTACTTGCTGTGGCACAACATGAGCAGTGCACAAACCTCGCAAAGAATGAGCAGTATACAACTGGCACTTGTCGCTTAGCGTGCTTAGCATGCTTTTTTCTCGACACTGAAAGCGCACGCATGTTTTACAAAGCAGCCAGCCACATATGTTCGTTGCGATTAGTGTCAGCAAAATTTCATTTGCAGTGCATAGCTCGGTCTATTTTGGCAGCAGTCGGTGCTTTCCCTTTTCCGGAGTTGTTTTAGTTCATTTGAAAAACCTTGCAGACAACTTACTATAACTTGTATTTGCCTCAAGAACCGCAGCAAAAAGAGTCCGACTCTGCGCAGGGCATTGTTAGTTTTCCCCTTTATGTGGAGAATTCGGATACATGTAGTAGGTGCATTTTTTTTTTTAGATTAGTAGATAAATGTTATCCTATCAAGACCTACAAGTTTCAAAGGTAAAAGGAGTCTCTTCTTCCTCCGACAAGCAATTCTTGTAAGAACTACTTCCCAAGTCGTATCTATGATCAATGTGCAAATCTTGCTTTTATTTTTTCTTAGGAAAGTAGCTCTCAAATTACTTTTTCTTCTGACTTCAATTTTCTGCAAGTGAGATTAGTTGTTGTGGATAGGAGCTGTTTGATTAAAAGGTTTTCTCCGAAAACTCCCACAGCTAAGGCCTACAAGGCGTGCAGTAATTTAGGGAAACATTATTTGTGTGCTTCAATTCTCCTGGATAGAAATAATAATAATAATAATTATTATTATTATTGTTATTATTATTATTCACAAGTTTTATAACTCTTTCTTTGTAAATCAAATCTAAAAAAAACAAACAAAAAAACTTTTATGGAAAGGGTGTAAAAAAAAATTCACAGGTTTTTTTTTACTGCAAAAATAAACAACATCGCCGAACGCTCATTCTCCGCCCAAAGGTAGCACTAGAGGTCACAACCAGATGCCAAAGTTTCAGCCCAATCCAATACCTTATTCAAAAGTTATAAGTAGGGTTCGGAGTTTTCGGTTTAAATTGATAAAAACCGATAAAAGTATGCCGAATTCATTTTCGGAAATTCGGTTTTAACCGAAAAAGGTCAGTTTTTAGGCTCGGCATTTTCAATTTAAACTGATAAAAGTATGTCGAATTCATTTTCTAAAATTTAGTTTTAACCGGTAAATGTCAGTTTGACTATCCAGTCATACCACAGAGCCGTGGCAAAAAAGTGGAGCAGTGTCTATCAAAACACGTCCGAATGTATAGGATACACGGATGCCAACACGTCGTTTTCGCTTAATGTGCGCATCATCGATCGGAACGTGAAGTCTGAAATGCTCCATGACTTCGCCACGTACAAGCGTGTTTTGAAACTCATTGTAAGGAAGACTGATTCGATGCAAGCTCTGCATCTTGTGTTGTGCTTCAAAACGTTGCACCGTGTCTCTTTTGGCAGTCACAATTGGTTGATTGGTTGATTTTGGCTCAGGCAGCACTTCATCTCCTCAGCCTGCCAGTGTCCAGTGTTAGCGTTGAGAGGGCATTTTCGAAGCTCAGTGTCATATTAACAGGAAAGAAGTAGTGCGGATCAATGAAGAGAACCTGGGAAAGTACATGTGTGTGTACTATAATAGGATCACATAATCCTTATATACAGAAGGTAAAGTTCCATGTTTCTTGGGCATAGGCTTCATATCTGACTTGTTTGTACTTCTGCATTTTTCTTGTTTGTTTTACAGTTGCACTTTGCCAAATGAAATGTAAATTTTTTTTTTTCAATGTATCTGTGCCGTTATTTTTTGAGTGATCACAATTATCAGAGCTACAAGGATCGTCTGATCCAGTGTCCCTTTGTGTTTATTTTAAATTCACCGAAAAAAAGCCGATAAACTTTTGTGGGCATAAATATACGCCGAAAAAAAACGAAAATTGAATTTTAAAATAAACACCGAAAAAAGTATGCCAAATTTTGAAAAAATAGAAACCGAAAACGCGGAACCCTAGTTATAAATGATTTTCTGCAAAAGTTCAATAGCAAAATGGCAGCCGACACAGTTTTCGAATACATGGGGCTCTATGGCACCAGAAACCGGAAGCGGGCAAAAATGGGCTCCATTTTCCCATTGAACTTTCCAGAAAATCACTTATAACTTTTGAATAAGGTGTCGGATCAGGCTGAAACTTTGGCATCTGGTTGTGACCTCTAGGGCTATTTTTGGGCGGAGAATGAGCGTTCAGCGATGTCTAGTTTATCTTTGCGTTAAAAAATACCCTGTAAATTTGTTTTTGTGACACCCTGTATATGTATTGCCAGCCATTGTTTTAATGTTTGGCTAAGTCATGACACCATTTCAAAAGCCCGAACATTATGGCCTTAAATTGTAACATTTTAATTTCTACTATGACGTTTTTGCTTTTTTTGGGACACTTTTCTCCGAATAGATATTACATATGCAATTCGGTAGTTTCCGGGAAAAACTACTTTCTGTGCACTACTTAAAGTGATTAAGAGAAGGAACCATTAAAGTCGGCTGAAAATCTTTGTGGTTACGCTTTGGGGAATCCAATTTTGAAAATTAAAGTTTGTCAGATAAATTTTTCCTCACCATGATCACCCTAACAAAGTTTGCATTCCTTTCACTGAACCTTGTTGGAATGCTCTCCTCTTCTGCCACTACGGACTGAAATGAGTTGGCAAGTAAAATAGCTCTAACCATTAATCATGATAATTTCTTGTCACTTCTGCATAACTCACAACTCCTCGCCGCTTGTAAGCATGTTTATCTCTCGCTTAGCAGCAGCATTTGTGATTTTTTTTGTACATTTTCCAAATATGTATGCATTTGTGTGTGCAAATTCACACACATTCGAATGTGTGTGAATTCATCTTTTGGTACTTACTTTGGAGGGATCCTTTTTTTGTGTATTGATAGATTTTATATAGTTATACAAATGAATCTTTCAATACCCCCTTTTATGAAGTGCCCAACCTGAGCATGTGGTGGTATTTAAATAAGTAAATATATAGATATAGACTTATGTAATGTGTGTGTGTGTGTCAGAGTCAATTTTTTTTTTTTTTCTACAGTTTGAGAAGAAAAGCTAGAATGGAGGTGTCATCGCTGGAGGACATTGAACGAGAGAGTCCGGACGAGGATGCACCCTTGGAGCGATGGGCTCCTGTCGGCTCCAGCGAGATCGATGACGCCTGGGACGATCACGACACCTGGTGACCACCTTTTCCTTTTGTTGACGTCGTGCTTGTGATGCCGAGGAGAGTGCGGGTTATTTCTGGCGAGAGCCCCACCGGTTCCCCCAAAGCGAGCCAAAGGACGGATGTATAGATGAATGCATGCAGCTCAACCCTTTTTGGCGGCAGCTTGTGCCGCCTAGTGGGCAGCGAGGAAACTGTGCTCCCGCTGCATGGTGGTGGGAATTTATACCATAAATTTATATGTTCATATCTGTCTGTCAGAGATGGGTTAAGAATGTGTTAGTAGCATGTGCCAAAGGGCTATCAGAGCAGCAAGCTGGCGCTGGATGCGGGGCATCTACCATAACCTCTTGGCAGCTTTAATGAAACCACCAGGGCTTCTCTTTTCAAAACTTGTTTTTCTTTGAGCTGCCTCAAGGCAAGACTTATAGAAGGTACTCAAAAAAAGTATTTTGCATAAAAATATTTAAAAGTGTAAAGTTACAAATTGTTATAAAAATCGAAGCCACACAACTGTTCGAAAATAAAAAAAAATAGAAAAAATGCCTTTACCGCCCCCCCCTTTTCTCCCAGGGGTGCCATGTGTCGGGGGATTAGCTTGGGTGGAATGAAAAAAACGCCTGTAGGAAGGGGAGGGGACAAGCTTCTTTGTGCTAACTTGGGGGCGAAAGATAAGCCACCACGGACACTGAAGCAATGTCTCAGGATCTGAATCTAGGTCACCATTGCTTAGTGGACTTCACAGGATTTAGAGTCCTTATTTAAAGAAATATTTTGAAGCTCCCGAAGCTGCAGTGGGAGCTCTCTGGGCTTCTGCTGCAAAACTAAGGAACTGAAGTTCATTTTTTTTTTCTCGACCTCCTTCTAAAAAAAGGCGGAAGCAACTTACAAGTAACTTCAGAAGTGAATACAAGTTGCTTGTGTAAAGATTTTTAAGTTAGAGTATGTAGTATTGGCATTTGAAAATATTTGCAATAGACCAAGTTACTCCCAAAAGTACTTAACATGATAGTAACTTGAGAAGAGTATTTAAGTTACGTACAAGTCTGCTCGAGACTAGCTCTTTAAGCATTTAGCAGAGCCAGGCACCGACAGAGCGCCAATCTTTAGATCTTGAAAGTAACTGCGTCTTTTGAACGCATCCATATTTCATACTTATCGTATCGGATAAAATCTGATTTCTGCTTTTGTCTAATTTGGACTGGCAGGTCGAGAAACAAATTTGTTACTCTATTTTATTTTTAAATGTGTTTTTATTGTTTTGGTGCAAGCTGTCTTTGCTTTGGACCGGACCACACTAGTTTTGTGAGGCCACGGCACAGTTTCCGCCATGCTCTTTCGTTCCATTCATTCGCTTGTTATGTCCATTTTCTTCCCTCTTACGTAAGAGGGGAAGTGTCTTCTTACACGCTTCCAATGACGCACTGCTGTTGATGAGCACTCCTCTTGCAATGATATCGGGCCGTAGGCACGTGGTTTCATTTCCCCAGCGTGCACAATGTATGCGACAACGTAAAACTGAGGCGCAGCGACGACTCCGTTTGCGGGAATCTGCCGACACTGGGGAGGAAAGATTGGCTGTTCGAAAAAAAAATGGTATGCGGACCGTAAGTGGTGATCGAGGAAAGCTGTGGTGGCGGCATCTGAAACTGACGATGCTCGGAAGACTGGACTGGCTCTGCGAAGACAAAAAAAAAAAAACCCGCGCTAAATGCTAACGCATTTCGTCGAGAGTCAGCGTAGCCAAACAGCAATTTTCTTTCAAGAAGAATGAGAGATGGTTAACACAGTGAAGTCCTTAGTTTTTTTGACAAAAATACTGTTTACTATGCCTAAAATCCTGGCGCATTTTTTAAGCGCCTGAAATAGCAAAATTTAATTCCATACAAGAATTTTACACCGGGACTAGCAGGCCGGAAAAGTTAATCGAACCTCACTAGTTTCAAAGCTTTGTATTCAGTGACTTACTCGTAGAAGAAGTGGACATACTTGACAGAAAGAGTGTTGCAGCAGTTGTATGGCTTGTAAAAGGATGAAAGTGATTCTGCTGCCGCGTGTTCGTTTAGACGTTGGGAAGTTAGTCGGCTCCACTGGACGTTTGGAGTCTCAGCTGTAGATGCAGAATTTAGCCAGTGCGGTATTTCTGCTAGCCTGAGGTCTTTAAAGGGACACTGACAGGGTATTTGTGCTCGCCAAGGTTTTTATTTGTACATGGCATATGAGAGCCCAACCACCCAGAACACAATTTGCAGTTCGAAATTGGTTTTCTTTTTGCCCAAAAACCGTCGATCGAGAACTGGCCAATTTAAGTCACGCTCACTCTCTTCTTTGTGCTCGTGTGCCCTTTTCTATGGTTTGAACACAACCTCCAAAGATAGCAAAGTCGTGGGTCATCGAAGGCACACACTCAATATTAAAAATAGAAACAAAATATTATACCTATCTTTTGTGGCTTCTAAAAAACTGCAAACACGTTAATTGAAAAAAAGAAATAATAAGTTGCACAGCCACGTGATTTTTGGCAACACTCTCACGCTCTATATTTCTTCTTCCTCCCCAGTCCAGTTTAGGTTTCAAGCAGTTGCGTTTTTTTACCTTATTGAAAATACATGTGACGCTGTGGAAAACTAAATTTTAGAAAGGGCAGTGTCCCTTTAACATGCATCGTGCAGAAGTGATAGACGACTACACGCCGGTACGATACCCCTCCAGATGGAAACGAGCAGGGGTGTTGATCGAGCCCAAAATCCCTGGGTTCTGCAGTGCAAGCTTTTTCTTCACGTGCTCTGAGCTACTGTGCAATGGCATACTTGGCCACCAATCTCTTATTGAAGATTGGGGTTGGCAGTGTTTATCTGTCCGAGCAGTCTGTTGACCGAATCTGTGGTGCTCTTTCTTTTCGCAGCAGCCTGTCGGAGTTTGAGCGCCTGCGCCATCTGGAGGAGGAGCAGGAGCAGCTCAACTCTTCGCTGGTCGCCCTCACCACCCACTTTGCTCAGGTCCAATTCCGGCTCAAGCAGATTGTCAATGCCTCCCAAGAAGAGAAGGAGGCAAGTTCTCGGTGCCTTCAAATTCCCCGTTGCGTCCACTCACACCAGGATAACCCGTAAGATGCGGTTAAAAAAGAAAATGAAAACGCTCGTCAGGTGGCGCAAGTTGCCAACCGGCTAAGGGGGTTCAGCCATATACGTCCATTTATTTATTTATTCTGTAAGTTTTCAGACTTCAATTCGAGCTTTGACCGGCAAAATCCCTTCCGATCACGACGTTGAAGCAGTAAAATACTTCAGAAGGCTACAAAGCTTGTAAACAATGATGCACGTAGTAGTGTTTAAAGGAGCAATGCAACAATTTTTGTACTTTGCACAAATACCGCGTAAAACAGATCCCTAACGTTAATGACCTATGAAACACGCGTTCGTTTTTCACCTCACGCAATAGAAGTCCCAGAAAAAAATTTAAGAAAAACGAGCAGCATTCACCCCCTCAACTCGCAGCCAGAACAAGCGGCCACGTGATCTGGAGCCGATTATATGCCGCCAATGTTGATCACAGCCACGCGCTGGGGTTGGCAAAGCGCAGGACACGCGCTGAGTTCCAGACATTGTTATGGCTCGGCTATTGTCGCCGTTGCAGCGATTGGACACGGGTTACAACCCGAATGCTCCTCGAGATAGCAATTGTCACGAGCCCAAGTCGAGTGCCCACGCAATGCTCGGGTCCAATCTATGAGCCGCATTCAAATATCGTCACTTGGGTGTACTGCGATCCCCGAGTTACGTCATCGAATTTTGCGAAGGAGAGATTGAATGAAAATGATCGCTTTTGTCCTTGAAATTACACCGCAACAAAGAAGTTTCTTGGCCAGTGGCGTTGCGTGTGAGTATCCTTGAGTCCCAGGTGTGCCAGTAAGCTCCTGTAGAGAGAAAAACATTCCAATTGAATATCGTTGCACAGCTCCTTTAAACTGAAACTAGTGGTTAAACTGGAACAACGCTTTGCTAAGGGGAGGAACGGCCAAGGAAATTCGGCAACTTTGAGAACTTATGGTCTAGTTGTAGAAGTTTGGTATGTGTAATTTGCTCTTGCCTTCCAGGTGCTCTTGAAAGAGCTCGAGGAGTTTGCCTTTCGTGGGATCCCAGACCTGCGTTCTTATCAGACCGGCGTGGGAATCTTGCTCTCCGAGGTAGGCGCACATTCGTAATCTACAGAATGCAAGCTGAACTGCGATGGCGTCGGGGAGTGTCGTGAATCTTTTTGCATAACTTTTTGAACTTTTTATGCGGCCAGATGGGTTTTAACTAGGGTTTCCTGTATTCAGTACGTATTGACAAACCCCAAGAATTAATCCCCCACCAGTTTGATCAAAATCGAGGAAAGCCGGAAAACCCCCCCAGTTCTGAATGAGAAATTTATTTATTTAGTGCATACTGCAAACCTTAAGAATTCAAACAAAGTGGGCAAAAAAAAAAAGGAAAAAAAAACAAAACAAAAAAAACGCTACATGAAACAATGGTTGCACAAAAACAAGAAAACAAAGGGGGGAAAACTGCTGCACAGAAAGATAAGACATACAAAATACACATATATCAAAATCTAGTAAATCACAAAGCTATAACAATAGCCTATCAAAATATACAATGACAAAGATTACAGTGAAACTGCAAAGCTGAGAGGTCCATCAAAATATACATTCACAAAAAAGATTACAGTGAAACTACAAAGCTGCGAGGGTCACTGGGATAGATAAAAAGATTCCAATGATGATGCAAAATCAGATGATGAAAGCAGCTCCAGGGGCAATGAATTCCACTTATTTATTGTCCTTGTGAAATATGAAAACTTAAATGTATTATTATGTGCGAAATATGGCATTAAAGAGTAGCGGTGATTTTGTCTTGTTTGCCCAGTTGAAAGTGGACTAACCTTAGAACAGGAAATTAGAGAAACCTTAGAATTGACAAGTTGGTGTAAAAGCTTTAACCGGGCAATCTTACGTTGGTGTTGGAGAGTAGGTATATTGCTTGTCTGCATTAGTAATGATGGGGAATCGGAGCGTTTGAATTTACCATAAACAAAGTGAAATAATCTGAACTTTTTAGAAAGAAATCTTTAACCACAACTTTATTCTGCGTTGATCCAGTGTCATTCACTGTCGTTTAAAGATTGGCCCCGTCGGGACAAGTTAAAGAATACGAGCGTTCAACCTTGTGTCATTTGTCTCACCTACTGCGCAAACTTTCTACCTTCGACGACACTTTAGCTTCTCATGAGCTCCAAACGTGCACGCGCAGCCTAGACTGGGTGAAAGGCAAGGTGCACATGCTGGAGGCTGGGCGTCGGAAATAGACGCCGATGCATTGGTTGCTGGCTCAACTTTGTGGGCCGATTCGGCCTCGATTGTGCTGATGGACTCGGCAAATTTCTGGGACGAATGCGAGCGGCATTGGACCCCGCAGTTATCTTTGGTCGGCCGGACGTGGCGACGTTTCCATTCCTTGTTTCAGACCGAACAAGAACAGGAAGAGAAACTAGAGCAGCAACGGCAGAAACAGAAGGAGCTCATCGAGCAGCTGAAAGAGCAGTTGGAGGACCTCGAGAAGTACGCCTTTGAGGCAAGTACTTGCTCAAAGAATCTCTCAAGCTGAAGTGCTAATTGTGTTGTGTGTACAATTAGCCTATGGGGAAGTTGGTCGTTCCTGACGGCTGTCCAGTCTCCCTGCCGTAGATGAGAAATTTAGCTGGCGCGGTACCGCCGCCGACCCGGGGTCCTTAACGTGCATCGTGCAGTGGCAGTTACACGACCGCACTCCGGTATGATATGCTCGTTCAGATTGAAACAAGCAGTGGTGGGGATCGAACCCGTGGATCCCCGGGTCCTGCAGCTCGAGCTTTCGCTCCACGAGCTCGAGCTGCAGTGGGCGAACACGCTCGGCCATTGATCCCACACGTGTCGGGCTGCTCCGCCCTCTTCTAAATGCGATGAGAGCGACGCGGAGAATGTCGGCCAAACGTTTCGGTTCTTGTTGCAGACGGGCGAAGCGGGCATGCCGTCGAGCATGGTCCTGGAGCGTCAGACGGTCATCATCGAGCACCTCAAGGAAAAGCTACCGCTGAACCTTGACGAGCTAGACCTGCTCGATCCGGACGATCTCCGGAAACAGATTGACCAGGCTGTGAGAGAGGTGGGACTTCTTTGTGTCCATCTCTCCTCTGTCGGCGCCTTGCATAGCTTGTTGTTTTTTCTTTGTCGGTCGCGGATGATAACTTGCGTATGGTGACGACCGGTGGAAGAAACAGTGCCAGGGTTAGAGGCGATTGACAGTGCAGGATTCTTTCTCGTGGCATTAACGAACTAACAAAGAATCCGCTTTACCATGCCTTTTCAGTAGAATGAATTATAACCTACTACTAACGTTTGTTGCTTTTTCCTGATTGTAGTACTATTTACATAGAGAGCGGTCCTACTATCAGTTATGTGTTGCGATTTCTTCTGGTTCGGCAATTAATCACCAACGTGCCCTTAAAGGGGTAGTGCAATGATTTTAATGTTGAAAGAATTTACAGTTTGTATTTTTTATATTGTTTATCCAGGCACAAGTGACTAAAACGCGCCACCTTGCCCCAAAAAACTGCTACAGTTGAACCTCAATTTAATGAAGTTGTCTCTGGAGTCAAAAATTTCGTTAAATCGCAAATTTTGTTGGACCGAGGTTTTTGTTTCTTTAGCATTGCAATTGGTCTTCCAGGCACCCAAAACCCTCCAGTTGCCTCACATCTTGCAAGTGAGCGTTTACAAATAAGATTCCACTACAAAATGTGGCGGTAATAGAAGAATGCAGTTCATCGACCCTCGTTTTGTACGGTTCTGAGAGCAGTGCCTAGCTCCGCAGGAGAGCGTGCAGTCAGGAAAGCAACCCCTGACACTTACGGTAGCCATAATCCTACCTTTCAACTTCAAAATCGCCGAAAGCGAACTCTGTGAAATTTTATGTTTCTCGGCAATAGTCTTTTTCTTTTCGCCATTCGTCACTTCAGCGATTATTTTCACCTTGATGTCGAGCGACAGAACTTCCCTTCTGCGCGGTGCACCACTCATTGTTCCAAGAAGAACACAACCACTTCCAGCACAACACTCGAGGTATGAAACGATTTTTGTCGTTGCAGACGCATAAGAGCTCTAATTCTTTGGGTGTAAATGCATCTAATAACGGACTTTTTTTTTTTTTTTTTTTTTTACGAGATGCTCAGGTTTAGAGGCTACTCGTCATCATAATCACGACCACCACCGGCGGGTACTTTTTTTATATTGTGAAAATGATAATGATTGCACATTTTTACGCTTGCCGTAAAGTTCCGAGAGAACGCCCGCCCCTGAGGGATCGCCCATCCCGTTTTTCTGACTAAATATCTGTAACATAAAAATTCCGAAACATTGCCCACCCCCCGATTTCCGTCGGACGTCACGCAACGTCCGACGGGAATCGCATCAACCGCACAATTTGCTATACCCGCAAATCTGACAAGCGAGTTTATAGCGGGTTCCCGCGTTTTTCTTTGCGATCTGCACACGTGATATCGGCTCCCGTAACACGCGAGTTGTTCCCACGTATATGTTGCACTGTGAGATGTGAATCTGCTGCATCCGCAATCTGCGATATCCGTTCCCGTGACATAATGTTTTTTTTAGCGGATTCCCGCATTCTGCATGTGCGATCTCCATTCCACGTGAGTTGGTCCCGTGTGTATATTGCATCATGAAATACGATTTTGCCGCGTTTGCGATCTGCGGTATTTGTTTCCATAGCGTACGAGTTTGTAGCAGATTCTTGCTTTTTTGTCCGCGATCTGCGCATGCGATATCGGTTCCCGTGACAGGCAAGTTTGTAGCATGTTCCCGCGCGTTTATTGCACCATAAAACTTGCATCTGCTGCGTGCACGATTTGCGGCAGTCGTTCCCGTGAGATGCGAGTTCTCGGCAGATTTCCGCGGGTCCTTCGCGCTGCTGCTCCGCAAGCTGCGGTATCCTTTTCCATGACACAGGAGTTCGTAGCGAATTACTGCGTGTTTATCGCATTGTGAAACGAGAATTTGCGGTGTCTGCGATCTGCGGTATCAGTTCCCCCGTTACGTGGTTTGTAGCCGGTTTTTGATAAAGTTTTGCTGCGGCGTCCCCAAAGATAGCCCACCCCATGTTTTTCACAATTAATCTCTTCATTTTGGGTGGGCATTCTTTCGGAATGTTACGGTAGTTTTCAACAAACAAAATTTTTTCTGTTAATTTTTTTTTCTTTTAGGGGTTGTTTGAATGTGTATGTGCAATTTCGAAAGACTTCGTTAAATCGAAACTGCGGCGCAAAAGTACTTCGCTAAACCAAGAGATAAAATATGTTGTCTTTAATCAAAACAGGGAGTTGAAAAAAATTTTGTTAAATCACAAATTTTGTTACATTGAGTCTGTTAGATCAAGGTTCAACTGTATTCAGCTGCGTTATCCGAAAGGAAAACGCTAATTAGTTGTGTGTCTGCAGCCGCGTGTGGTGATTACGGGAACTACGGTGACCCGTCTCTGCGGGACACACAAAAGCCAACAAGACCTGTCCCCCTCCGCTGCTACACTCGCCGTCAGCCCCAAGGCGAACCGTCTTTTCTGTTGATCGCCCGCCGTAACCTTCCACAATACTAATTGAAAAGTCTACAATCGCGCAGGAAGCGGCTGGGGTCTCTGAAGAAAGAACCCAATGGGAAACCAGGTGGTCCCTGGTTTTCGTTGAAAGACGGTGTGAGAGTCTAGAGTCACTTTGACCTTCGATTTGTTTCTCTTTTTTTTTATATAAAAACTAGCGGGAGCAAGAAAATACAGTTGTCTTCGTTTTGTAGGCAATTCAGATTAATTCCCACAGTTAATTGGCCAAAGTCCGAGAATCATTGCACCACCCCTTTAACGTGGCTCGACAGGGGGGGGAAGGATGGTGTTACTATAAATGTGCAGATTGGGAGTGCCAATTATTGTCTTTTGACCGATCATAACACCAATGCTTACATTTCTTCAGCTGCATGCTAAATGAAGGCTTGATGAAAGCAACTGCGGCGCAGAGGTGCGCCTCATACTAAATCTACTAACAATCCTGCATGACCCGGCAATCAGATGGTGAATCCGGTGAAGATGAAGGAGCAGCTGGTGTCACAGTTGAAGACGCAGATCAGTGACCTCGAAAGATTCATTCAGTTCATTCAAGGTACTACTAACCCCACTAACCTATTTTGAATTCACATTGTACAACAGAGTGCCTGCCGTCGTGTGTACGGTCATTAAACGTGCGAACGATGTGCTGAAGGGAGCAGCATCTTGTCGACGCTCGTGGCAGTACCAGGGCCTCTTCTCAGATAGAGCACAGTACTAGCTCGGTGCTATTATATTAGTTTGTGCTGGAAATAGCACTGACTTTGCAGTATATTAATGATAATGCACCGCATCACTGCTAAATTAGGTTCAAGTAACTTGTAGCTTCGGATTGGCTTGCACAGAGAGCGAAAGAAACAATAGATTGAATGTTTTGCAGCACTATTTGTGAGATCCACTCTACGCACCAATGTTTAGGTGAAATAGTCTCTCATCACATTAGATTTATTTCAGGCACAGTGCAAAAGAATAATGCGTAGAATATGCGCACAAATCGGAAGTGTTCCAGGTCGCCCCGATAGATGGCACTAATGTATCGTCTCGTCATAGACGGTGACGGCCAATTGAGAGGCAGTTGGTCACGCTCAAATGCAAAGATCTCAACTAGCCTTGAGAGCAAGTGTGTGCACGTAATGGCTCGAGGGTGACTTCCGCCAGCGGGACATTGGCAAGTAACGGTGCAAACGCTGCCATCTTTGCAAACCTCTGCTATCGAGCTCTGTCTGTGGCTCAGATACTTTCATGGCGGGAGCATGTGTGCTGCGAGATACCTTCTGGCAGTCGCAGTCTGCGAAAAGGGGAGGAGAGGGAACCTGTGAGGCATTTCGTGCATGCGCTTGCCCCGGCAAGTCACGGGAGCAGACGCGAAATATTGCGCTTCCTCCGTCTAGTTTGTGAATGCAGCATTTGGTTTTGTACCATGAGTGGATCCTTCATCCAACCTTTGGATGGTCACATCTTTTAATGAAACATAATCTGTAATTCCTTTATATATTGAAAAAAAAAAAAAAAATATTATGCTTGGTTGCATGTCTGTTGAAAAGAAAGTATGCAGCAGGCCAGAGGTTCATATTCTCATTTGTTTTGCTTCAACGAACTCGGGACGTTTGATTGTTTTAGGAGAGGGCTCGGACGGAAAACCTAGGTGCACCTGCAATTGTCCCGTGCATGGGAAGGTGAGTGACTCTTCCCATTCTAATTGCTGCAGTTAAGTGCCGCTAGAAGTTTGCAGAGCTACGGAACCAAAAGTTCTGAATTTAAAGAGTTGTGACTATGTTTCGAGTTTTGATTAACTATGTGATATATATCGCGGTCAAGAAAGACGAAGACGAGGCTCAAGAAAAGCACGCGCGCACCCATGATAGCAGAGACAGTCTGATTCCAAAACGCCATGAGCAATGGCTAGCTTCTTTTCGGCTTAAACTGTACATACTGTAAATAAACACAGATTTAACAGGAAAAGATGTATTACAGTAAAACCTCGTTATAACAAAATGGGATATAACAAACTAATGGATATAACAAAGCAATCATAATTCCCCTTGCTTGCTAATAGGGAAGAAATGGACATTGGCTATAACAAACTAATGGTTATAACGAAATAATTACGATCGCTCCTTCAACTTTGTTATAACGAGGTTTTACTGTACTATGTTTTCTCTTTCTATGTTTACCTGCCTAATTCTTGTTTTTGTATTTGTTATTCAGACGTTTTAGCCCACATCCCTCTTTCAAAGTCCAGCATTGAATAATTAACTACCCACTGTATGTTGCTGCTTTGATGCAGGATTGTGCGTGTCGGTGTCCATTTTGCGTCGAGACATGTGCCGTCATGCAGTTCTTTTGTTTCATCAGTCACTTATTTTAAATGGATGCTGAAGCGATTTTTACAGCTTAATTTAATCCGTCGCATCAGGTTCGACTGTCGCATTCTTTCGTATCCATATCTTCAGCAGAAGTTTCGGTGGTTACCGCTAAGTTTTTTATGCTCTGTTTTGTATGTTGTGGAGAGATATTTGCTTGAAGAATTTCCGTACTCTGCAAACGTTGAGCGACTTTTCTCGAGGTGTGCGGCGCGGCTCTGCGGCTATTCACAGGATTTTTTGCTTTGAGTGCAGGTCGATGTGTTGCACTCGGAGACGTCAAGCGAGTGCTACGCTCCCACAAGAAAGTACAAGGACCAACTTCGGCAGGCTCACAAGGAGAGCCAGGTGAGATGGAAAACAATGGGCTGCCATTATACGACTAACCCATTAATTCTTGGCTTATTCATTGTGCTTGTGGGTGCCCTCGCAACGTGCAGGGGGTCTTAAGAAATATTGACAGTCTTTTTCACCACGAAATTAAACTGTGCATCGGCGAATGCTCAGTCTCTGCCCAGATATAGTAGCACTGGCAGTCCGGACCAGATCCTAAAGTTTTGGAGCTTGCCGTTATCCAATCAAAAAGATGCAAAGCATTTTCGGAAATTTTCAGCAAGAAAAGGGGGCTGCTTCTTGGCAGGTGATGCCATTCGTCTCTACTGGGCTTTGTTGACCACCTTTTTCTCATAAAATATTTTCGAATATTGCTTATAACCTTTGAGTCAGATAACGGCAGCATCTGGAACTTTGGCACCTTGTCGGGTGTGCTGGTGCTACATTTGGCTGGAGAGCGAGCATTCGGCAATGAATAGTTTATTTTTTTTATTGAAAAAATTGCAAACCTTTTTTTTGTTGACACCCTGTATTGTTTGTTTTGTTGTCGAGAAAAGGCGCCAAAATGTGATGAGTCGTGAAAGCTTTTTGTAAAACCCAGTTCCACAGCATGTAAACAGAAAGTGGTGCTTGTTTTACACTTTATCAATGTGAAGAGCGTTCTGGCACTTGGATACCTGTCTGTTGCCAATGCGACTTAGTGGAGGCACCTGGTACCGACTAGAGATGTTGGAGGATGTGACAAAGTGATGCGACCAGTCAGCTATACTATGGCTTTCTGATTTTGTAATTGTAATCAGAAAGAGGAGGAACAGGCAAGGAATAGGGAGGGTGCAGTGGAAATAATACTGAGCAAACATCTCCAGCAGTACCTACTTTGGTCGTGCATGCACCATGCCGGCGTGAAAGACGAAGACGAGGAGAGAATTGGGTCCGCTGTCAGCGTCGCGCACGTCCCCCTACGGATTTCTTCCCCGTGCAAATGCCGCCACGAGCGCATACATTTTTTTTTACCCGCCATTTCAGGAGGCCCAGCACAAGATTCTGCGGCGCATGCTGACGCTGCTGCACATGTTCGCGCTCACCCAGTTTGGCTGTGGCCGGCGGGGCTTCCAGAGGAACCTGATGAAGCGCACGCCCAAGGGAAACCACTGGGGGTGAGTGCGGGCCTCAGACCGGCGTTGGGGGAAAGTGTTGTCAGAAACGGGGCTCAGTTTTCGAGTCTCGAAAAACTCGCACATTCTCGGTGGAGCCTCGTTAAAGGGACATTGAACTCCAAAAAAAATGTTTGTTTCGAGTGTCTAAATAGGACACATATGTTGCAAATAAAAGCTTTCCCTGGGTAAAAAAAAAATAATTAGATCAGTATATTTATATGTTGCGAGACTCGTTTTTGAGTTGGGAGCCATTCTGAAACGTGCTTCTTTTATGGACGTCGGCCCTGAAATAGGAGTATGTTACGGAATCGCTAGTTGGGACACTCAACTTTTTTAAGTGCTGCAATTGGACACGTGTGGACTCGAGTGCCGAGCCAGCGTTCGGCTGGGACTTGTATTCAATCCGCGAGAAAGGGAGCTCTTCCGGCCGAATTTCGACGCAGCACCCGTGCGGTCTGTCCCCTGTGTGATGACCTTTCCTTATGGGAGTGCTTTGCAGAAGGCGCGTTTCAGGAAACCGCTAGGAGCCAGCTATATTGTTTACGTGTTAAAAAGAAACTACTGCAGCAGCAAATAGCTAGTTTGAACCGGGTCACATTACAAAAACGTCCCGGGGGGGACCCCGACAAGACAATAACGTCCAGAGGAGAATGGTCGTCCTGTTATCGAGTGCCAGCTTTCCTTTCCACAACCGCTTGGAAACAAAATTGACGACGAACTGCTAATCTTGCAGGGACCTGCGGGCCCGCCTTGAAGTGGCCATCAAGCAGGTGATGGAGCTGGCAAGCAAGCAGGAGCCGGTGTGCGTCGACAGCGACTACACCAGCGACTCGGAGGACGTGAGTGGGTGCTCCCCGTCTGTGAGATGCGACACTAGTAGTCCTTCAATATTGGGAGAAGAAAATTGGCTGCATGTTTGGTCATTCTGCCAAATGCGCTTTAGATGCAGTGGATTTGATGTTGGTGTTGCTCTTAGCTCAGGTGGTGCCTAGGGTAGGGTTTTCTGTTGGAAACGGAATACGTTGCACCATTGTCTTCTTTGTGATGCTGCGCGTGCTTCCCTTGAGCACTACCCAAGTACAAAGCCTTTGCGCCGAATTTTCTGGGTCACCATGAGAGGGAAGCGCGTTTTCCTGCATTTTCCACTCCTCATTTCATGTACTTTCTACACCACCTGCTTCTGCTCCCCTCTTTCTTGCCCTTTCCACCCCTCTCCTCTCCATACACTTTCTCACACCACCTGCTTCTGCTCCTCTTATACAAGCATGCCAGGTCCGTAGATCAGTCAGCAGCGCGTTTGGCTTCCATGCTGATGACCGGGGTACTACCCCTGGCACCTGTTGCCATTTTTTTCAAGATTTTTGGGCGGTTACGGACTGATCGACTTACACATTTCATACTTACCCAGCTCCTGAGGTTGGTTGGCCCTATTTTAAAAAAGCAAAAACCGGCGATGACTAGTTTGTGCAGATAGTGTCACACCGTGCTCACTTCGTGCTCTCCATGTTTCCTCGACTCCTCCCTCTTCTTCACCCTCCACTTTTTTTCCTCACCTCTCTCAAGAACTTTATTCTCCCCTCCGAATAACGAGAGCTTCTGAGAAGGCTCCAGAGCATTAGTGTTCTTGGCAGCGTTTTCTGCCAATGACCTCAACCTGCTTATCTTAAAAGGCTAAGTAGACGATCGTACGACGGAAGTCTAATCAAGTCATTGACACTGCAGACACCGGTCGTCCTCTGCAATGAAAAGCTGACAACCGCCGTTCGAAAGGACCTCGCTTCGGCTCTGCGGGATCTCATTCAACACGGGCTGATGCAGGTTGGTATGCATGATTGTTGCCGTTGGTGAGTCTGGTCTCAGTTCATAAAGGCCTTTTTGGCATTTGCAGAAGATCACCTCGAAAGTGCTAGCATATAAAGAAAATGAAAAAAGAGCAGTGCTATGGAAAATGACTACCGTAATATCCCGAGTCATCGCCCACCCCCCAACCGCCTGAAATTCGTTAAAAAAGTGGGGTGGGCCATGGCTCGGTGGGTGAGCACAAACACTTGAAAAAAAGCGGAAAAAACCGCCCATTTTTCTTTGCGTATCTAGCGCTGATGCAAAAGAGATACATCAAACTCAAAACTCGATTTAGTTTCATTGTTTTATAGAAAAAAAATCCTCACGAAAGAATATTTTACTATAGCGAAGTCCGTTGCTTGCATACGCGCTAGAAACACCGCCGATCTGCATATAGCACGAACGTTTGTTCCGTGAAAGAATGTCACCATTATGTTCTCCTAGTTAGTAAAAAAAAAAGAAAGAAAAGTCTACAAGAAAATAGAAAAACCGACCAGGCGCAACGAGCGAGCGAGCGGACCAAAGAAGCGACCAAGAGCAATGCTGGGAAAGCGGGAAAGCCGGCGGTCGCGTTGGCAAATACTTTGGCGTCGGGCCAAGTCGGGCGCCTTGTCAATTGCAAGCTCTTGCGCAACTTTCTTGTTTGGTGCGTACATACGTGCGTCCATGCACGGCGGGCTATCAATGCACGGTTGGGACGCTCTGCAAACGTCTGTGTAGGACGTTCCAGCAAAGCTTTATTTACGCTTTGGCTTTGCCTAAAATATTGCACAACAGCGGTCGCGACGGGCGGGAAGAAGGAGCGGGTTCGCGGTGACCTTACTTCGGCGGAGACAGACTTTGACCTAACACATCGCGGTTACGTTAACAAACTCTTATTTTGTTATCTCCATCGTTTTCTTTTCGCACGGATACACGACCACTTTGGGGTCGCTCACGGAGGAAATGCGTAAACAAAAAGAAGTGTCTTTCCCTCCTTCGTTTTACTTTGTCACGGGCGTCCTCCAACTGTAAGGTCCGCGGCCGCGTCATTCGGGTAGGATGAGTGTTCGCGGATCGCAGAGTCCGCGCTGGGATATTTGAAGGGGTGGGCGATGACTCGGTGTTTTTTCGGAAATCGATATTGGCCCAAAAAATGGGGTGGGCGATGGCTCGGGGATGGGCGATGACTCGGGATATTACGGTATATTAGTTTGCCAAGGAAATTACAAAAACATGGTGTATTTTTAGCTGCCTTTCACTGGAAAACCGTGTGTTTTAAGTGATCCACTTGGGATTCTTGCATACTCTTTTCCTTTGATCACAATTAATGCTGTGTTGTTGCGTAGCATCGGACAAAGCCATAAAAGTAGGTTATTTCCTAATAATTTAAGCCCCTTTCTCACCAATTGTTCTTAGTGCAGGACTCGGAAGTTATTGCTAGAATCACCGCCAACAAATTATGAGAATCGAAACCACCGTTATAGTTGTTGAGGCCAATTAGTAACATTTGTTCTGTATGTGTTTTCAAATTACTCGGGGATTAATTGACACATTTTTTACCGACAGCTAGGGCAAAGCAGTAGTTTGGTCCCCTTAGGATGCCTATCTCTACGCTCTGCCAACGCGCCCTCGCTCCTTCACGCATGGGACCTTGTCCTTCGCTACTATGAAATCAAGGTGAGTGCCAGCTCTTCATTAGTTGATTGAATATTGGTTGCTTGTGTATTGTTGACTAGTCTATTAACTAGTTACTGACTGGTCTATTAATTGGCCCCAACTGACCACTTGAATGATCATATGCTATTTTATTTATTATTGATTGGTTTATTAGCCAATGACTGTATAGCGTGGACCGAATGGTGCATAGAATTCCGTGTGCCTATCTCGTGAACGAAATCTGAAGGCTGGTTCACACATTTGCACTTGAGTGTAATCGACTGCATTGCGACCGCTTCAACGAGAGTAGGTACATGCCGGTAACATCTATCCGGTAGCTCCAGAATTCTTTTAGTCTAAGTATATAGTATGCACGATTCCTTCTCCGTGTTCTTGAAATATTTCTGACAATGTTTCAAGCGACCATTCCTCACAGATAGTGCATAGATTTTGATCTCTCGTATACTGCTAAACCTTCAGTCTACTTGTACGCGCATCGGTAAGTTCCAAGCGTGCCGGTGCATTTACTAGAGAGCCTAGATTGTAGAGAGGGTCCATCTTGGACCACGTGGGGAAATTCGCAATTCAGCGGTGGACGCCTTCTGCGGAGATTAGCCGCAAGTGCGCATACGCTGCATTTTCGCGTGGTGAGGAGGAAAGCAGGCAGAAAGGCAAAGATGTTTGCAGACAATCGCTGCCTTCTGCACCTCCTCGCAGCTCGCACTGCAAACGCGGCCCATAAACTATGTGATCTCGGTCAAGCAGTTGGAGGCTCTACGTAGTACAGGCCCTCTAACATTCTTTCGTCGTCAGCAGTCGCAAGCCGCCATGACGCAGTCAATCACAGTCAGACGCAAAGAACTTCGAAGAACTTCTAGCAGGTGGTTTGGTTTGGGGGCATTGTGCATCCGAAAATTATGGCCTTTAGGTGTGATTCGAAAGATGGTGTAGGGCATGAAATAGGGCTTCTAGAATCAAAACAAAGTGCATGGTGTGTGTTGAGTTAAGTATAAGTATGCTGCAAGTTAACTTTGTTTTTATGTCTTCGGAACTTGCATTTTATTTTCGGTAATTTGTTGAGTGCCATTTGTATAATAGGCTAAATGACTCAGATGTGCCTGTTTTCTTTTTGTGTTTACTTTGCCTAACTTAGAACGGTGACCAGTTCAACGCATCTCCTGCTAGGAAGCTTTCGGAGAGCTTCAATCTCGACGTCATCGGTGGAACTTCGGAAACGCCCAAGCATGTGAGTGCCGTCTCTTTCTGGCAGGACGTTCAAAATCGGAGGTTGGATTTGTTCTATGAAGAATCTATTTATTGTACTTTGAAAAAGATTACCAGTGTTGGAAAGTACTTTAAGTACTTTCCAACACTGCTTTTACTACTTTTATACTTTTTACTTTACTACTTTTTACACAGTACTACTTTTATAATACTTGTATCCTATTTGAAGTACATTCTCTAGAAATGTATTTTACTTAAAGTACTTTATTCTTGTACTTTCCGGGGAAAGTACAGCTCCCGATTTCAAAGTATGTTCCCCAAATTTGATCTTGTTAAGTTTGTATCACAAAATGATGCTTTTTCAACTCTGAAGCTGCTTGACTTCATCCAATATTTGCTGCCATTTTTAAAAATAACTGATGCACCCCCATTAACCCCCGAAGCAATGCATACCAGTTAAAAGATGCTGTATAGGGGTATGAAAGAGCATTGTGAAAGATTGTGTTAAAAAGTAATTGTACTTTACTTTGAAAGTACTTTGTATTTATAGTACTTTAATTACATTGCAGCCAGTGTATTTACTACTTTAATTGAAGACATAACCTCTCATTTGCTTTGTACTTTATCTCAAGAACATTCTAGATGTACTTTACCCAACACTTAAGATTACCATACTTCCCTTGCAAGTTATTTCAATGGTTTATAACGCATTTCAACTGTAATAGGTAATCAACTCTAAACATTAAAAATGCAATAGACCAGCAGAAGCAGAAAATATATAGTACATTGTACAAGCAGTAACATACTTAAAAGGCATAAATTGTAAATCTTCTATTTAAAGTTTATCTGTGTTTGCACTGTAATTTGGTAGGGAGTTCCGGTCTTTTAGAGTGAAGCACACGTGAGCCCCCGACATATTTGTGTAGTGTGACGCGATGAAGTAACAAGTCACTCGGTACGCACCGCATCGCATCACCCTTTATGAGGGGGTATGTGCATGCAGCTCCTATAGGGAGTATTCACTGGCGGCCATAGCTGTGTGTGCGAAAGCTGAGCGCGTGCTGATGGCGAGCTTCCACAGTTCTTTTGCAACGTGCATTCCGCACCATCAAGAGTGCTGGTCTTAGGAGCCTATTGATGTGAGCTCGTTCTGAGCATGCACTCTAAACAGCACCCCCAAATATGGCATCCAGTGAATACTCCCTATACTCCGTTTCATTGTGCGATGGACTGCAGCAGAAGTCACGAGTCATCCCGGCCACTAGAGTGCCGTGGACATATTGCGTGGCGCTGGATTGGGTTTGGTGGCTTGTAGCAGCCCCTGCGGTGCTACAAACTGTGTGCCAGCCTAACTGACTTTCGTATGTACAAAGTTACCCCAGCATGCCACTCAATCGTTTAAAAAAAAACTTATCTTAAATTCTGCAATGGTTGGATGAGAACATCAATATATAGTGTTTTAAACACAGTAGAAACTCTCAGTAGTGAATACTGAGAGAATGAAGAGATGAATCTAATGAAGCAAAGTTTAAGTTACCTGTAACGCTGCTGATATTATGAAGATGACAACACAGTGATGATTTTTTTTCTGAAGAAATCTGCTAAAGAGCGCTTTTGCTGTACCTTTTTCATAGTGGGTTGATCTGGAGAAGGAGCAGTATTAAAGGAAAATGCGCGGTTTTTCTCTTTTTGGTACCAGGCACTGCTGGCTACCATCCATAACATCATATCAAGCCACACACCGCTGAAGCGCAGCTATGACTCCCACTTCAAGGCTTTTGTCTGCGCCGCACTAAAGTAAGGCTTTTCAGGACACGGAATCTCTGACAAGCTTGTCTTGTCTACGTTTCTTTTTCTTGGTAGGTGCTCTCGAACACGGGGCATTCCTCAAAACAATTTACGGGTTTCTTTCCGCCGCAAAAATAAACCATGCGTCGATGAACGCTCATTCTCCGCCCAAAGGTAGTGCTAGAGGTCTGAACCAGATGACAAAGTTTCAGCCCGAAACGATATCTTATTCAAAAGTTATAAGTGATTTTTTGAAAATTTCAATGAGAGAATGGTGACCAACGGAGCTCTTGAATACATGGAGCTCTACGGCGCCAGAAACCAAAAACGGGTGAAAATGGGCCCAATGTTCCCATTGGAATTTTCAGAAAATTACTTATAACTTTTGAATAAGATATTTCTTCGGGCTGAAACTTTGGCATCTGGTTCTGATCTCTAGCACTACCTTTGGGCGGTAAATGAGCGTTCGGCAATGTGTAGTTTATTCTTGCGGCAAAAAACAAAAAACGTAAAATCTTTGGAGGGGACACCCTGTACTTATTGCAATAACACAACGGCTGCTACAATAATCCTGTGGTGGCTGCACTCATGCGACAGCAGTGCCTTGAACTTTCACCAAACGAGCTGCACGCATAATGAAAGTATATTTGCACATTTATGTAATTTATGTAATACACGTTCTTAGTATGGGGTAATGAAACTGGAGCCCTTTCAGTGCTGCTTCTCTGCAGTGCAGCAGTACTTTGTGGAAATACAGAATGAAGTGAATTAGAATGTTACGCCGTCACCCTCGCTTGCATTGAGGGTGACATTGGCTAGCTAGTACTACACCTTTTCTCTCTTGAACTTTGATTCTCCAGAGTGGTTATGTTTTGGTGGCTTCCCCCCCTTCTACAAACTATGACTCGCAAACTTTTGCGAAAAAAATTTTTATTTGAAAGTTCTGGAATGAATTGGGCTATATATTGAACCACAAGGTAGAGTGTACTAAAACAGAGAAGCATTACGAATGCCAACAATTAGCTAAGGCACCTTGGGCCTTCAAGCAACTGCGCCTTCAATGCTGTCCTCTTGCAAGCAGGAATCCACTCGGTGATACCATAAAAATCAGTGCACGTTGTGCCCACAGGAGAGACTTTAGGGCTCTAGAGGATTCAGCACATTCCACACTGAATGTTCGCATGCCAGTTTATGGTCGCCTATAGCAAACTTCTTACATTTGCTTGTCGGGAGACGTTATGCTTGAAAGTGCACTGTCACAGAAGTGCCATAATGAATTCCATATGTAAATCAATGACAGCAACATTGATTTTATATGGCAAAGTGTCGAAAACTGGGCTAGTGTGTACCGATTTATTATAAAACCGAGCGCAGAATAAAAACTTTCGGCTTTTCCACCCTGGTGAAGAAGGAAGACCAGCGAAGCTGTAACTATATAATGGGAATGAAGTTATGGCCAGCCGCAAGTCGGAAAGCCAGAGTGGAAAGGCTGGAAAGGTTGCTGCGATCTATGAGCGACGGCGGCAACCGGACAACTGGCGAACACAACACTCTGGGTAGCTACCGCCATCTATGAGCAATGGCAGCAACCAGACAACCGGCAAGCCTGTTGTCTTGTTTCCGCCGTTGCTCATAGATGGCGGTAGCTGTCTAGAGTGTTGTGCCGACACTTCTTTGCGGATGGACGCGATCTTGGGGAAGCTAGCCCTTAACAGCTCCGTTGTAAAAAAAAAAAAGCAAAGGGACCAAAGGATCGCTTGTCTGTCGTGTGCGTTTTCTTTTGGTCCCCATTCTTTGGTGCGCTCGGTTTTACAGTGGATCTAGATGGGGTTATAAGAGGGAAATCTCCTTACACCTGAACTTTTGTTGAAACCCATCTCGGGAGACTGTCATATCATTAATTTTATCTTTGTTTTTAAACTAGTTTATTCTACTAATATTTTTGTTTATTTGTTCACCAATCAATGTTTCAGTGAGAAGAGGCTCACCTCTTGGCTACGGCTCATGTTCAAGTGCAGACCTCTCGTGGAGCGCTACTACGTCCACTGGAGCTATGTTCGTAAAACAGGTTTGTGCACTATCAGTGCTACGTAGCTGCAGTCTTCATTGCTTTGGGTCTGTTTCATTATGGCTACAGCAGCCACTACAATAGCTTAGAGTGTTTGCTTTACTATCTAGAGAAGCTGACAATTTGCCAACTAAGATTAGAACTTTTTTCATGTCCAGTCAATACGGAAGGCACGTTTGCCTCTCACTTTATGCCCTGGTTATTTTATCGAAAATAGAAAAGAAAGATTGACCTCCGTGAAATACTGAGCAAGCACTAACTCGAAGGTGGGAGATAATCGCGAAAAAATGGGGGTGGGTGTTTGTTAGGCCCGAGAGCAGAAAAACAGGTGGTGCACATGGCAGGGTAGGTCCTTGCTTGGCCTTTGTTTGATCCGACGAAACAGCCACTATCGTCAAGCCTGCTTCATGCCAGCGCTCTCGCACCAAGCTTGGCCGCTTCGCATGTGCACGTAAAACTTCACTGCTTTGCATTGGCGTGCTTGGAGGAGCATCAGATGCAGAGTAGCTCGGTTAGCTCGGCGGGCTCAGAATTTTTCTAGAGTGGCATTTGATGCGTCCTCTGCTTGTATCTTATGCATTTCAAAAGCATGGGGTCGGCGCTTATTGTGACACGGGCACGAGCTCAGTATTTTATGGTAGTGCTTTATTTTGCGGCTCTGCTGGGAACAAGAAGGTTTTGTGTATGTAATCAGGCTGCTGCCACAATATGCGCAAACATAAATACAAAATGCTGCTATTTTTAGCAGCAATCGTGTTGCCAGGAGCAAAGAGCATCTGGGAGGATTAGAACGCTGGGGCTTTGAATAATACGATCGGGCTGTGTCACGGAACACCCACGTCGTCCCGTCTGCTGCACAGCTGGTCGGAAATGGTGGTGGCAGACTTTTCAGGTTGTTGCTGTAGATGCTTTGAATGCCACATACCTGCTTACCTGGGGTGGATCGGCGATCGAGCTTGTTGGCACACTTCAGCTCCGAGCAAGTGGAGCGAAAGCTTGCACTGTGGGACCCTGGGTTCAATCCCACCCACCCCTGTCCACTTCAATCTGGATGAGAGTCATAATGGCATGCGGTTGCGTGTCGCTTCTCTGTGATGCATGTAATGATCCCAGGCCAGCAGTGGTACTGCACTGGCTAAATTTCTCGTCTGACACAGAGACACCACACATCCATTGGGGCTGACTAACTTCCTGCTGTCTGAACAAACATGCAACACAGTTACAAAATTGCCCGGCATTGTCAAGCACTGTCTAGTGGAGTATAGCCAGAGGATCGTGCAGCAGAGCCTTTCAAATGTGAAGAGTGATGTAGCAAGCATAAAGATATAGTGAAGCAAAGTCAAAGTATGCCCGTGATACTGGTGCAGTCATTTAAAGTACTGATAGGGCTGTCTTTTACTATTTTTTTTTTGTTATTTCTGTATTATAAAGGTATTGCTACTTGAAAAGTTGAGTGATTGTGAAGACCGTCATTGAGAGATTGTATGGGAGTGAAATGAGGTAATGCTGTTATTGTAAGCAAACAATATTGAAGACAATTTTTTTTCATGTGAACATCTTTTTTTAGGATAGATTAGAATTAGATCATGAGTGTGAGACCACAATGGAATTATGGACTTGTCAAGTTGTTACTGGAGAAATATTGTAGAAAGTTACAGTTTGCTTCCCATTACAGCTTATATATAGTATATGCCAGTGATCTGCAGTGAACTTGCAAACGAATTGAATTTTGCATCAAAATAACAATCTTTTTTTTTTTTTTCATGTTTAAAGTTGAAAAAAACTAATGTTAGTCGAATCCCGGAAGGAATGGTGGCAAACCCTATTATGCGCTGCTTGGATCTACGAACTTCAAAGTAAAATGAGTTGTCACAAGTAAGAGTGTTGTCAGACTCGGTTTTGTCAATGATAGCCGATGCAGGACAAGACGACGAGCGCCATGACGTTGCGCTTTTCACGCCGTTCGATCAGTCTCATTGACTCGTAGCGTTGGTTGCGCTCCGCCCGACGCGAAACGAAGTATACTGGTATACTGCCAAAACTTCGAGGCGTATATAACCCGAAATCGAAGCGTTCCGCGTACACTTGTCGATCCGACGTCGTCTTAGTTGGAATGTCGTTGCTCTATCTTTTAGGGTTCGAGGATGCCTTGCGCTCTCTGGACAGCTTGGCTGCTTTTGACTTCGACTTGCCAGTGGATCTGGCTATTCGGCAGCTGCAGAACATGAAGGACGCCTTTTGATGCGTCGTCACGCTCCTAGTCCACCCTCCTGAACACGGTCTCCCGAGATGCGGTTCGGTCACGGTCCAGGTCTTCCGACTCGGAGCCGCAACGAGAAACCTAGGCGGAAAGATTGTGCGGTCCTCGCCGAAGTATGCGGCTTGAAAAACAACATGCACCGTACCTGCGGCGTAATTTATTGCTTTTTTTTAAATTCCAGAAGAGGGAATGGGATTGTGTGAAGTAATAAGTTGGATTTCTTGGGAAAACAAATGTCACTTTAGGGCTGCATGGGTAGAATAACTTGTTTCTAGGTTTAATTTGGATTGTTTGAAGTAGTAATTTCCTTGATTTGAAGAAAGAGAATGTTGTTCTGTGTTGGTATAGTACCTGTTTCTATGGTTATTTTGAGTGAACTTGGGCCCATTTTATTGGACAGTGTTTTATTCGATCACCGTTTCGAACGGTTCAAAGTTGGAAATATGGTTGTAAGGGCTTAGTGCAATCTCAACGAATTGCAGTCACGAGAGCTCAAACAGAATGGCATTGAACATTGGGAAAGATAGGGTGAAGGCAGATATCATAGCAGGTATGCAAGATGGACAAACGATAGGTTTATAACTTGTTACTTGTATGTGCGCCACTTGTTCCATTGTGTTTCGCTTCAGAAAACAGCCAGGTGTGTAATGTGCCTGTGGCGACATGGAGGATCATGAAAATTGAGAAACTATGAGTTGAGTGATTGTGAAGACCGTCATTGAGAGATTGTATGGGGGTGAAATGAGGTAATGCTGTTATTTTGAGGGAACAGTAGTGAAAATATCTTTTTTTAAGAGGATCTGAATTTGATCAATGATGTGATGCTTGTGCAGGCAATTTCTTGCAACTATTTTGTGCTGCGACTTTTGACAACACATGTTTTTCTCTAGCATTTTCTCCATGACTTGGGAGGTTGTGATTGTTGTTGCTCTTCAATTCTGACCACTTTTATCTTAAGTTCATTGAGTCAAGGCAAATGCTCTTTTTACATTTCTGAACCTTGCTTGTTAGATGATTTGAATTTATAACATAGTTTGGCATGCACAGTTGCAAGTATTCTTATGAAAGGAGTGTTTTGCAAATAATACTCTGAGGTAAATGAGCAATTCATTTAGGTAAGACTTAACACTTGAGGTAATGTAATCGCCATCCTGTTTTCTCTTCTGATGATTTTGTGCAATATGTTTAATTAATACCTCCTCTTTTTACATTTGTGAAGGAGGATTTTGCTGCAGTGTGGCAAAACAAATCACACTATGGCATTTTTTGTACTGAGAAAGAATGTGTTGGTGTGTAACGTTGTAACCTGGTTGTAACCTCCAATTGTTCTAGTCACGTTTTGAAACCAACATTTGTAAACAAAATATAAGAAAAGCAAAAAAAAAAAAAAAAAGCTGTTACGAGCATGACTTGTTACGTTGAAACTTTGAACTTGTATCAATACCAATCATACCGGTGCAGAGATCTTGTTACTTGCATTTACGAGACTTTAGGCAACATAACATACTGCCGTTAGTAGCATTCTGCATTCAGATCATTCTCTGTTGAATCATACGTTACCCTAACGGCAACCCTCATTATTAATATAGTCGACCGACTTTAAAGCACCATTCTTCATTCCTTTACAACATCTGTATATCTCAGAAACAAGCATACATTTATGTGGCAGGTTGTGTGTCAAAACAGGGCCAGTGGATATTTTATCCCCTATACGCAAAGGAACTCACCTGCGATTCAGTGTATTGTGTACAACGAGTTCATTTTATCATTAGGCGGTTCTTTGTTTGGCAATCCTGACACTCAACCAGTTTTTTTATAAACAAACGTGAGGTGGAATTGGCTTTTCCCCATTTTGTGGAAAAGAGTCTTCACTGAATGAACCCCTTTGCTGAAGGTTTTTAATCACTGAACAATATGTGTTTCATGTATTCATATCCAGCTCTCCTACTTAAAATGAAAAGAAGGAAGAATAGTGTCTTAGAGAGCATTGTTTATTGTGCTGTTAACCCCTGCAATAGGATCTCATCAAACTGCAAGTTTTTTCCTCATGGACTAATTTTTCTAACCTTTCAAGACTTCCATGTTTGTTTTGGGGGGGGGAACGAGGTTTCTCATTTGACCTGTTACTTAATCATCCAGTTCTATCACCTCTGGTGACAGTTACCAGCAATTACCTTTTTTAACGTTATTGACTCGTCTGATACTATGTGTGTGATTGTGTGAAATGTCCTCGGGTTGTGTGGTAAGTGTCTGAACATGTAATAAATCAAAATAAACAGGGTTCTCTACATCAGTCTGGACTTCTGAGGGTTCTTAGTTTGGAGAAACGTTTTGATTCTGTGAGGACGGTGGAAGGATTCTTACAGGTGCATCTTGAGGAGGCATGAAAGCTCTTGGATTAATCCTTTCTTAGTTCTCTGCAAATATTTGACATTGACTAAGTATAGCTGTATTGAGTGTATAGCAGTTTTTTTTTTTTTTTCTTAAAGGGCAACTGCACTTCATTTTTGTTTTTGAAAAAACAATTCAGTCGTCTTGAGTATCACCTAGGAAGACCACACGTCAAATATTACGACCTAATTCTGTCTAAACGTTTCTTGGATGGTCCGACAAACTTGCAACAAGCCAAGTTGCCAAAATCGGCTTACTCTAGTGGGTGAATTGAGGCGCAACCTACAGCGCAGTCAAGGCTGCGGCTTTGGCGTAGTCAACACTGAGCTAAACGTCGCCATTGCCCCTTTTTCTTTGTTTTTACTTCTCGGGGCAAATGTAACGGGTGACATAATGTAACGGGCGCTTAGCGGTGTCCACGTGATTGGTGTAATGCACCTGCGCAGTGCGCTTCTTGGGAGCCATCCAGCTGTCTTGCCGGACATTTCGCGCATCGCAACTACAGTCGTCGTCTCGCCATTTGTGATTATTGTCTCGGAGTTTTGTTCACACTATGTGCACAGACTGATCTTGCACTTGTGCAGACGTCGTTGAATGTCGTAGACACCAAAACGTGGTGAAGAGTGCGATGCAGACGACACTTGCGCCTGGCACACGCCCGCCCCAACAGTGGCCCACCGGCACGCCCCCATCCCGCCCGTCATTGCATAAAGAATCACGTGACGGCCTGAGGCTTGTGTTGCCCGATGTAGCCAAACTTTCGGTTTTGATTTCTGCTCATCTTTAAAGTAAGATTTTACAATATCGGATTTTTTGCAAAGAAAATGACGTAGTGCCTTTTATTAGTGTTTTTTAATGTGAAATCACTCATTATCCTAAAATTTTCGGAATTGAGTGGAGTTGCCCTTTAATACAATTTGATTTGTGGTCTCTGTTGGAAAAATAAAACAAATAAATTTGTAAGTTGCAACATTTTATCAGGGTGAATGCATTAGATGGGAGGCAAAAAAATACTGTTTTAGTCACTAGACTTCCAGACTTTTTTCAGGTGCATAGAATTTACGCGGTTAATTTACCTGCTTAAAACTCTCCCCTTCGCTTCTCCTTGGCCAAGTTTGGTTTGCGGGAATATATGCATTAAAAAATGTCAATGCTTTTATTCTTAAATATCTGTCAACACATGCACTTGTAAGAAGAGTGCCAAGCAGGACAATTATATTACACAAGCACCTTTTCAAAAATAAGGTTTTTTGTCCGACTGCCCCAAGTACAGAAGGCTGGATAACGCAGCATTTGTCTTCTCTTTATATCTATCAATAAACGTTGTGCCCTGAAAAGATGGTATGGTGAACACAAACAACAGCTGCAGTGTAGGGGAAGATAACCCCCCACCGTTGATTTCAGGGATCGATCCATGTTCGGTGAGGCAGTCATTTACGCTAGGACGCGGTCTGTCCCATATGACATCTACCACATGTCAGTGGAATGTTGTACACAACAAAGACTGAACAAGATTGTGGTGTTTTTGGCATGCTGCTTTTGTAAGGTCGGATTTTGAACGAACCTTTGACTTCCTCATGAATCTCAATACAGGATGCATTGTGGGGCAGAGTATATGCGGAGCACAAGTTTGTCTGCTTGTTGCGCAGGGGTTGTAATGACATCAGACAGTTGAGCTCTGATTGGCTCCGATTGGAAGGAGTGGGTAGACCTCAATGCTAGCTGCCTCGGGGTCTACCCACTATTTATATCCAATCAAAACAAATCAGAGCCCGTCGTCCTGACGCCACCGCAACCGCCTGCCAACGTTATTCCGCCTGCGCAAGTAGCAGACAAACTTGCGCTCCACTTCATCAACACTGAAAACGGGCACGAGACGGAAATAATAGCTTCTTCGACTACGGCTTCTGAATTCCGTACGAGAAGGGACGGTTTGATTCTCAAACCAGTCAAGAAAGAAAGCTATCCAGCCATATGGCAATGCAACTGATAATAATAATAATAATTCTTTAAGTAAGATTTTTGGAAATATTTCTCTATGTCTGCGGAAACAAAGGGGGTGGGGGGGGTGCAATTTTACTTTTTTTTCTCACCCACGTACAAGCTAGGTTCCTGCGCTCAAAGGAAATACAGGGTGTTCTCGAGAAAGGAGAACAGTGTTTTTTTTGGCCTGACTAGATAAACCATGCATTGCAGCTAGATAGCTCAAACTCCGTAAGAATGTGACACTATATAGTCAGTGACAGGTTAAGAATAGTTTTCTGGCTGGGGAGGAGGAAGAGACAAAATGCTGAAGATAGGAGGAGGTTTCCTCCTCTCCTCTCCAGCATTCCGTCTGCTTCCTCTTCTCCTGATCTCCTTTCCCTCGAAAACTTTTCTTTACCTGTAACTAGGCTATATACTTTCCGGTTTTAACCGAAGACGACTGGTAAACATCCACCGGTGTTGAAAAGAAAAAATTGGTTGAAACCAGAAAACACCGGGTTTTGGATATTTTCGTACGAGCAGCAGTTTTTTTTCACCAAAAACGTAGTGTGTAAACGTTCCTCAAACTCGTTCATATTTTTTCTTTATTGTCGTCGTTTAGGTTTCTAAGGTCTCTTAGTAATCGATATGTGTTTTTTCTGTCAATGCTCATTATCATCAGTTTATGTCCCCAAAAGTTTGTCCTCATTGTGCTCTTTTGTGGATTGCCCATTGAAGGTTGCCCTCCTTCTCTGTGGACCCTAGTAGGGGGATTTGAAGCATCTTTCATATTGTGTGGGTAGAAACGCGTCCGGAAGCTGCATTCGCCAGGCTGGCCAGTACTGTCCGAAGTCTCTTTGGACATTTAGGGACTTCACGTGCCATGCACAACTGTAGAGCGCGCGCTCTCGAAATTGTGCACAGTCAACAGGAAGGAGCCGGTGGGAATGACAGACGCGAGCTTTGGAATGTATGCACGCATATACTAGAGTAATGAAGTGTGAAGAATATGATGTATCAGATGTAAAAATGAAAATGGAACCGTTTCTCGTCTTGATCGTTTGTTTCTATTCACGATTTTCTCCGTCGATAAAAGCCGTTTTAAGCGTCTGCACAAGACAATTCACCGAAATGCACTGCCATTTTGGAAATAAATAAACACTGAAAAGCATTCGTCGATTTTTTACATAAATAAGCGCCGGAAATTATACAGCCTACCTATAACTACTATGGCGGTTGGAATAGAACGTGGAAGTTTGAGAACATGATGTTACCTATATCGAAATATAATTGGGAAAGACTAACTTTCTCTGTGAACCCTATGAACTGACGTCCACCTAAGCCTAATTTCATCAAAACAAAAAAATGTCATGGGCAACTTCTCACAAGCGTTCACAATATAATTTCTTGTTTTGGGAACGCTGGGCTTCATAGAGAGGTTTCGTCTTTCTCAATTTTTGTTTGATCCAGGTAACGTCATGTTCTCAAGCTTTTGCACCTTTTATCCCAACTGCTAGCTTCACATTCTCACGAAGTTTGATCTTTCTGCGGTGCATGGTTTATTTAGCCGGGCCGAAAAACATGGTTCTCTTTTCTTTGAAATTCTCTGTACTTCTAGGGAAATGCGCAAAATGAAGTGCAGAATTCTACTACCGGACTTAACTGATAAACAAGCTCACCTGAAACAGCCTTGGGAGCATCTCTACAGGCATTACATTACAAAATTTTCTTTTAGAGCACAGCTTTTGGGCGCCCGTTTCCGGCTTGAGCGTCGGCGTGACCTGACGGTTATGCTGACGGCGACGCCGTCGACGCTCGAAGGGAGCAGTAGCTAACAGGATGAGGAGGTGAGGAGGAGGGATATAGACGCTTTCAGCGCGCGCCAGATTGAGCCGCTATAGCCGACCTTCTCTCGTCTTACTGAGATGCCGAGACACTGAAGCGGGCGTTGTCGAGTCTCCACAAGGGCCTATGCTGGGGAGAAGGACACAGTGACACCTAAGATGTCGATAACCTGTCCTTCTGTGGTAATTATGAATTGGAGCGAACGGAATAAGAGGGAACAAAAACTGAAGGTCGGTTATGGTGGCGCCCATGCACAGCTGCCTGAAAGCGTCTATACACTCCCCTCAGTACTCTTCCCTCCTCCTCCTCAAGAGCTGCACTCTAATTCGGCATTACAGGGAGTTGTAAACGGCTAATTCATTTTTTAGAGCGCAGCTCTTAGGCGCCCGTTTCCGGCTTGAGCGGCGTCGCTGTTAGTGTCAACGTCGCCGTCGCCGTCGCTGTAGGCCCCGTACGCCCCGTAGGCGTAATTGCTCGTAACCCTTTTGAGGGTTACGAAAGTTACTCTCACGAGGGTCACGAGGGTCATGAGAGTTACCATCACAAGGGTTACTACGGTTACCCCCACGAGGGTTACCCTCATGAGGGTCACGATGGTTACCCTCACGAGGGTCATGACGGTTACCCCCTGAGGTCACGTTAGCGCAGGGAGTCACCCTTGGCGTCGGTACCCTTCCATTCTCCTCCTCAAGAGCTGCGCTCTAATCCGGTGTTACAAAAAGTTGTAAACGGCTTTCATTTTTTTTATCTAAGTTGTAGAAATTAGCTCGCTGACGAAACAGTAAAAAAATATGGTAAATTCGCCGTCTGCTACGTCAGCTACTGCAGCTTCGTTCGGGAAACTATGCCACTCTTAAAGCCAAAATAAAATTTTGGATTTAAGAGTTGCATAGTTTTTATAAAATTTTGCTTGATTTTTTTTCTTTTTTTTAGCTTAAATAGTACAAAAAATAATAAATAGAGTTTCTGTTTCGGTTTTTGTCGAACCACAGGCGAATTTCCCACCGAAGGCGCTGCGAGCGCACGTCGTTCAAAAGAAACGATCATGGCGGACGAAGAAGTAGGTGATTCAAATCTGTCCTCAATCGTTGATAATGTCGCTGGGTTAACGGAAGAAGAGAAAATCCAACTATTGTCAGTCATGATCAAAGCTAAGGTAAAGCACTGCCCGTCGGGACCCAAGTATAGACTCCAGATCTCACCTTATCCATAACAGCGGCCGCGACCTAACCTGATACCGTGCCGGAACGCTTCTTTAGTTACGTCATGTTTTGCCTCTATATATTAAAATCTAGCTTGATTCGTTTGCAGAAATTGTCTCGAAGGGAAGACAACAATGCTCATTTAAAATATATTTTTTTTTTATTTACGACTGCATTTAGAAAAAAAAGAAAGAAAGGTGTCTTTCCCGACAATCGCAGCTAGCATTTGACTAACTCATCTAACACACCCACTCCATTTATTCCGCGAGGTAATACATTTGAGTGAGTGATTTGCGACTTATAGTGCATAGTGATATTCACTAAACCTCCAAAATGAAACTTAAAAAATAAAAAAAAATGACGGGTTTGATAAGCGCGATTCTTCCTTTAGTTTTCTTTTTGACCCGCTTGTTTGATTCATTGATGATGTAAAGTGATGTTAAAAGTGATTTGTCCCTGTGTTAACGAGGCGACGATGGGTTCTTCGCAGGAACTAGATGCCCAGGAAGAAAACAAGATGAGGTATGATATCTTTCTGGGATGATTTGTTATCTTGCGGTTGCGTAATCAATGTTCTGCCTTGTTATGAGCTTTGTTGTCTTGGGATTGTTTCGTTATCTTGCACTTGGCAATCAACGCTCTGCCTTGTTTACAGGCAGCCCTTGGAAGGGCAACTGTTCAAGTACACAAATGTAGTTAAAGGATGGCAGTACCGGTGGTTTGTGCTCAACCCCGACATAGGAATGTTTGAGTATTACATGGTACGTATTTCCTTCCATTCCTTTCTCTATTAGTGTGTTTAAACGGTGGGAAAAAATTTTGTTTGTTTTGTTTTTCAGTTGGACGAATTAAAAAAAGGGAGACCACGTGGGGCTGTTCACCTTGCCGTAAGTGCGGATTTCAGTAATTTATTTGTTCTTTTTTGCAGACGTTATTTTTTTTAGATGTGGTGACAACCTGAGAATACAGTAGCCGCCTTCAGTCCACCTTCAGCACACACTTATTGCCAGGCTTTGGCTGTGCATGCGAAAAAGTGTGGCAGATGGCTCGCACTAAAAGCGCAGCATTTACTTCATTTTTAACCTGTCGCCGACTGCAGAGTGCCCATCATTTGATGATGATTGGCTTCGTAGGTTGCATTTTAAACCCCGCATGGCTCGACATCGAACGTATGGAAGTGTTCCCAAAGCCTTGAGCTACATCAAGACCAAAGCGAATACTATTTGCAGCACTACATTTCATAGAAGCAGTCGTCGTGTTCGTCATTTTGGCTCGTTCGCACAGTTTTCCCCGTTTTGGTTTTTCTATGGAGCAGCATATAACTGTGGACTCCTCGCCCGCACGTCTTATCATCTTTGTCACTGTTGTCAAGATCCTGGGACTATCTTTTCCTGGAAGCAGCTCGCTCGGACGCGCTGGTTTGTAAATTGACCGTTGGCAGCTCACAGTTTGAAGTGTTCACCTCTAAAAGCAGCCCAGTCTAAGGGCTGCCTCCCACCGGCAAACATTGTTTTCTCCACAAAGGAATCTCGCAAGAGCCAAGGAGTAAAACTTTTCCGTATATTGTTGGATGGCAAGGCTCGCATAGTTTTCGTGGCGTTGCTGATGGAAGAGGTGGTGAAGGGGCTCCACCACCTTTCCCTCTTTCTACTTTGCAATGCTGACACGGTTTAGGAACTACAGTGACATATGAAGTTGAACTAGCTAGTAATGTATTGCAAAAAATGGAGAAAAAAATGTATTTTTATTTGTTGACAGTCAAGTCTGTACTTCGCACTGTTTTTTTCTTTTTCTTTTTTTATTCTTGTTTTAACGAGTGAAGAAAAATAAAAGAGGCAGGAAGGATGTCTTCTTGTCTGTTCTTCTTTCTTTTCTATTTCTTGTTACCTACTTTTTCTCGGATTGCCGTGGAAGCTGTGTTAGCCCGTGAATGTTGCACAGAGTGTAGGAGCCAAGGCATCGTTATCTGAATCGCAGCACACAACCGTACTAGGGTTTTAATACGGCAAAACAGGGCGCCTTCTCTACCTACGACAGCCAGATACACATTGCACGGCACATTAGGTAATGTAGCATCCCTTGCCTTGCAGGGCGCAGTGATTTCGCCCAGCGACGAGGACGGGCAAATGTTTACCGTGAGCGCCGCCTGTGGAGAAGTTTACAAACTGAGAGGTGAGTTGCTCGGCCGTAACCTACGGAAAATAACGGGGCACTCTGTCCTTACGTAGGTCATAGTGAATTAAGCCATTATAAAACATACCTACCTAGTACCAACTATAGTCAGATACAACATAAGAAAGACAGTACAAAAGGGAAAAGGGCTCGCACGAAAAAAGCTGTTGTGGAAAGGAGGTCTCTCCTCTTCAACCTTCCTAGTTTGCTCCCTTTTCCCCCTCACAGTGTCTTTCTTATGTTGTATCTGACTATAGCATACCCGCCAAGTCTCCCTTGTGACCTGGGAGTCTCCCGAATTTTGACCAGTTTGTACGGTTTAAAGATTGACTGAAAAATCTCCCGAATGACGCAAATGAACCCCCTTTGTCCTGCCCGCAATTACAGAGAAACAGTGAAACCCGTTAAAAACGAACCCACATGCAGCAAATTATTGTCGATGTCGAACTCACAGAAAATTTAAATAGTTGTAAAAATAATTAGTAATTAGTAATCATTGCACGTAAAAAGCATGTTTTATAACAAACAACATATTGGCTATATCGAACTTTCCCCCCCTTAGGAAGGTTTCCAAAAACGTGCATACAACGTTTTCTGGCCTGTACCTTCCCCCAAAAAAAGAAGTAGGAAAGAAAGGAAATTCCAAAAGCTCAAGTTGCGAACAAAATTGAGCGAAGAGAAGCGATTCAGAAGGGGAGAAAGCTAAAAAATACACTCTGCATGCATGCACAGAAAAAAAAAAAAAAAAAATTACAGCACATTGTTACAAGGCGGAAGTGAAGAGATGAGAAAGAAAGAGAAGCTCTCGCCTTACAATGAACTCTTCGTGGAGGTTCGTTGTAAATGTTTTTTTGCTATATCGAACTACTTGCTGCATCGAACTGATCGTAGGGTTTCCTGCTGTTTGTTATAAGCAGGTTTGACTGTAAACAAGGAGTTCTCGCTGTCGCACCAGACGGCTGCAATGATAGTGAGGCCCATCTGTATCTCGCTAGCATGAACAGTGCAATATAAATGCAATGAAAAGGGGCTGTGCAACGACATTGGGTAGGAATATTTCTTACTTTATGCCAGCTTCCTGGCACTAGTGGGACCCAAGAATACTCAAACGCAACACCACTGACCAAGAAGCGTCTTCGTCGCGGCGGAATTCAAAGGATGAAAGCGGAGCTTTTCTTTCAGTCTCTCCTTCCAAAGCCGCCTTTTGCTCCTTCGCGAAATTTGATGACGGAGGACAATGGCAACAGTACGGTCCCCGGGAATGCGTCATCGAGCTTTGCGATCCGAGCTGTGACGATATTCAAATGCTGCTCACACAGTGGACGCGAAGACTGCGTACGCATTCGATCTGGGCTCGTGACAATTGATACCTCGACATGCATTCGGGTAGTGGCCCGTGTCCAATCGCTGCAACGACGACAATAGCGGAGCCATAAAAATGTCTAAAACTCAGCGTGTGTCCTGTGCTTTGCCAACCCCAGCGCGTGGCTATGATCAACATTGGCGGCATATAATCGGCTCCAGATCACGTGGTTGCTTGTTCTGGCTGCGAGTTGAGGAGGTGAACGGTGCTCGTTTTTCTTTAATTTTTTTCTGGAACTTCTATTGGGCGTGGGGTGAAAAACGAACGCATGTTTCATTGGTCATTAACGTCAGGGATCAGTTTTAAGCGGTATTTGCGCAAAGTACAAAAATTGTTGCATCGCCCCTTGAAGTTGTCTTTCCGTAAATTTGTTGTCAATGCTTCTTTTTAAAAAAATGCCCCCGCTTAGAAATTTTCCCAGATTTGATTTCTCCAAACTTGGCAGGTATGCTATAGATAGAGGCACCAAACAAACTATGCTTTATAATAATGATGCTTAAGCCTTCTTGGATCTCAAAAGCATTGTTGCAAGTTATCCGAAGCCCTATCTGAAATCGCAGAAAACTGTTTTTCGCCCTCCGGAAGTGCAAGCGCAGTCCGTGTCGGAGCGAAGCAATGTTGCTTAGGGTGACCACCCGTCCCACAGCTCGGGGGACTGTCCCGCGTTGAGGGCTTGTGTCCCATGTCCTGTGAGAGGTACCAAAATATTAAAGATGCCTTACTTTCACACTGTTGTAGTACTCGCTACGCAACTCATGACACTGCCGAACAATTGGGCACGGGGAAGTGCGGGGGTTGCTGGTTAATCGTGTGGGAATCACGACGGTACCCCATTTTCTATCCAAGTGCTGCGGGAAGTGATTGTCGTTCTTGCAGGAGAACCAAAACGCATTCGCCGTTGTGCCTCCCCCCCCCCTTCTCCCTGGTGGCAATGTATTGCGAGAGAAAATTGCTCGCCCAAGGTTGACATATAAATTGTAGTTATTTTCAAATCGTGCTGTGTCAATGCAAAAAAGTTGCCGTGGAAAGTTTTCTTTAAATTTTGTTTTGTGAAGACAGTTACACAAGGCAATAAGCCTGCAACGTGCAACGGCCGAAGAAAAAAAAATACAAGGTTCAAAATTTGCGTAGGAGCATGTTGGTAAAAGTAAGCACAGACAGAAAACAATAGACTGAAAAATATTTATAGTTCTTTTTATTTGATGCACTGAGTTCTTCGTATGTTTTAAACTTACCGTGATATCCCGAGTCATCACCCACCCCACTTTTTGGGCAAATATGGATTTCCAAAAAAAACAAAACAGAGTGATCACTTATCTCTACAAATACCCCAACGCAGACTCCTCGATCCGCGAACAATCATTCTACCCGAAAGACGCGGCCGCGGACCTTACATTTGGGGGACGTCCTTGACAAAGTAAAATGAAGGAGGGAAAGGCACTTCCTTTTGTTTACGCACTTCCTCCGCGATTTTCGCGACCCCAAAGTCGTACATGCGTGCGAAAGGAAAACGGTGGAGATTACAAAATGCAACTTTGTTTTGCTTACAAAAAAAAATTGTTCTGACAAAAAGAAAAAAAAAAAAAAAAGTTGGAGAGACATAAGCAGTAACTCATTCAGGAATTGAGAGGTCAGCGAACGCCCCATATCCTGGAATATAACCGCCGAGTGTAAGGTCAAAGTCCGTCTCCACTGAAGTAAGGTCGCCGCGAAACTGCTCCTTTTAAAACATCGCGACCGCGTTTGGGGGGTTGTGCAATGTTCAAGATGCCAACAGGTAAATGAAGATTTGCTGGAACACCACATGCAGACATTTGTAGAGCGTCCCATTTCAAGCTCAGTGTTCGGGCCCATTTCGAGCTCCAGGCATGTGTTCCGAATGCTATGAAACTTGTTCAGAAACAAGTTTTATAGCATCCAGACTTTACTTATAAGACTTGATGCCGAGTGACATGGTACAGTCTAACCATCCACCGTAATTCCCTTCTTTGCGATGCTTGTATGTTAACCCAGTATCTCTGGGCATTTCTGCCCGGCTCACATTCGCACGAAGGCACCGCAAGAAATCGCACAACCGTCTGCGGGAGATGGCGGCCGAGCCTTTTACCGTGGCCTTTGATTTGCTTTTTTGAGGTCACGACGCAAAGGAGCGGCAGTTCTGGATCAACCGGCTACGCAAGGTTGCGGAGGATCACACCAAAACGATAGCACAGGTCAGTTGTGTTACTCTGGCACCCAGAGCCATCGCATAGAGTGGCTTTGTAGACGTTTATAAGCGGCCACGCTTCAAGAGCTTGTCTGGCCACCGGGGTGCAAAACACTTTTTTTGGGGCGCTAGTCTGAAAACCGTGGGTACGCCTCGGCAATGCTCGACTTTTGAACGACCTACCTCACGGAGGTATGAAGCTTCCGGAGGCGACGCGACGCCACTGGAGGTGACGCTATGGGACGAAAAGAAGAGCTGGCTCATCGACTGTTTTGGTCGCCCGAGGGCACGCCTGAGGACAACCAAAACAGCTGTTGGCGCCAAGTCGGCTCTCCTTTTCGTCCAATGGTGTCTCTTGGCCTTGTTCATTGTTGGGGGCATTTCCCTCCACACTTCTGGCTTCACTTCTGGGGGCATGGTGTTGCCTCCAGAAGCTTCCCACCTCCACGATCTACCCACACCAGCAGCAAGATCGTGGCGCCCAGAGGCCGTACTCGCATCTGTTTATAGTGCGAACAACCATGGACGCTCGGTCGCAGAAAAACCCTCCGTTGCTGCCACGGGAGATCCGGGGTCCCCACGAAGGGGCGGTGTCCTCGGAGAAAGGGGCCGGCACTGGGCAGGGCCACCAGGGTGGCTCGGCCAGCGCGCCCGTTTCACAGACAGTGTGGTACACTACGGCGGTGGGCGCTCCGACAGAGGCCACCACGACACCGGCAGAGGCCTTCACCTCGGTGCGCGAGATCCTGGCACGGGCCGGAAGGATGTACCACTGCCTGGCGCGATCCATCGAGGTTTGTTGGCATGTTTCTTCCACCTCCCTAATCTTGCGAAATAGCAGTTTTCGCGCCTTCGCCAATGTTCCTCGGTAATTGCAGACGATCAGTGACCTTAAAAAAACACTGAACCTAGGAAAACAAAAATTTTTTTTCTACCTAATTAGGACAGGCGTATCTAAAAAAAAAAAAAAAAGTTAATCGAAAAAAAAAATTTTTTGCCCTATGTTTTTGGTATAATATGAATTTTTCGATTTGCGGGCGAAACCGAAGTTGTACTTTAGTGGCATGATCATGATAGCGTTTGTACCAATATGATTTGCACTCTGAGTTCACTGGACACTCGAAGCGTACAGTACTTGTGTACAAACGCTATCATCATCCTCCCGTAGAGATTCAATTTCGGTTTCACCCGCAAATTGAGAAAGTTTTATCGTAAGCAAAATAACTTCTTTTTTTTTTTTTTTACGAAAATTTGTTTTGAGAAATGCCTGTCCTAACCAGGTAGGGGAAAAAAAAAAAATTGTTTTCCTAGGTTCAGTGTTTTTTAATGCGTTACTGAACTCTCAACAAACATTTTTTTTTCTAGGTTCCGGGATAAAATGAACTTTCTCTGATAAAAAAATTTTAGCGCAGTATTTATGTTGCGAGGCTCATTTTGATTTAGGATTGATTCCGGAACAATCTTTTGTTTTTAGATGTCAACCCTAGAATAGAAGCATGTTTCAGAGCTGCTCAGATCGGTCTCAAAACAAAAATACTGCACTTAATTTTTTTTTTGTTTTTCGATGGAAGATCTTTGTGACGTGTCTTATTTCGGCACTTAAAGAGAAGTGTTTTTTGGGGAGTTCGGTGAAACTTTTTTTCTTTAGTGTCATGATGTATTTTTAGGCATTATTATGTTTAAAAAAAAAAAAAAAATTCCACACACAAAATATTTTTAAAATGTTTACACTAAAAACTTTATTTTGTTTTTTTACATGCATGAAAAAATAAATACCATGTTGCTTTCTGCATTGAGCACGCTTTCCTCGGAAAGGAAAGCCTGCTCTCAAGGCTTCGCTGCCTTGCTATGGCATCTTAAAGAAGGCCGATATGCTCGCCGTCGGCACTTTGTCCTAGTCTTTTTTCGTCATTGTGATCATCAAGTGACGAGGTTTCGCTCTCACTAAGCATGATGTACTTATTGTTCGAGTCATTGTCGTCATTTTACTCAAGCAACGCTTTGCGCCACTTCCAAGCATCCGTGACCCAGGACGAGAACAAGAAGAGAGATGTTTTCCACCATAATTCAGTTATGTCGCCGGCCAGCAAATGCAAATCAATCTGAACATGTTTGGCATAGTGTTTGATAGATGGCAGCGCCAACAGCCTCCGTAAAAAGTTGGCACGCATTTAAACGAGTACTTTTTTCGTTCATAGGTCAAAATTGAGGCACGCCTAAAGGTGCTTTCTAGTTAAGGGGTTAAAAAGGGGCAATATTGTGGCTCCTGAAGTCATCTTTGTGCGGCACAAACTTGGCCTATCTGCGTAAGCGTCCTCGAAAACCCAAAATCACTATCATGCGTGACCTTTTTTCCTGCTTAAAATTTGCCCAAACATCATTCTGAGATATGTCTCGGGAAAAAGTCCTAACGCAGTGTTTGGTTGCATTTTTGTCCGTCGTGTTTGACCTACTTAGCCGATAGAGAGAAACTTTCTTATTCTTTTTTTGTCTTGACTCGAGACCAGAGCCTTCCAAGCCATGGATCGGGCTACAAGTTTTACGACCGGGTAAGTGTAATTTGCTTTTTCCGTGGGAAACGTCCGGGCACACCATTTACGATTACGTTACCGAGCGCCGCCGTCTCTTGTTCAGAAAAAATGTTCAGGTGCGAGAAAGTGTTAGCCTGAGCCCATGTCGAAGTTAGACCATGTACGAGAAGCTTTCGAGGAGCCTAAAGAAATTGTCCGTCCAGTCGAATGTTTGCTGTGAAGCTTCACTGTGAAACATTTTCTTTAATCGTGAATTGTTTCCGAAAATTGAACAGTAGCCAGCAGCATGGGAGATGCTGCACAAACTATACTGGTCTGACGGAGCCAACGAAGCGGTGCCAAATGTGCTTCGATCACGCCGTATTCACTGCATGTGATTGGTTCAATTAGTGATGGCAAACGCGCAGAGACGACGAGCGCAGTCACGATGCGTTTTTGGCGCTGCTCGATCGGCTCCGTCGCATCATGGCGTCGGCCGCGGTCGGACTCAACGGAAATGGAGTGTGGTCGTAGTTCCCGGGGCTATAGCCAGAAGGGCCGAGTAGTTTTGGTTTAGGACGCACGCCGCCGAAGACACTAGAAGTACCGAGGACCTTCAAGGGGGGGGGGGGGGGGGGGGGGGGGGGGGGGGCGATGACCGTAAAGTAAGAGTGCAACGAGTCCTGGAGAGAGACATTTGGGAATTTCACACAAATTTGCCATCCTCAATATTGGAGAGATGGGAATGGGAAACATTGAATACAGCCCGATGTTTCCACGTTTTCTAAAAGAAAAAGGTAATATTTTTATTTTCCCCTCAAAGGGTTCTAAAAGTAAAAGTTGTATATTTGTTTGCACCCCCCCCCCCACCCCCCTTCTTCAAGCTACAGGAGCATATAAAACTTGAAGGGACACTTAACTCCCAAAAGCTTTTGTTCGACTCGCTTTTAGGGACGCTGAACTCCCAAAAATAGGTTATTTTTTAAGTGCTTGGATTGCAGATGTTTATCACAGAATAAGTTTCCCCGACAACAAGTTTTGCACATGATTATCATTGTGAAACTCATTTTGGGGTCAGGGCCGATTCTGAAACGTGTTTCTAATATTTCGGCATGTCGACTCGTAATAAAAATGTCACAATACTCAAAATAAATCTAAAAAATCTATTAATTGTTTTGGGGGGTGGAAAAAAAATTATTTTGTGATAAACAAAGTATTTTTGTGGATTTTGTTTTTTATTAGAACTTTCAGCACGAAAGATAGTTGGGGGAGTCCACTTCACACGTCTCCTTGCACATCGACTTGCATTAGGACATGCCATCGTACGTTATACGAACGCAACTTGAGGGTCTACAGCCATGTGCCCTCTCGTTTCCGTGCACTCCAGGACATGCTGGTGCTGAAGGCGACCTCTTGTGCCACCGTCATGTGCCTGGAACAGTGCCTGACCATTCTACAGGAACACAAGGTTCGGCTCGCCCGAGATCCCTCTTGGGACTTTGGTCACTGACAAGACGTGAACGGCAGGGAGGTCGTCGAGTTGTCCGGCATCCATTGCGAGCTCCCCACCTTCGCTAACCCTTTGGCGTCTTTTGAGTTTTGAGTGTGCACGCGCGGCCAGTGCACGGGCGAGACGTCGAGCGCGTGCCGGGGTCTGGGCGTCCGAAAGAGGTGCCCTGCCGTTCTCATCCTTTCAGAAACTACCTGGTGTGGGCTGTGGCATTGTTAATTTTGACTGTGGAACACCGACAGCCTTCCAAAAGTAAATGAAACTTCTAGCTATTTACGTACATTGACGAGGAAAACTGTATCGCCCTTGGGCATTATTGCGGGGGGGTGGGTTTTTCAAAGGGGCATTCATCGAACATTGCTGAAAGTAGTGCTCTCCTGACACTTGCTATTCGATGACTGTGAGCAATGATTGCGTTTTCAACCCAAAATGCGGTAGAATGTTGTTAATATGTTTGTCTAAAGGCCGTAATAAAAGAAAAAAATAAAGTCAGGGGAAATGTAAATCGGTAACACTTTTCGGGGCCTATGGGTAACGACGCACAGCTGCCCAAAGGCATCTGTACTGACGAGTAACCCCAGATTTAGCGTCGGCAGATTTCTACAAGCGTTTTGGTGTTGAGCTCTGGTAAATGAAAGCGAGGAACATTTAGGAGTAAGGACAGGTAACTGGAAGGAAGCTTGTACTTGTCTCTTTTTTGCCTCATTTGTTTTATGCATTCATTTTCTAGATATTTAGCGTTACCGTAATATCCCGAGAGGTAGCCCACCTGCAATCGATAGCAAATGGGATGAAAATAAGGAGTGGGCTAACTTTCGGTCTGCCATAAAAAAAAGTTGAAAAATGCTAGTTTTAGAGTTTGTGACCCGCGAAACTTTTGATTGTCGGAAGGGAAGATGGACCATACACGACTGTCCTTCCCAGTCAGCAATATTAGCTTATCTCCTGCCATGGTTTAGTAACACCATTTTTGTTGAGGTCACCATTGGCCAAGGCCCTGCAACTACTGGAAGTGGGCTATCTTTCGGTGTTTTTGAAGAAATAACAAATCGTGTCAAACCTAGGGGTGGGCTACCTTTCGGGAGTTGGCATCTCCCGAGATATTACAGTAGTAGCAAGCTTTTCTGTGCGATGCGTTCCAGTGTCATCTTTTCGTCTGACAGCTTGTGTGGTGCTCTTCTCTAACAGGCCCAAGCTCCTGCTGGCCTCCCTGCTGGATCTACGGTCGAGTGGCTCGAACCTCACTGCAGTGCAGGGTAAGCTTTATTTTGCATTTAGAAATTCTAGTTGTCCGTTCTGGATATCTTCTATGTGCCTGCCACAGAGCTGGTATTAGTGTAAACATCAAGCCCCCCGTTTCGACAACCTCGCCTGAGAGTACCCAGTTGGTGGATTCAAATCCCAGCTGAAAAGCCTGCAGTCTGGTGAGGCTCACTGCCGTGCAACTGAGATTTCAGGTGGCATGTGAAGCGATCCTCAAATGGTCTAAATGACATAGGTAATAGGGTGAACTTCACCACTTTACACGAGCATGCTCAGAAAATCTGCTGGCATGTAGAGGCAGCTCAGTTAGCTATGTGGACTCGGAAATCTGGGGTGGGCGCTTGTTATGTCACTTGCTCGTGTCTCAAACATTGAAAAAGTTGCGGGTGGGCGCTTACTTCGGCATGGGTGCATGGTCTGTATTTTATAGCAGTTTCTCCCTGCATATATTTCATGTATATCCCATCTCTACGAATACTTTTTACGAAGTGTTATTGTTCTGTCAACCTCAATTAATGATGGGCACAAAAAGCTTATTTTCAATTGAGTGCTCTTTCAAAATTGTGTTGGTCTCTGTACTGAATGCCGATTACAATGCACCTAAAAGCCGGATTGTGAAAGCCGTTTGGAAGTTCATGCAAGAAAGAAAATCGTATGACCAGTTCCAACCACTATTGCAGTGCTCATTCTGTTGGCAGATTTTGAGGATGAAAAAATTGTGCTACTCTTTCCTCTGGAAGCACATACAGTGGAGACTCAAATCAATTTATGTCAAATTCTAACAGTTTTTTTCACTTTAACTGCATTTGTGTCTATGCTACAGCTATTTGACTCAAAATCTGAATTTTGAATATTCTATGTATTCGACTTGAGTGTATCTGGTGGCAGATGGCAAAGCTATTCAACTCAAATTTGAAACTGAATAGTTGCTTTGGCTCAACTGCCCTTTGGTTGTGTTTATCGAGTATTTTACTCAAATTCGAAATTCCAAATATTTTATTTGACTCAATTGCATTGTGTCGAATAGCTATATGGCTCAAATACTAAATTTTTTATATTCTATTTTACTCAACTGTATTTGTGTTGAAATCCTTGCTATTCAACTCAAATTTGAGATTCAGAGGCTCAATGTCATTTGTGTCTAATAACATTGCTATTCAATCAAATTTAAATTCTGAGTAAACTCTTCCACTAAATTGCATTTCTGTCATATACCATTGCTGTTCAATGCAAATTTGAGATTTCGTATATTCTCTTCAACTCAACTGCATCTGCGTTGAATACCGAAGCTCTTCAACTTAAATTTGAAATCCTTCCTGAATGATCTATTCGACTCAAGTGCATTTGTTTCAAATACCAAAGCTCAAATTTGAAATTCTTCACATTATGTTTTACCCATTTGGATTTGCGTCGAATACCAAAGCTCGAATCTGAAATTCTGAGCATTGAAGTGCGTGCATTGCGCAGGGACACGACGGATGGCAGCGACGACGCAGGTTTGAGCGGTGACTGGTCCCAGCCGCCCCCACACATTCCCGCGGGGGGCTGTCCAGCCGCCGCAGGTAACGGCATCGCCCTCAGCTGACGCAAGTGCCGGCTACTTTGAGGTCACACAACTCCGCCGAACTGTGTTGCCATTCGTGTCGTGTTCGTCGTCGTTGTCATTGTTCTTTGCTCGAGTCAAACATTTGTTTCTTCAGCAACACAGGAAGAATTGTTGAAACAAGATGAAAGTTTTTTAAGAAGCGTGCCGAAACATTTTTTCTGCCGCGTTAACAACCTTGTACTGAACTGCAGCAAAACCTCGTTCGAGCCGACCTCACTTCGGGGAACATTTGAAAAAGAGAAAACCTCTAGAAAGTTCAGTTTAGGAAACTTGTCCGTACGGTGATTCACAGAAGAAGTGTCACTGCAGTCAGGCTTGAGCTGGGAACATTTTTGTTAGGCCTCCTGGATAGGCTTGCCAGTGTGATCAAACTTTTGTCAGCGTACATTTTTTTACTCTATTTTCCAAACTTTACAAACAATCTGTTTTACCTTCTGGTGAAGGATAGAAAGGGCACACGTGTGCAGGTGCGCTCGAAACGTTGCGGTGCCGTGGACCACTCTTACCGTTTGACCGGTTCACGGCGCATTCACAAATTTTTTTATTTGAGTCAGCTGAGTAACTGCCTTGGCTTCTGTTATTCTATAGTTAAGTGTAGAGTATACTTATGCATTTTACGCCTTAACAAGAAATAATGTTTGAAAACCAGAAGCTTTACGAGACACGTTTTTGGTCTGGAGCAGGGTGTGTGTGAAGGGTACAGGAACTATTTCATCAGTTAACGCTAGTCACATGTCCAGTGGATTTAGACACACGTCGCACACAATCATATTACATCGTGTCTTGGAGGAAATGTGCAATACTGCAACTGCAGCAAGATAGTTTTGAAGATAGTTTTGGTCGTGCACGAACCGAAAGCTACATACAGCGAGGTTGAGGTGAGGTTGTGCCAAAGTTTTATGAAGGTTTCTCCTCTTCAGAGTAGTACATGTTGCACTGATGTGTCAGATTTCATCAGAGTTCTGCAATCATGATTAGAGGCCTTGTCCAAGCTATATGCCTTTTTTGGGTACACCGTTATCGATGCTGTAAACGCTTAGATTTCCTTTTGCCTGCCAACATTCTTTTGACATTCCTGCCGTCGAAACATCACGTCTTGGGAAGATTTTTATGTCCCATTGTCGTGGTCTGTTCGATACCTGGAGCTCGTGGAATGGACACGCGGGCATTGCATTGCCTAGGTGCGTAAGAGTCGTAACGAAGAAGGGATCTAACCATTTCACTCAACATTCTCAGTCAGCATAGCTCGCAAAGTCTTCGGGAGCCATTTGGGTTCATTGCCAGTTCCCGAATTTGGATACTAGTCTCAGCAAACTTTGAACAAAGTAGGTTCTATCAAGTTAGGTATCTGATATTAAAAGCAAAAGGGCATTCACACTTTAGGCATGGCTCCTGGTCATGATAGTTGTGTCTTCACAGCTAGCATTTTCTCTCAGGTTCTTTCGAAGAGTCACTTCAGCATATCTTAGCATTTTTGTTGTATTTCTAAATATGAAATTTCGTGTCTCGACAGCTTTGTGTAACTGCTCGCAAAACGATTCATCAAATCATTGTTTCTCGTAGCCCGTTCAGCTGCATTTTGTAGTCTAGATAGACCATCACAGCCATTCTCTCTAAAATGCAATATTTCTTATCTTTCTCCCTCTAGATAAAATGCATTGTGCCCCATTCTCCTTGTCATCCTCACTTCCTCTTTTCCTCTCGGTGGAAAGGAGCTCCAAAAAAGGAGGCGGTCAAATATGGCTACACCCTTGTGACCCCACGTCTTCCTTCCAATCATAGAATAGGCACATGCGGTCATGAAAACTTTCATCTTATCTCACTAATTTACTAATACAACTCTAATTACTCACTTTCAAAGAACCGGACCACTCGATTTTAAGATAACACAAACCTACCTTGACTGTGGCGTGACCACAGCATTCCTCTCCCGGGGCAGAGTGGTTTTTTCGACAGACCAGTTGTGACACTTTCGAAACTGTACAGAAAAAAGCTTTGTTACGGCGCTCGGATGTCATTTGGGAGATGTTTATGAGCAGCTTGCGACTGCTCTTGTTTCCCACAAAGATTGTGACCTAATAAAGTCTATTGTTGAGTTTCGAGGAGTCCACTCTGTCTCTTGCATGTTTGCGTCGTTTCTCAGCTGCTCTGGTTTCTCTTTGTTCTTCCGAAGCATCTGACGTGTCATAGAATGTCGATATTTTGTTTAGAAAAAAAGGCTAAATGTGTGATTTGGAGAATTTCAAACATTCCACCACGTGCACTCAGTGAAAGAAAGATATGTTTAGTGTGCCCTAAATTACTTTTACACCTGGTATTCCTATAATTCAGGGACATTCATATGGACTGCTAAAGAATCTTGCTTTATTGCAAACATGAAACATATTGCCCATTATTCAAAGAGGACTGGGTTAAAGAAACCAAAGGCTCCAATTTATAGTCTCCTTTTGGTCTAGACATCTCTGAAACATTTCTGAAAACTTTCTTCAAATCTCAACATGCCATAATGTAGTCTAATTGTGTATGCATTATAATACTGTGACTACATATACAGTAGCCGACTAATTTTTCGGATGCGGTCGGAAGTAAGAATAAGTGAGCAGTCTGAAAAAAATGGGTCTGAACAACAACCCCCAGGTCACTGACAATCCCGTGCCAACGTCCAAATAATCAAGCACGTCCGAATTTGTGGCTTCCGAAAAATCGGCCGGCTACTGTAGCTGGAACGATGGTAGTTCCCATAAGATTAGCTGAAATAAGTGGTCACATGCAGCATGAAGATATCTGTTGAAATGTACCTTGAGGAAGATGGCTTTTTCTTCTGAGCAACAAACTACTATGTTGGCATAGTTGACTATGAGCATATAGAAGCATGTCTTTAATGGTGAAGGTGCATGTAATAGCAAGATAGAAAGCGTAAATGGACATAGCAGCACATTGTGCTAACAACCTACTAAGTGTAGATATCTTTTGCTGTTGCACGTGGCCATTCAGTTCCTGGGGAACCTGATCCGACAATAACTCGTATAGAAAAAAAATGGAACATGCACAACATGATGCGCAAACAGTTATAAAAATGCCATGTGTCGTTCAAATGGGGGAATGATGGATCAGTGTTAAGCGGACTGCCAATATGCAGACACCGCTGGAGCAGAAGACGTGGGAGGACCCAGAGTTTGCAATACAGCACATGGACAAAGCAGTTGACCTTGTTCAATGAAGCTATAGAGGCAATAACTGCAGAAACTTCTTAGTGTGTCCTTTCCACAAAATGAAAGCCGACCGGAGATGTTGCGTGCACGAGTTGCGACTAAACTTTGCTTAGGGGCCAGGGAAAGGCAAGACACAAATTTTGTGTTCTAGTTTTTCAATAGTGTAAACACTAGCAGTATTGTTGGCATCCTTAAAACTGCTCACATTAATGCCTCCGTAGTCGGCACTATACTAACGCAAGTGACACTGGTGGCAGGTGGCGAACGCAACCGCTAACTGCTTGGGGGTGCTTTTTCAACGGCATAAAATGACGAACAAGCTTTAGACCTGATCGGTTACTCATGAGTCGACGGCGGCAAACGGCCGATTTGTCATTTCTAGACTTCGCTATTGAAAGCCAACAAGAGACGTAAATCTACATTGATTTAGAAACTGCCACCAACTCAATTGTTAGCATTAGACGGTCTCCAGTGGGTACATACGCTCTACCAGAGGCGACCAAGTATAGGTTACACTCAGGAGCGAAGTCGCTGAAATGTATTGTGAAGGATTAGTGTTGTCAGTCACTGCAGGTTACGGTGACTTGCCTATAGTCACCGAAGGGATGAGAATGGCTGTAAGGTTCTTCTGCTCCTGTCTCCAGTGGGAGCTTCCTGCCTTCTATAATGTTTCGGCATCTTATGAGCCTCGAGCGTGCATGCACAGCCAAAGCACGGCGAAAGGCAAGGGGCATGTGGTGAAGGCATCGGAAAGAGACGCCTGCCGTTCTCGTCATGTCACTGATTACGGTGGAATGCGCTTGGAAGAGCTTCTATTCGGATTGTGCTTTAAAATGGCACGCGACAGAGAAAAAGGGCACTGCTGGTCTCCTGACATGAGATCTATAATTTCAGGTTACATACAACAAAATGGCAGAACTTGTGGGCTGTCGCTGCCTAGAGAGATGCCGTGCGACGTGTACTGACAAATGACTGCCTTGCCAGGGCTCAACAGTGGGGAAAAATGGGTGTCAGTACTTTGGGGATGGCTCCTTAGTGACCCTAGTTCTGTCATTTCCCTGGTAGAGGTTCACTGTGCAAGTTCTTTTAAGTGTGGTGAAAAAAGGGAGAGGTTCCTTTGCAAGTGGAGAAAAAGAAGAGGTTATTTAGGGAGTAAGGGAAGATGTAAGAGGTTTGTTTCAGAGCAGAGAAAAACGCAATGTTCTTTTTGGGTTGGGAAAAGGAGTGAGTGGTTCTTTGGGGGGAGGGGGAGAGGTTATTTTGGGAGCGGCAAAAAGATCAAGGAGTTCTGGAAGCAAGGAAGAAACTAAAATTTTCTTTTTTGGAATGGGGAAAAGCGAGAGCACAGAAAAGGGTGACAAGTTCTTTTTGGAGTGTGGGAAAGGATCGAGAGGTTTCTGGAAGTGAGGAAAAGAGAGGTTCTTTTGGGAGCGAGAAAATCCAGCCAGAGACCCTAAAGGCCACTTCTCGCGCAGTGGTTGGAGCCAACAGCTCGGGAGAGGTGTCAGACGGGGAGAGTGGAGAGGAGGATGAGTCCATCCCCACAGAGGAGAACAAGGACTCTATTCTTCAGCTACTCTCCAAGCTCAAGCTGGGCATGGACCTCACAAAGGCATGGCATTTGTGCTTTCCTCCTGGTTCGGCGGGGCTGGGCCTCCACAGTGTCTGAGCAACGAAGCGCTGGCTTAGAGGCACAGACTGGTGGAATATTCGTTGAAGGACAAAGCAGTGAGGGGCTAGTTAAAAAATATGGAAAGATGCGACCCTGACTAAAAAGTAGGATGATGGTGCACTCAGCAGAGCAACTGTGCAACTTATAAAACGGAGTGCGCAAGAAAGGGACAAAAGAAGACGCATTCGACAGACAAGCACTCGCTTGCAACTGATTGTTTAATTTTATAGTTTGTAAAAGGGAAGATGCCATAATCCAGTCTGCTCGTGCGCAAAATGATTCCTCAAATCTCGCCACAAGGAGCGAAAAGCCGCCTTCATTAATCAAACGAAAAGTTGTGAGAAAAAGCCCCACTTGTATAACTCAACTACGAACACATGTTCCGACTGGAGATAGAAACATGCACTCCGCCTTTGCGAAAAATGATGGAATGACTTGTATAAACTTTGCTTAAAGTTCTTAAAGAACACATGCAAAGGAAAAAAAAAAATTTTTTAAACAGGCTCAATGGAAAAAGAATATTATAAAACGAATCAACAACGAAGAAAAAACATTTTAGAGCTATATTTATAGCGCAGAACGAATTTGTATTTGGCGCCCGCGGGAGCTGCTACTGGTCATGTGGTAGGCCGCGCGCCGCCACCGCACGCTGAGCATTTTACGATGCCGCTTCAACGCGTTTCTCCACGCCACCGTCGCCGCCGCCGCACAAGTTCGTCTGCTTCGGGGCGCCGCCGCCGTCATCTGACTGGCGGACAGGTCTATCACAGTGCTTGTGCTTTTTCAGGAGTTTCCCTTTGGACTCTAAAGGGTACTTATTAATCTTAGTTTTTTGTTATACTTCAAACAAAGATGAGTAAGTTACTTTTAGAGGCCATGGAAGCTTCCGAAAGAGTGCAAGCACGTGACAAGTATGGGCCAGTCACGTGATAAATAAGGGCCACTTTTCCGTGGCGCCCGCAGGCGTCAACTACAAATTCGATAGCACCGTAAATATAGCTTTAAAATTTTTTTTCTTCATTGTAAAATTGTCTTATGATATCCTTTTTCCATCTAAGCTGTTAAAAAAAAATTTTTTTCCTTTGCATGTGCCCTTTAAAACATAACTTGTAGAACTCCCTGTGCCCTCTGCTCTGAAGTCTGTCCAGAATCTTTGTATTTTTTAAATGTTGTCTATTGTTTTGAAGGACGCCGAGTGTGCTTTTTATTTTCAACCAGAACATGTCTTCGTAATTCAGCCACGTGACTGGGGTTTTTTCCTATGACTTTTTGTTTGACTAGCTTGAAACTTCAACCAATGAAGTGTTTTGCGATCTTCAGGTGTCGCTCCCAAGCTACATTCTAGAGCCAAGGTCGCTCCTTGAGGTTTATGCGGACTTCATGAGCTACCCGGATCTGTTTGTGAGGTAAGTAAAAGGGCGATTGAGCTCACATCTATGACAAAAACGTTTACTTTTACAACAAAGTAATCACCTGCCATGTGCACTGAGACTGTTTTTTTAATGTGTTAGCATTAGAACGCTTGTTTTGACGAAAACCTGGTGGAGTCTTTCGTTTGTGAGTGCCAGGGAGAGAGGGAGAAGAAGGAGGAGAGGGGTACGCGTGCGACATTCTGATTGGTCCAAAGCACAGACATCAGCATCTGTCAACCTCTCCCCCTCTCCCCGGCCCTGACAAACTGACAGACACCGCCGGGTCTCCACCAAAACGAGCCCTTTAGTTCTCGGCAAAGTCGCGCACACAGCTGGCACGAAGCCATAGAGGAGGGGGCACCGCGCAACACCTCCTAGGTAGCAAAGCCATAGTGCTGAATGAGATGGCGTAATCAGAGAAGGCCAATGCTGGACACAGATTGGAAACGAGTGCTGTGTCAGCGCTCGGCTTAGAGTCAAGTTTGAGCCAAACGTTGACGCAATCGTCTTGTCCATTCTATGCCCAGTGTTGGCCTTCTCTGATGACGCCATCTCATTCAGCACTACAGCTTTATCTAGGAGGCTTTGTGCTGCGGCGCGGTGGAATGCGGGCATGTTCAGTTGCCGCTCTTGTCGGTGCTACTTCACTCTGGGTTCTCGTAGTAGTGGTGCATGGGCCGTGATGTTTGTGTGTAGTTAAAATGATGGATGTGGTTCCCTCCACGAGTGATGTAATTGTATTAATAATAGTACCTTTATTTTTTCCAACAAAAACAATGTTGTTTTTATATGCGGTTCCTTTCACAAGTGGTGCGAATGTAGTTCTTTCCATGAGTGATATGGATAACCGTATTCGAGGGCGTTGACATGCTCTGACAGGTAGACTGCAGAAAAGGGTTGAAAAAAAAATTACACTAAGATCCATTGGTGTATTTTTAGGGAATACATTAGCATGACCCTTAGGAAACGCCACATACGTCCCCCTTCGGGAAACGCTAACACTGACCCCGTAACGAGGCCAAAAAGAGGAAGCAAGAAAGAAAGCTAAAAGAGAAAATTACATGAGGGCACTTAAGCTTCATCTTTAAGAGTAGAATGCTATAGCTAAACATATAAACTCCCGCTCGTTCCCAAGCAGTGCAAGCGGGTCTGTGTGGCCTAGTCCGTAGCATGTCTAGCTCTAAACCAAAGGGTTGTGTGTTCAAATCCTGCCTATACAGATTTTTTTTAAGGCAAACGAATTACTTTATAAAGTGAAATCATTTGAGTAGACATGCGGCAACCTTTAATTCCCACTACATGTTCACTTTCATTACACGCGTGACGTTGCGATTGTCGTGAGCATTGTGGGTAGTTTGAAATTCCTGCGCAAGGTCATGTGGCTGTGACATCATGGCCCTATCGACCAACCAGGAGTTTCTCGTCCCACCAATATTGATGCCGATGCTGGCTTCTATGTGACAAGAGCGCCTAAACGCTATTGCATGAAAGGTGAAGGGGTAAGTGTTAGCATTTTCCAAAGGGACGTGTGTGGTGTTTCAAAGGGTCATGCTAACGCATTCTCTACGAACCCACCAAAGGATCTTCCTGTAATTTGTTTTTACCCCAGTTTTGAAATGAGCTCATTTTGCCAACAGTTTCAACCTTTTTCTTTTTTTTTGTGAGAAGGTATTTGCAATGGATTTGCTATTCATTTGGTCCACTTCTTTAGACAAAAAAGAAAACTACATTGCCTTAAAGGGAATTTACAGTATCAAAATTTTGATTGAATTGGATTGAGTGCAGTGATATACTGTAACCTATAAGATTGGATTGCACATGCAGGGTACTGAGAACCCCCAACATTGGGTTGAACTTACTAGAATAGAAAGAAATTCATCTCTCCTTGCCAGATCAGGTTGAATTAACTGAAATACTGAGGACCCCTAGCCCCCCTGAGTTTAAGTAAAATTGCAGCCCAGATTTTTGTTGTCTTCGGTTTCACCACGCGCAGAATTGCCGACGGAACCACGCCAGAGGAGCGGCTTGTACGAGTGGTGGAGTGGTTCCTCTGTTCCCTGTACGCAACCCGGAAGGCAAGTATAGCTCCATTTCTTCCTCGCATCTTGGGCTTAGTATGTAGTCTTCTCTCACTACCTTGTCTTTTCTTCACCGTTATATTCTATACTCGTTTGTACCTCAAGAACCTGCTGTAAATTGATCATAATCCAATAAACTCGGAGATGCACAAAATGTGTTACAAACGACCTGCACACGTGCTGTGTGTGTGTTTGTAATTTCATCTGATGTCATGACGTAATGGAATGTCACGTGACTTTGCTGTGTCACACAGTGCCACATGGCACAACGCGATGCCATGGTGTCATGCGATGTCACGGTGTTGCATGACATCGCAGTGTGGCATGATGTTGCTTGACTTTGTGATGTCAGGGTAGCGCATAGCTTTTTGTCGTAGCGCGTAGCTTTTTGTCATGAAACCCAGCCCTATAACATATTCATGTTAAAAAGCACGACTCCTTGGAGAGTGTTACTAATCTACGTCAGTACTTCATCATGGTTGCTTACATACCTTATCTTGGGACTAAATCAACAGCGGGTGTCCCATATTTGGATTTTACGGGTCGGAGGTATTACACCGGTCGTGGGTGCGTTGTCGTGTGCAGAGCCATTCAGCGCGGAAGCCCTACAACCCTGTTCTGGGTGAGATGTTTCGCTGCTCGTGGCAGGTGCCCGGAATGGGCGACGCGGGCCTGCAGGTGACGTTTGTTGCCGAGCAGGTGTCACACCACCCCCCAGGTGGGTCTCTCTCCTTTTTCCCCACTCGTACTTACATCCGTGCAGTAAAGGGCAGTGCGCCCATTTCTGTCCGACCATGGTTGACTGTGCCATAACTGCTTGTGATGACTTTTGATGAGAAAATACACCGGGACCATCAATAGGCTAGCCCTGGAACTCTTCCGACCTATACGCAGGGTGGCACAAGCGGACCTTCTGCTGTAAAACGAGCCGAAAAAATCGCTGCCTGCACATAGAAAGCTCAAACTGTCACTGAACGCTCACATACCAGATCAGTTTTACCGTGCAATATTTCGAGGCATAGTTCTCTTTCTTTCAAAAATGAGAGCAAAAAACTTGGCGAAGTTAAAGTTTGTTGCATTCACAGAGGACCCAACAAGCTATGCTATTTACTCGTGGTGCCATCTGCCGATAGGCGCAGCGAGCAGACGACGCACTCTATCGTCTGCTTGCTGTGCCTATCGGGAGATGGCGCCACGAGTGTTAACTCCGTAGACGATTTAGGTAAAATAACTGGCTTTATTGTTAATATAACAGCATATTGAACATCCGCTCTTCTCCACTGCCCGAGAAAGAGTCCTCTTCCTCCTCTCCCGCTGAATTTGCGTTGCGCGCTGATTCTGGCAAGGTAGTGCCATCTCGTGGCCCAGTGGCGAACCGGGGGTTACACTCGGCCGTCCTGCTTTACCGACCGTCCCAGTTGGAATCCTCATTAGAATCTTCGGAGTTGAAGTCGTCTGCACTCCGGGGCTTGAGCTTGTCGTAGAAGTATGATTCAATCGGCTCGCCTCGCTTGCAACGCCGATCCTCTATGTCACGATGTAAGCGTTGCACCGATGTTGCTGACGGGTACGTGCGCCTGAGTTCTTTCCCTTCCGTCCATGTTTTATCTACCGACGACAAGGAATCGTACCAGTTCCTCGTCGGGTCCTCAAGCTTCGTAATGGCGTTGCAGGACATCACCTTGTCAGTCTAATGATAGATGTCGGCGAGGTCGTCGATTCGTCGGATCCACGTGTCAACCGTCGGGCAGCTTAATAAAAGTGGGTTGAACAATGGTACCAGCCACGCCGTCTCTCCCACATTGGAGACAGGCGAAGCAACCGCTCGAGTCTGGAGAAGTGCCATGCCACTGACAACTTCTCTCACCGCCGTCTGGACTGTGGCCTGGACAATCGCAGTTACGTCCAGTGTTGAATCAGGTCCTGTTGCAGATGGAGTCGGAAGTTTGTTGCCGGTCTTCTCCCCTTTGTCCTTGTTCCTGCCATCTTTGTTTTTCGTGGCGGTCGAAGATGCTGCATTGCGAGTCACAGGACGCATCGTTGGGGTGACCAGACGATCGTTTTACGTTCGGGACGTTCATCCCACTTCTGGGTTGTTAACTCCGTAGATGATTTAGGTAAAATAACTGGCTTTATTGTGAATATAACGGCATGTTGAACGTCCGCTCTTCTCCACTGCCCGAGTCCTCCTCCTCTTCTGCTGGGTTTGTGCCGCGCGCCGATTCTGGCAAGGTAGCGCCATTTCGTGGCCCAGTGGCGAACCAAGCAAAAAGCGTCTCCAACTCAGTCGTCTGCAAACGCACCCAACCTCGACTGTGGCAAGCTTTTTGCTCTTAATCTTGTCAGAAAAAGAACTATGCCTCGAAATTTCGTGCAGTAAAACATGCCTGCTCGTTGCACGTTTGGAGAAAGTTTGAGCTTTCTTTGCGTAGGCGCCAATTTCTTTGGCTTGTTTTACGGCAGACGGTTCGCTTGGGACACCTTGTATAGATATATATATTATGCATCATTCTTTCACCGTCGGCTAGAGATAATTCCGACAGTGTTAAACACTTCTCGTTGGCAGCGTGTAGATTTGATCTTGAAAATACAGCAAAACTTTCGGCCTTATTACTTACGGGTCGGAAAGCCGCCTCAATGGCCCAGAGTCAAAGCGGATCCTTGTTTGGTGGGTTCAAATCCCCGGTCGGCGAGTTCGATCCCCGGTCAGGGTGCCCACAGTCCGAGGGAAACTCGTTGTGGGGGAAGGCACAGTGCGACAGGGATTTCGGTTGCACGTTAAAAGATCCCCAGGTGGTCGGAATCGATAGTCAGTCCTCTGCCGGAGCATGCCAGAGGCCCTTCACTGACTTGGCACCTAAAATCCTTGAATTTGGCCCCAGTAAATGACGCCAGTTTGTTCTGCAACATTCTGAGCCGTCGCAAGCGTATGTGGTTCAGTCAGTCACAATCAAACACAAATGTGCGAACGAGCCCCAAGTTGATTGTTCCACTTTTAAACGAGCCATAGTCCTCAGTCCTCTGGTCTCACCTAAAGCCCCCCCGATAGCGTTCACGTTTGGCGTTCCTCACAGGTACCACTAACCATTGTCGCGGGAACGAGCGAGACACGCGTCACGAGCGAGTGCTCCTCTGCTGTTTGCTTCCAAGGGCCGCTCATTTCAGTGCATCGCCACTGTTTGCTTCCGAGGGTTGCACGAGACACGCGCCTCGACCCGCGTTTGCATCTGACGCTACCATAGTATACCGAGCATCCACCCATTCCACAATATGCGCCCGCCGCTCAATTTTGTAGCGTTCGGCAAATACACAGAGGCCATGTCTTTTACATGCTGTTGACCTAAGGAGCACCCATCCCCCTGTTTGACGCGATTATCTCCAGGTTTTGAGTGGGCGCTTGCTCTGGATTTTACGGTACTTGCATACACAGACGCATCGAGGGGCTTTAGTCTGACCTCCTCCCCTCCCTGAACCCCTCTTTCCAGTGAGTGCCTTCTACGTGGAGTGCATGGAAAAGAAGATGTGTCTCGAAGCGTCGCTGGGCGTCAAGTCCAACCTGATGGGCAACTACGTCGGCATGCAGTTCCTCGGAGAGGGCAGGTGCCTCCTTGACGCAACATATTTAGACTAGAGGGTGTGGAGGGTGGTGAGGGCAGTCCCTGTTCAAATGCAGCTAACCTTGCCGAGTTTGGGAAGTAGCCTTGGTGACGTCACAGTGAGACATGACACTGTGTTGTCGTCTCAAAGGTGCTCTAGATGCCCAGTCTTTTATAAAGGCGATGCTCGTCATGCGATGTGCCTTTCTGCCTTAGTGGGGTAAAAAGGATGTCCAAGCACGAAGAATACACTATGCACGCTCTTCGTTTTTGGTGGATAGATGTGATCTTTGTTGGCCACATCTGGCTGTTTTAAAATTTAGGGGGTTTGTCGTGTTGCTGCAGTCCAGTGTCCTTAGTTATAAACTAATTCCAGGGCCACAACTTTTTCCAAACCTTGAATGCTAAAAAGTGTTTGGAAACAACAAAAACATCATGTCCGTCTGCCATAAAAGAGCACTCCTCTGTCTGTTTTGGCACCCCTAAAGAGGGAGACTTAACCCCTTAACTGGGGAGTGCATGCACCTCTATTTTGATCTTGAAATGGGGGAGTGCATCTAAAGACGCGCAACACTTCCTTTGGGTGGAGGAAGCTCTCCGTGGAACTTCCGCCAGTTTTTGAATGAGGTTATAGGCGCTGCTATCTATCAAACACGGTACCAAACACGCTTAGGTTCATTTGCACTTGCTGGTTGGCGAAATAATTTACTTTTTTTGTCAGGAAATAGGTTTTCTTTTTCTCATTCTGGAACATATATGCTTGGAAACGAGGCAAAGCTTTGACAGTTGCGGAAATTGCGATGTTGTTTCAGCGAAGTGACGATGATTTCGTGCATGCTCAGTGACAGTGAAACCTCCGAAATATTTACAAGTCAAGCCTGGCATTATATATATATATATATATATATATATACATATATATATATATGTATATACATATATATATATATATATTTTTTTTTTAAATTCATTTATAAAACACCCATCTTCATGACCTACCATATAAAGTCAAACGTGTAAAAATAAACAGCATCTCCACTTTTCTGTACTTTAGCACAGTTTGCTGCATGTTGTTCCTTTGCACAAAGTAAACCAATTCAGTTTTTGTGTGAAAAATATTTTTAAAAGATTTTTTTAGTGAAAAAGTTATTCCAAGGCATTGTCGCAAACCCCAAAAAATCTCTCGCTCAGGGGGTTAAACCTATGGAAAACAATTGGAAGGGAAGCAGTATCTTATTTCCTCTAATACCAATAAACATTTTCAAGAATGCAAGTCTAAAAAATTTTTAGACTCACATTGTTTTGCTTCATACTGTTGAGTCATACACCGCACAAACCGCAAACCAGATAAAATAGCTAAAAGTGTGTGGTTACAAATTTGGAGTTCATTTTTGCAGAAAAATGCTTTCAAAAATGAAAATACAGAGAAAACAAAAAGTTTCTTCATTACTCTTTGAGCGATTCTACAATGATCGCTCTGCTTCAACAAAGCAGTTGAGCGATATTCCGGCTGCACTAAGTGCAAGTCGTGGCAATACATGCGACCAAAGCACTTCTCAAAGCTGCGGGCTCGTAGGCCAGTGCATTCATAAAAAATCATAGCCCGAGCTGTGCTTTTTCCTTCATCACACTTCGACTATTTACCCACGGCAGTTTCCGTCCACCTTCCGTCGTCGGAGGCGTTGCTAGATGTGCACTACTTATTGGGCAGATTTCTTTGGCTACCAACGATGTGAAGCCCTTTTCAGATGCACAGCTGCATCGGGAGGTTCGGGAGAATACCATCAACAAACATTGATTGTGACCGTCAACCACTCACTTTGAATTCCCTTCTTTTTTCCTTTGGGCACTTATTCATCTGCTTAGAAAATTGGCCGTGCAGAATGTCTGAACTTTTGTTGCTTGGACCTCAGCATTTGTCCCCATCTTGACTTTAATTGAATCTCGTTTGATTGCAACATTTGTGTACCCGACACTGCAGTGGAGCTGCGTCTGCTGTCTTTGGACGAGGTGTACGTGATTGGACTGCCAACGATGTACTGGCGCTCGCTGCTCAACCAGCCGTACGTGGAGCTCAACGGCCGTGTGAGCGTGACCTGCGGTGATGCAGTCGCTCCCATCACATTTCACCCCAAGGCAAGTGACTCTGATCAACCTAGCAATATTGGCATGACAATTTGTTTCACACTGTTTGGAATGTGTCCCGGTTTGGTTTATTTACTACTAAATGCTGTCACAGTAAACTCATACTTGGTATAGTGCCTCAATGCATAGAAAAACATAGGGTGACAGTTTACCAGCATGGATCCCCCAACGATATTGGCATGATGTTTTGTGTTTGTAAGGATACCTTGATAGAATGGATAGTTGGACGAGTTGGTACTTATTAAATCTTGTAACAGAGTGACTAGACACAAATAAAAAGAGAAACTGGACAACAAGAATGCTTAGCAGAGCGTTTGTGTCGTCCAGTCTTTCTCTTTGTCCGTGTCTATTCACTCCGTTTCAGGATGGATGCCTTGATTTAGTTTTCGCTGAACATCGTCACTGTGAGCTTATGCTTGGTGTGGTACCTCAACACACAGAAAGACATTGGACGATGGTTCACCAGCATGTATTCTTGCGAGAATCCAATATGCGAGTAAATACGGTACGTGACATGAAACGCCCTGTAGAGTAAAACTTTTTTTATGGTGAGAAGTTTCTTTTCACGAAAAGTCTTCACTACATCTTTATCTTAACCATATCAGTATGTAAAATGTCTATATGAGCATTGCGAGTAGTGCAACTTTGTCACACTACATCCATAACTTCCATTCTATCAGCCTTTGCTGTACGGAAGCATTAGTATACAGTGCAATTTTAGTTGGTGCATAATGTAGATGATTAGGCTAGTTTATTCATTGTTAAAAGTACAAATAGTGCGACGAGAAGGACAGAGGAAAAGAAGACTTCGATGTTGTTGTTTTGTCAGTTTTCGTTTACTCTGTCCTTGCCGTTGCGCCATTCATATCGTTGAAAAAATGTATCACAAGGGTGTTTTAAATAGTTGCCCAACCGTTCCGCAGCCCTTCTATGGCGGCAAGTTGCACTGTGTGTCCGGAGAGGTCAAGTCCGGCAGCGGCGACGTCGTCTGCAAGGTGTCGGGGGAGTGGGACGGAAAATTGGAGCTGCAGTATCCAGACGTGAGTGGTCTCCTCTCGGCGGCTCGAATTTGCCAGGTGGCGGGTTAAAATTCCGGTTGACATGCCTGCAATCTGACATAGACTAATCGTGGACAACCCAGATTTTGGTTGCTCAGCAAAAGATCCCCAGTACCAGTTTGCCAGTCGATGAAGCCATCTCTGCCGGCGGCTGAATATGCTGCAGGAGGGAGTTTCTGGTCACATGACCGGTCCAAAGGGCAAGAAGTACCCAGCATTCCAGTCGATTCCATTCGGAAGAGTCAAGTCTCGCCCGTTGTTTTCTTTCGATTTTCGCTTACCACTACCTTCCCCAGGAATAACTTTACGTGCCACTCCTAAAGTACACAAATGCGGTTCATTTCACGTGCATTCGAGCCTCTTTACTTCTTTTCTGGGTGTGGGATCGGATCTTAGCGATCGACGCGAGGACAGAACTGTGACAGCCATTTGCCCGTCTTTGCGTCGACTATTTGACCTTGAAGGAGCCGCACACCGCAGCACAGGTATTTTTTGTTTCTGCATGAGGCTGAAATAACATGAATGAGTAACTGTAAGAGATTGGTGGAAATAGGGAGTTTCAACGGGGGTGCTTAGTGCATTTGCTAAGCCAGGTGAAAGTAGGGAGTTTCAAGGTGCTGAGTGCGTCTGCTAAGCCATAAAAGCTGATATTGACGAGTAAAGCTTTCTGAAACATGAGACGAACCTGCAAACATGGGGTGAGAGTTCCGGGGCAGTGTCAAAATTGCCACGGAGTCCATGGTTTTACCCATTTCTTTTTGTCATTTTCGCGGCAGCGACTGAAATCAAAAGAGAGATAGAGTGCATTCTGAATGTTACTGTGACCTCGTTGCGGAGTTGCAAATTTCAACTCTTTGGTACTGAAATAAAGTACTTGAATACATCCTTATCTAAAAATTGTGATCGGAGGGTATTCGTTGAGCTCATTGCCTCCGCTAGGGGAACATTCGTGGCTTATAGTTGCTCGCCAGAGCTATCAATCAATGCACCCAAGGTCATTGAAACAATTTTGGCCAATGATGTGCCCTTATTTTTGTCCTATTCATACCAATTAATGACCAAACTCTCTACATATACGGCTCTGCACCGGAGAACCTTGAGGGGTACCCTGCAGGTACACTGGAGAACCCCAGGGGGTACTCTGGGGAGCCCCTGAAGGTACTCTGTGGGAGCCTTTGAGGGTACTCTGGGGAGCCCCCGAGGATACTTTGAGGAGCCCCTAAAAGTACTTTGAGGCAGTGGCGTCACAAGGATCAGCAGCACTCAAACAATAACTCACCACGACCCCCCCTTCCCCCCCCCCCGCTCTTGTGGTCCGTCGTTGTGATGCCACTGCTGTGAAAAGCCCCTGAAGCTACTCTGGGGAGCCTTTAAGGGTACTTAGAGGAATCCCTGAGGGTACTTTGAGGAGCCCCTGGGTTCCTGGAACCCATTTGCTAGAGGATTTTGGTGAGTGGCGATTAAGTGAACCCAGTCCACGGCCGCGCGCGCAGGGCAACACCAGGGAGTGGCCGGTGAGGGAGCAGCATCGCCAGCACAAGCGTTGCCGTCCAGTGGACGCCCAAGACACGTGCGAGTCCCGCCGGCTGTGGCGTCCTGTCACGCAGGCGCTCCGCTCGGGGGACCTCATGCTCGCTTCGCACCACAAGTTCCAGGTGGGAGCATTCTATTTCTCCGACAGTTAGTGAAGTTTATCAATGCCTACAGTCCAGGACCGGTCATGATCTACAAGGGCATATTTCGGCTGAAGAAAAAAGTTTTTCTTTGGATAATTCACACCCGATGTCTTTATTGTTACCGCACAAAGAAGCTCGTGTCGTACAAAAATCACCACTAACATAATCCATTGTTCACAAAATCCGTCACGTATTATCATAATGAACGATTTAGAAGATACAGTTTTAAGCATGCTCAGTTCGTACATAGACTATAGCCCGGAAGATACGGTGCGCGCAGAATGTGCCGGGTGTTTGGCAGGAAAAAAAGCCGCGTTTTTCTCACTGCAAAAATAAGTTATGCATTACCGGACGTTCTGTCTCTGCCCAAATGTAGCTCTAACGGTTGGGACCGAGCACCGAAGTTTCAGAACTTGCTGTCGTCCCATTAAAAAGCTGCGAGCGGTTTTCTGAAATTTTTTGTAAGTAGGATCAGTTCGTCAGCAGATGCCATTCATCTCCACATACTGGTGGACTTCGCTAACCTCCATTTTCTCATTGAAAGTTTTAAAAAATTGCCTGTAACTTTTTAATTAGATAACAATAAGTTGCAAAACTCGCATGTGGTCCCAATTGCTGGCACTCCACTTGGGCAGAGACCAAGCGTCCAGCGACGCGTGGCTTATTTTTGCGGCGAGAAAAACGCTGCTCTGTTTCTTCACAAACGCCCGGTATTTTCCACAAAACGACCCTGCACTTTAATCAGTCTCCTGCAACAATGCCCTTTGAATGTGGCAGGACAATGTAATGTAAATAGGTGAAGACTGAGGTGACCCGTTGTCATTGCGATGCAGATTGAAGAGAGGCAGAGGGAGCTCACGAAAGGAAAGGATGCTGCCGAAACAGAAAATGGCCTACAAGCGCAGGACGCAAAGGTAAGCGTCTATTGCTCACTTGTGTTGACGCTATTACATTGATACGTATGAGGATATATAAAGCCAATTGTTTAGAGCTCGTGGCATTCTTGCAGTCGAGGCATCGAAGCTAAGCTAAAGGCAGGCGTTCAGCGACGACCATGGTTTCTGGTCTTCAGCATTTTTCTTGAACATAATTTAATGTGGCACATCAGAACATCTCGCGACTAAAATAAAATTTGCATTTATGGGCATCTAAGTTTACGGGGGTACGATTTCGGCATATCAATTTTACGGGAATATGACATAAGAGGAGCAAACTGAGGAAGTGCAGCTTTTTAAACGTAGTATGCGTTTGGTTGGTGGCTACATTTCTACTGTCTTCTAAATTCTGTGTGCACGGCTCTTCTGAGCCAATAAAAATTCCAATTACCGTATTTACTCGCATATTGGTCAATACGTCGTATAGGTCGACCCCCTAACTTCGGGACCCCCGAAAAAAAAAAAAAGTTGAAAAATATAATACCGGGATTCGCGTATTGGTCGACCCCCCAGTTTTGATGAGGCGATTTTTGAAAAACAGGTCGACCTATACGCGAGTAAATACGGTATTATGATTCTTATTAAATAAACTAACTAAATGGATTGGTTCACCAAACCATTGGCTTCGTAGTGCTTTGGTAGGAGACACGAGGAATAAAATAAATGCAGAATGGTCGGTCAAATTTTCTGGCATTTTTTTTCTTACCGATTTGCTGAAATAATATTAGCTGCTCATTTTTCCTCACTACCGAAAGCCGAAAACTTGCCATAAATGCGTTTCATTGTTACAAAACTTTCCTCTAACAAACCTTATCTGTATGGCATCACTAACACACTGTGTGTGCGGTTTCATTCTTGCAGTTGTTCCGACTCGAAGGCAACATGTGGAAGTACAAATACATCCTGAGCAAGGGCAGCTAGCCACAGAAGGCAGCCAGAAGATTTTCCGCTATTGGGAGAAGACGGCTGCGCGAGACACAACTTTTGCCTCCAGGGTATTATGAGGGGGCTTAAAGGCAATTTTTGTTACCATATTTAGCTATTTTCTCTGCCCTAAGTCAGCTAACGCAAGTGGCGAATCGGAACACGGCCTTCGTATGGTGCGAATTCATTCGTCAACTGGCTGTCGTGTAACCGAATATCAGGAAAGACATTTAGTACAAGCTTGTTTGTTGCGGCAGAAACTGGATATGCCTCCTTGATCGTGAAGCTTTTGTTTCTGTTTCTGCAGCCTTTTAACAAAATAATGAAAGTAAAAGTTATTTGTATATGCAATTTTGGAAGGAGGGGCAGGTCGAATTTCTGGGCAGGATTAATGGAATCCCGAGAATCTCGACGCAATTCATCGCCTCCCTCCACACGGGTAGCATCTCTAAGGACACGTCTATTGTGATAGACGGAAACCATATCACCTTTCTACCACTGCACCTTTTGTAAATGTTCTTTTATAAAAAAAACTTCTCTAATAAATTATAATGGCTTTGAAAAGCTACCGCATCACTCCTTTTTTTTGGGTGGGGGATGCGATAAGACTGAGCAAAACATTGTCTGCACACCTGCAAACCACACATTGGTAAACGTTTGTCGTGCCAAGAGTAAATGTTGGCCCAGCCAACGAAGCGGGTCGGGGAAAAAAAGGTGAGCTTTGGTTTACTTTGAGGTAATGTCTTTTGAAGGTCTAGTGGCAGCCACCATACTCCATCCACCCCTAGTCTGACAGTACGGTAGGAGGGAGCTATGCGCTCGCGGGGGAGAAAAAAGGGAGGCATGTAACATGTACTCCCTGCAATTTGAAGTATGATTAAAAAAAAGGTGTATGTCTTTTGAACTTGGAAATTAATAACAATTTTCTGGACAAGAGCAAATGGTGATACTTGCAACTGAATGCGAGTTAATTACATTTGACATTCAAAATAATTTCTATAAAACATAGAAACTACAGTTACTTATCTAGATCCTTTGCATGAAATTGGGGTATGCAGAATGCATTGTCCATCTTGGCCTCCTGCATTTTGTTGGTGCTTTTAGACTTTAGACCTGCATTCTGTATCGGTGTCCTAAGGTTTAGCGATTTGAGACCTCGTGTGTTGCTTTCTTTGAGTGGGTAGGACACGCACCACATTCTGCATCTGCCAACTTTATGCAAGCAATCGGGGCAACTTGCAAATTTTTTCACATCAGATTATAATTTTAATTGTCCGACTTTTCACTCGTCAACAAGGAACCATGACACGGTTCACTGGTCTCCTAGTCAGCAGCGTACGCAGGATATTTTTTGTTTGAAGGGGGGGGGGGGGGGGGGGGGAGTGAAATGATAGAGAACTCTTAAAGCTAGATTTGCAAAATGAAGGAGAAATGAGACTCCACCTGAAACATCAAGTCGCTGAGATTGAACTTGACTGCGGCATCGCTGTGGTGCCAGTCGGTGTTTATGTAGCTGTGGAAGGTTGAAGGAAAGAAGAGAAACAAGAAAGGAAAAGAGGTGTGTGCACTGAACTCGAATGAACCCGAGCTAACTTGACAGTGGCAGTGCAGAATGTTGAAAGCAGTTCGTTTTCTGTAGAAAGTTTGCTGCTGCATTTCTCTTCGAAATAGTGACACCTTTCTACTTTCTAGCAATACGCAACAGGAGGGAGAGGCTCCACAGTAACCAACATAGTAAATGTAAAAAGGGAAAAAAAAGAATGTAAAAGGTTGGATTACTTTTTTTTTTAGTAGCAGGGCCATGGCAGAGCGTCTGCTGGTTCTTTCGTCATTCTTTTGTTTGGACGGGTTTACGTCGTCCAACCTTCCTTCTCCTCTTCCCCCCCCCCCCCCCCCACCGGCCTTCCTTCTCTCCCAAGCCTACAAATTTCAGGGGGGAGGGGCTTTGCTGGTTTATTTTTTTGCGTATGCTACTGCTCCTAGTAATCACGATAGCGTCTCGAGCCCTCTGCACCCATCATAAAATCTATGCCAGTACACAGACGCCGAATGTCCAACGTCGAACAATGCGTTCATATGTCACCCTAGTGTTACGTGACATGACATGTGACCATGATGTTGCATTAAGTCATTGAGACTACCAGATCACATGACATCACTTGACCCCTCCTAAAATTTAGGTGACAATTTTTTTTTTTTTTTTTTTTTATAGCTTCTATGGGTTTTCAAAATTGGATTGAAAGGATCCTTTTTCAAGTTCTTTTCCAAGCTTAGTGCTTGCACGATCCATGACAAATCCCTGCACAGAGCTTAGAAATATGGTGTGAAAAGAGTTCTAAGACCCGCCAGCAGAAATTTTGCTCTCCAGCAGATATCCCCTGCAAAAACTTAGTCCTGTGGCGGCAAGAGTTTGATTTCCAGACGGTCTGGCAGTTCCGAGAAAGGACGACACAAACGAAAATGATCCGTCGCCATTTTATTTGCTCCATGCACCGAATTATAAAAACTTTACATCACATAAACAATAAAAACAGAACTAAAAGCAACTGCACGCGGCAGCGAGGAACAACACGAACACACTGCATGCGCGGTTTCGCTATTGCAGTTATTCTGACTCGAAGGCAGCGCGTGAAAGTACAAATACGTCCCGAGCGAGGGCGGCCAAGCTCCGTTTCACATCAAGTCCGCCCGCAGCCGATGCCACAGTTCTACGAAGCCGATTGAGTGGCTCCAAAAGTGCATCGTCGTGGCACTCGTTGTCCTTGTGCGTTTGCTAAATGAATCGTGCACGGTGAACGCCGCGTGATCCTGCGCTTTTTGTTTTGCGCGATTCCTATGGCCGGTGACGGCACGCACACTAAGATGACGAGTGCCGCGAAGGTGCACTTTTGCCACCGCTCGACTGGCCTTGTCGGATTGTGGCATTGGCCGCGGTTGGGCTCGACACGAGACTGAGTATGGCCGCAAAACACAGCCAGAAGGTTTCAACAGAGGAAAGACGGTTGTGCGATGCACCTCTTTCGCTACGGAGGCACTATGAAGGCATTACATTAATTTCTATTACATTTAGCTCATTTCTTTGCTCAGAATCTACTAACTGCAAGCGATAGACGAGACCGGGGCCCCCGTACAGTGCAAATTCGTTGGCCGACCGACCGTTGTGCGACCGAAGTTGAGGAGAGACGTACGCACGCATGTTTGTTACAGCAGAAACTACTAGTATACATCCTTTTTGATCGTGATGCTGCCAATTTTGTTTCGACGGCTTTTTAGGAAAATGGCAAAATCTGCACGATTCAGGGGGGGGGGAACGGTTGAATTTTTCTACCGGCGCAAACGCTTTTACAAAAATCCATACTAAAAAACTTAAATTACTAAAAATGGTTTGTTAATAGAAACTCTTAATAAATTATCAACGCTTCAAACAGCTGCCATATCGCACCTTTTTTTTTGTAAGTGCATGGTTGTCCAGACATTAATGTGACGAGACACAGGCAAAACGTTGTCTCCATGCTCGCATAGACTGCCGCACGTTGGTAAGCATTCTTCGCAACGTGACAAAAGGTCGGCACAACCCTGACTTAACGAAGAAGGCAGGGTGAAGAAGGCGAGTTCGACACACACGTCCTGGAAATGTCTTGTGGAGCCCAGTGGCAGTGACTAGTTCCCGAAACACACTCCGCAGCAGAAGCTCCATCCAGCTCTTTCACAGGTCTGGTGAACTACCTGCAGCCAATTCTTCAAATGCCTGGTGGAAGGGAGAGAAAAAAACGCATCAAGCACCTTCAAAATTTTTATTTAAAAATAAAGGATGTCTATCCTCTAAACCTAAAAACCAATAACATTTTTTTAGGCAAGTGCAATTGGCCTTTTTTAGAGATGAAATATAAATTACTAAATGATTTCTACGAAACACTAAAGCACAGTATATGGAGAAATGTCATTCCCAATTCGCTTCACAAACGAGCTTTCACAAAACGGTGCTCTTTAGTAAGACCATTTCGCACGTAACATTTTGTCGCACCCTGCGGGATCATCTCGGATCCACTTGAGTAAGATTTGGAATGCAGTCTATGTCTGCTCCTTCTCTGCCTACCTGGAACAGGTTCTTGGGTTCCATGTCAAACCAAGTGTCCTCGAGCTGATTGGACAGCCGACTCCTGCAAATGGCAGTGTTGGGTCAACCCAGCGTTGGGTATTTTTCCAGGTCAAACCGCAGGAATGAGAAAACGATAACTCCGCTGCACTTCATAACATGCCGCAACGGACACCACGAGCCACTGGGACCAACTAGAGTCCTCACCTGCTAGACGGCCGCTGCGGTGAATCCAGCCATGGCGTGCTGTAGAAACGCTGGGACGCGTTGGCATGAAGGGGCTTTGGGGTAGAGCTGTCAGACGTGCAAACGAAGGGAGAAAATAAGAAACAATTAGACTGCGGAAATTTCGCTGGTCACTAGTACGCCTCCCACACTTTTCGAGCAGTTTCAAATATACCGCATTTCAGCCGTCCGTCGGTCACCCATCTGTCAACGAGTCACAAAGCTTGATGCGCAGTGGGGATAACAGATGTGCCTGTTGAGCTACTCTCTGCTACCGCGTCATCTGCTAGCGAGCAGCTATAGTATCGCATTTTTCAGACTATAGTCCGCACCCGGTGCATGGTCTGCAATGCAAATTTGGGGTCAAAAATAAAAGTTTTGATGCGAAAGCAATAGATGTCCCATGGAGCGAAGCCGGCGTTGTCTGTAGCAGCAAAAGACTGCACCTAAATTCCTATTGGCTGTGCGAAACGGCACCTAAATTATCCTGAGCAAAGTGGCACATATATTCCCATTGGCTGCGACGCGTCATGTGGCTCCATAGCAACGGCATCATCGTTGCTAAGGGGCCAGTTGAACCGCCGACGGTGCAGTGGGAGGGGGGACATGGGGACGTGCTGGCCTGACATTAGGCCTAATGTTACACTTTAAAGCGGCGATGCAACAATTTTTGTACTTTGCGCAAATACTGCTTAGAACGGATCCCTGACGTTCTAAGCAGCCCCAGGCAATATCCCCCAGGCAATAGACGTCCCAGAAAAAAATTAAAGAAAACTGAGCAGAGTTCACTCCCTCAACTCGTAGCCAGAACAAGCGACCACGTGATCTGCAGCCGATTATATGCCGCCAATGTTGATCCATAGCCACGCGCTGAGTTCCAGACACTATTATGGCTCGGCTATTGTCATTGCAGCGATTGGACACGGGCCAGTACCCGAATGCTTCTCGAGCTAGTAATGATCACGAGCCCAAATCGAGTGCCCACGCAATGCTCGGGTCCAATCTATCAACCGCATTCAAATATAGTCATTGGAGTGTACTGAAATCCCCATGTTACGTCATCAAAATTTGCAAAGGAGAGATTGAATGAAAATGATTGCTCTTGTCCTTGAAATTACACCGCAACAAAGGAGTTTCTTGGCCAGTGGCATTGCGTGCTATAATCCTCGAGTCCCACTTGTGCCAGTAAGCTCGTGTAAAGTGAAAAACATTCCAATTGAATATCGTTGCACCGCTCCTTTAAAGGGGCCCTGCATTCATATTTAAGCATCTACCTTTTTTGCGGTTTCCACGTCTCTTGGGGTTCGGGCAAGCCAGCGGGCACGGAGAGAGTAACTAAATATCAGTGTGACATATTTTAACCGGACGATGTGGAAACCTCCTCCACCGACGAGGGCGACCAATGTTGCCAAAAGCGCGCAATATGTGACATCTTTGTTTGGTCCTAGGCTTACTACTGATCAGAGCAGCTAAAAGCTTTTCTTTAGTCGAGATCCAAAATACAAGTGTCGCGAACCGTTTCAATTATGTAAGAAAGTAGTTTTTGTTAAGTATTTTAGATCAGAAAAGAAACAAATGCAGTTTAGAAAGTACGGAAACAAGAAAAGACCCGTCGACAAACCCGCCACCAAGCAGCGGAAAAAACGGCGCATACTAGAAAGGGCTAGTGGGATGAGGCGCCAACGAACGGCGAGCGTAGAAAGGTCCCAGATGTACGCGGCAGCGCTGCAGTCGTATGCCGGATCGAGGATCCGACCGGTTCCGAGCGTTCCAAAGGCTTTCGGCACGGGCTTGGCTGGTGATTTGGCCATTTGGCGGTATGGCAGCACGAAGTGGCTCCCGTTCTTAACTGATCTTTACCCCGTGTTTGCTGTCGTTTGTGGCCAATGAAGTGTTATGCCGAATTGGTCTTTAATCGCGAAGCAAAAGCAACGCGAGCCGCCCTGGCCGCCCGCTTCATACAGCCTATCCAACACGTGCTTTAGTGGCACCCTCTCGAGCCGTCGACACGGAGTGCGGCAGCCGTGAGCGCTCGATGAGCTCACTTCTCCTCCTCTAGTTCACGGCTACTCAAGCCAGGACCTACAACGTCATGAAGGAGGTTATTTTTTGCTTGTTTTTGTAATTCTAATTTGCCTATAACTTTTAAAATAAAGCGAAATTTGAGAAAAGAAAAGTTTCATTAAGTTACTACGTTCAGTGCGCTCAGGTTCGGTGCAAATTAAAAACCAGTCAAAAGGTTGTTGCAGGGTCCTTTAAGATCAAACGTCGTCAACTGGTACCCGCAGCTAGGGCGATGATGATGAGGACACGCGATTTCAGCATGTGCCGTGCCAAGCTTTGCACTCCCGCTGCTGCCTCACCCAGCGGTGCAGCAGTCACCAGCAAGCCGCGGCGGCTTGCGTGGCGCACCGCCGCACTCCTTGCCGGCACTGTGGCTGCTTCTGGCGGCGTTGAATTGGACATTAATGCTTTCGCATTCACAACTCATAAGAAGTGCTTCAGTGTCCTCGAAATTTTTTGCTTAGATGGTCCGCACCCAGTGCCTAGTTTGAACGTAAAAATTATCATACACAGCACACCTTGACGAATGCCTGCTGTAATAGCCCACGAACAAGCTTGAATCATACTTAACTAAACATTCATATGCTCTGCTATTCATAAAATCCTTCACATCTTGTCACAGTGAACGATCTAGAAAAAAACAAATCATTGTAGACAGTCCACATAGGGTAACGTTTCAACTTTTAAACATGTACAGTCCGTGGACTATACACTGAAAAACATGGTACTTTATTTCGTTAGAATTTGGCAAATGGTGAAGACTACGGCCCCTGTGAACCAATCGGCGTGTTGGAATGAGGCCCGTGACAAAGTGTCGCTGGAAGGCACCCCTGCGAAGAATTGTTGTGTGCTTCGCTTTATCACTCTGAATGGTTCGACGGGCCAAGGAATTCGCGCTCTGCCAAGTAACAATGAAACGAAGCACGTCCTCCATTCAGCTCTAGGCTGACAGTGCGGTGGAAGCTAAGGGCTCGCTGCACCAGTTGTATGCCCATCTTTTGCCCGCCCACACCCAGGCACAAAATCTAGGTCGGGTGATGGTCAAGGAGGCGGTCGATTGGTTCGGCGAGTGCATAGCTCCTACTGCATTGTCAGCTTAGGGGTGAACGAAGTATATCAGACGGCATGGGAGACATCTGCTATACGACAACCAGGTCCGTCCGCTCCTTGCATTAGGATACTGTCGTGTCGCGGTCCTGAGCTCCAATTAGAGGACAGAGAGCACTAAAATGTGGCGTCATCGGCTAGTCGTAGCAATGGCTGCCTTGTCTTTCCTATGGCCATTCGAAATCCACCATTCTTTTACAAACAACGACTCTGCCTTCGAAAAAGGACAGAGGAGATAGTTAAAGGGGTACGTTGTTGTTCGTGAGGAACTACCGGATGCTACAACAAACAAAAAAACTTGTGGCTGCGATGTTTTTTATCCACGGAAGAAAACGCCGTCTGCGGGGACGGAGCTTTGTGGTACACATCATCCGTTCCTCTCACCCTTTTGCACCTCCTCTCATGTGCGGGGAGGCACATTTTGGTCGATTTGCTGCGTAACCATTCGCTAAATTACCCGACCACCAAGAAGCATGCTGCCATTGTAGTTCCTTGCGCTACATGCACCGGCATTCGTAGAAGTAAATTTTCTAGAGCAAGAATCAAGCGTGTGTGGCATGTTCACCTACATTTCTAGTATCTACTTCATGCTTGGGTGATAAACAACTTGCTAAATCCCCCAAGCGCCCCCAGCCTGCACTCAAGGAATCATAGGAACGGTGTTCCTTCATTTCCCTAGTTGTCGGTAATTTCGACCAATTCAATGCTTACATACTTTTTAGTGTAATTCGGAGTCATCCTGAACAAGTGTCACGCAAAACATATAAAATAGCGCAAAAAAGACAAGGACAAGAAGTATAGCGCCTGTCCTGTCTACTTCTGGTCCTTGTCTTTTTTGCGCTATTTTATATGTTTTACTAAGATGAACCAACTAGCCCAACAACGTACCCTACTAAAGTGTCATGTAGAGTCCAAAGACATATCATGTCACTTTAAATTTCTCGTCAATGTCAGGGGTTGTTATTGGGCGGTTTCATTTGGATTCAGGTAACGAGATGCAATCATATTTTTCATTTTGCTTCAAATTTCAATATTTCGTGGCACACTTTCCAAGAAGAACAATTCTCTTTTATTTTAATGTCCTGACATGTTTAGTTTCTGAGAAAAAAAAATCTCAAAAGAAGCGGGAAAAAACAATGAAATTTTGACGATTGTCATGTGTGGCGTTTTTGAATCTCTCTCAATCTCGAAGTATTCAAAAGAGAGCATCTATATTTTTTTAGTGTGATATATGTGCAAGTAGGTAAGACGACATAACTACGATTTATTATTCGTCGCTCCAATTTTTGTAAAAATCCCGAAACATGCCTCCGCGAACAACCGTGACCTAAAATACGGATCCTTTTTTTTTTTGAGTCGACTATGTTTAGTATTTTTTTTTTAATAATACCACGTGTAGAACCTTTCATTGCCTGTCAAATTAAGCAAAGTTTGTGTTTTTATTATGTAAGAGTACCAAGAAATAAATTATGAAACAGAGAAGGTTTTCACTTTTCAATCAATTTCAGCACGCTGTATAAAAGAAAATAATTTTTAAGTTTTTTTTTCGCGTCGCGTTTTTTTTACACTTTTTTTTCTAGCCAGATTACACTGCATTAGAGGTATATGCACTGGTTTTGAGTTTTAAGCCTCTAAATATGCTAAAAAAAAATAGAAAATACCAATGGTGGGTTTATGGGTTAAATTGACGATTATTGTGTGTGGCGTTTTTGAATCACTCACAATCTCAAAGTATTCAAAAGAGAGCTTCTATATTATATTGTGCGTGCCATCCACCCTTACACTTGACCAAGCTGCAGAAATCTTACTTTATTATCATTTTCGTACAGCTTCTGATGTCAACTTAGAAACGCTAAAAATGCTATTAACAGCCCCGCTGACTCCGAGCTAAATCATGGTTTTGGTTGTTGTGAATTCTCGGCTTTTTGTGAGCCACCGAAAATTGGAATTTCCTTTTCCTCGCGTAATCCTCGCATCCTTGCCTGCAGTGGCAAAATCCGCCTGCTAGCGAAACCTGCATGATGCACGCGCGTTCTACACCGCCCACATTTTCTGCCACCGCGCCGCTCTGTTTGGCCAGAGTACTTTAATGCTTCAAGCACCCTAAGGCACCCTAAGCAGCCTAGCACCATCTCTCAGACGCTAGTCACACTGTCGTTGAGCCGGTTTCGCGTGCGCGCAACTAGATGGCGTTTGCGCAGCTCGCGGTCGTCGCGTCGCCTACGACGACCAGCGATGCTATGATTATTAGGACTGAGGTCGTTCTCAGCGACGTAGATAAGTCTTAACTCAGACTGTGTTTGCAAATTAATCTTACTTTGCGTTGAACCTGCGGTTTTATTATTATGGTAAGTCCTGTATTGGTAGTTCTCAAACCTTGTAGGTAGCTGCTAGCACGAGAACCCCAATTTGCAACAGCTTCGTTTTTTTTAAGAGCACTACGTTTTCATGGAAAATTTTCCTCGCGTAATTCTCGCACCCCCCAATTTTCCATCGATTTTTAGCAAAAAAAATTGTGAGGATTATGCGAGTAAATACGGTATTTGGCAAAAGATCTGCTAGTTGAAATTTGATGTGGTTGCGAGAAAGTCCGAGAGAAACGTGGGAGCGTGTCAGCAATGGGGAGACTGTTGATCCACCAAGAGAATGTATGTACTTGCCCCGCTAATACACCCTCCCGTGGTCCTAGAAGATAATGGAAAGAGAGTGTTAGCGATAAGAGCTGCACTCCACTGCTGACACTCTCTTTCATGGCCTTGCTCGCTACTCTCGAAATAACGTCGGCAAGGAAGGCCTGTGGAGGATACCTGCAAAAATCTATCGCTTTAAAAATTGCCCTGCCCACAATCTACGAGACAGCGAAATGCAAGGTGGTCTCGAAGTGGCAACGAATGACGTCGCACGAGCTGGCGTGCCATGCCACCAGACGTCGCAATTCCTTCATCGGTGCTGCGAACACGAGCATCACTGTCGTTACCGCGTCCCAACTTTTAGATGCTGAAGCTTCCGCGGACTGTCAAGCCGGAGAACAACCTGCAGCGGAACCGGCGTCTGCCAAATCCACCACTGCTGCTCAGACACCATCGCCGGGATTGTGGCCGGCGACAACGTGACACGAGGGACCCTTTTTTTAGGATGCAGCAGACGCACAAGTCGGAGATGCGCTCCAGGCACCACAACGTCGAGCAACGCCTAAAACCTAACCTGATGAGAGGCGAGACTGTTGCGCCGTGCCTGCTGTCGTTCAAGGACGTGCCCAGCCTGAGAGAGGAGTCCTCGAAGGTGTCGTCTGCAAAAGGGAGAACCGTGTCAGCGCCCCAAATCTATGAGACGCTCCTGCAACTTTTATATGTGGAAGGGCTCTCTACGACAATTTCTCGTAAGTAGTGCGTAGATTTGATCTCGAAAACACTGCAAAAGGACTTCCGGTCTGGTTACTGAAAACTTAAATTTTGTGCAAACCAGATTTTTATAAATTTCGCGATTTGACAAATGTTCCAGAAAATTAGTCGCATGAGCTCCTCCTCACCCCGCAGTTATGAGTGTGTGGAGCACCACTTTCAGTCGCGAGATATAGTGCTCGCGAAATGTGCCCCAAAACCTGCACCGTGCTGAATTGCGTGAAATGTCCCGGCACTACCCGAAAGACGGCACCGATGTGCCAGCTTTCTCCCTTCTCGTAAAATGTTAACTGCAAACACGGCGCACTAAAGCTAATTCAAATGTAAACGTGCGAGCCAGGTTTCAGGGGGCAGCTTTCGTACACGAGAACCAGGAAACTGATACAGATGTCCCTACGGGAGTTCTAAGGCACCTGCTTTTGTGGACGTAACAGAGGGAACATGTGGGAAAATTTTCGATGAGGCACTACTTATAGCCGCCTCTTTACCGTAGTCGCGAACAACGTAAGAAACACAAGGTGTGGCATTTAACAAACAATCCGTTTTAGTGGCCGATTTTCGTGGAGACCTCTAAAGTTTCCGCACAATGTTTGGCTGCAAAGAAAAACTGACCCCAAAAGGCATTACGCCCCCCGGGAACCGTGTAAAAGACTTTGTTCCCTGGCAGGATTTGAACCTGCCACCTTGAGATAGTGAGCCAATGGCTTTGCCCACTAAGCTATCCAGGGTCTTTTTTACAGCGGAGCTGTTAAGGGCTAGATTCCCTAGGATCGTGTCCGGTATCAAATGCCTATCGACACTAACGTGCCTGGACAGCTACCGCCATCTATAAGCGACAGCGGCAAGCACACAACTAGTCTAGATGCCACCATCGCTCGTAGATGGCGGCAACCTTTCGAGCAATCATAGACGAATGGATAGTTGGGCGTGTTCGTGGAAATTCATCGTAGGAAACAGCGCAAAAAACAGATGACGACAAAGAAAAAACACACGTAACGAGCACAGCGCTCGTCACCTGTGTTTCTTCGTCCTCGTCTGTTTTGCGAGCTGTTTCCTACTCTCTTATCAGTTTCGATTTGGACTCAGGATGGGTCGGCCGCGCTCCCTTTGGGAATCCCTGGGTTATACCATGTGCCCGTGTAGAGTGTGGACATGTACCAACCGTCGGAGAAGCTGTCCTCAAACGACTTGTCTCTCTGCGGAATGCTCTTAGGGTTCAGCCAGCATAAAGGCAGCCAAGAACTCCTTCTAGGCAACAGCTTCCTGGCCATTCGGCAGATCCAGAGCCAGAGCAGCAGGAACAGCTCGAAGATCCACGTCACCTGCGCAAGAAATGTCCTTTTACACTTGAAGTATAATTTTTTGCAGCCTTTCTGGCTGCAAAAAACCAGGCTCAAGGGACCTTTCTGGCAAATCCCACAAGGCCTCTCGGTAACCCCACGTCGCACCGCGGGAATAAACATGTTGCAAAACATGCAGCACCATCTGTGGCACTGAAAGGAGTGCCGGCAACACCTTGTTCAGAAATGGCTGGAGCAGACGACGGAGTAAACACAGGCAAACAGAAAAGAGCAGGCAAGCAACTGTATTACCCTTCCCTCTTTTAGTGTCACGAGATGAATGCTGTGCAATCAAGGAGAGCGTACAGGATTTCGCAAGCGGCCTCTTGGGAATTTTCTAAAATGTCTATTGCGGGGCCGTTCCAATGCAAGCCCCTGTCAGCTCGTACACTCCGTACATCCAAAAGCAACTCAATCCCTCCGCTTTTACCAATGTAAGGTCATAACACAAACAAACAAAAACTGAACAACCCTGTTGCCATTGTCACGCTTTCTTTGCACTCTAAAATCGCAAAATGCCAAACCAACATGTACATCAAATTGCTGTAATGCACGGAGAAGACTGTGGGGGACGCTGTGTATTGCCAGAATGGTCTATTTGGCATTCCCTACCACCAGTGCTGGCAGGAAATGAAAGGCCCCCTGCTCTTAGCCTGTGTAGCTTAAAGCCCCAAGTTCAGCCATTTTCTTTCATTTAATTTCATTCCATTGTGACGTTGGAAAACAAGTCTTGTGCAGGTTGAGCATGCTGGATAGAGCAGTTCACTTTAAGCCAACTTTTACAACTACCGACAGAAAAATGACTACATATCGAATTATTTATGCTTGCATTGTTTTGCCAACCGGAAAAGCTAAGAAAAGTTAGAGTAATAAAACTGTCCCTAGACTAAATCAAAAATCCTCCAAAGCACTTACAATTAGGGAAATGTCCCTGCAGTTGGTAGCATTGCCCGCAACAACTCCCCAGCGAATTTTATATTAAATACTGCATGGCCATATATACAGCGTTACATACCCAACAGCAACAATCCACCTATTTGTTTCCTTCTGTCAGTACAGGGGCCGAATTAAGGTCAAAGTTAGAAAGGGTATATGTACTGTAGTATTTTGAGAAATAGCCCACCTAAAATCGAAAGCAAAGTGAGTATAAAAAAATAAACTAAATTTTGCTGTGCAATAAAAAAATTTTTTAAAAACACTAGTTTTAAATTTTGTGATTTTCGAAACTTGTGATCAGGGATGGGCAAAATACATGCAAATATGTATTGAAATACAAATACAAAATACTTCAAAAATGTATTTAATTACAAATCTAATTACATTTCCAAAAAAGCATTTAAGTACAAGATACAAATACAACCAAATGTATTTGGTTTCCTCCAAATACTTTCCCAAATATATTCCTCAAAATTTGCGTCAGCGACTTCAGGGCACCTGCGACGGGTTTCTGGGTATCTCATTTTAATTTTGCATTGCACACTCGGGAGTTAGTGTGCGAGGCTCTAGTAATGTAATAGAAATATGATCACAAAAAAAAAAAAATGTAATCAGCTTGGACGTAATAGGTGAAAAAAGTACAGAGCTTCTAGCAGCTTTTTTTGTCGATTACATTTTGGTATAGACCAATAAAGAATCGATACGACCAAGACGCGCAGCACTAGCTAGAGAATGTTTTACTGTTGCAACTCGCACCAGTTACAAAAATCTGGACGACCCGCGCATTTAGTATGTTCCAGGCAAAAATATGGATGGAAATCAGGCTGAAAAGCATCACAAGTTGTCACAGGCACTTATTTAACCAGTCTGCCTGTGAACGTCGATTTCGTCACTATTCTTGCCCTGGACTAACGCCGTTATCACAAAGTCACTAAATGCTTGGGCTTGATTGAGAGACTGCATTTGGTGCAGAACATAGTATTCTTCCTGCTCTGGACAGTGACAATAAATTTGAGGGATGTATTTTCGCCCACAAAATTGTATTTTAAATACCCACCTTTTAGTATTTAAATACGCACGTCAAATACATTACCCAATTTGTAATCAAATACAAATGCAAAATACACAAAGTATTTGAAATACATATTTCAAATACTTGTATTTGAAATACTGCCCATCCCTGCTTGTGATCACGGGGAGGAGCAATGAATCAAAGATGACTCCGCTTCCCAGTCAGCAATGTTTGCTTATCCACCTTTGGCGTGGCTAGGTAACACCATTTCTGCCAAGATCACCATTGGACAGGGCTCTGCAATTACTAGAAGTGGGCCAGCTTTCGGAGGTTTTGGAAAAAATAGCAAGTCATGCCAAAAATAGGTGTGGGTTATCTTTCAGGTGAAGGGCATCTCTCGGGGATATTAAGGTACATATCTTCCATCTTTCATCGAAATACAATGGCGGAGGTCGAAAAAAAGAAAAAAAGGTTGCGCTAAATGGCATGACAAGCTTTCGGCCCCCATACACAAATGTTTTGCATCAAGGACCCTGCAACTCTTTACGTACACCCACAATAGTCTTTAAAAGACCTCTGACCCCATCCCTCAAGAACATTAGGGTTATCATATGAATTTTTTCCCACAGAGTCAAATACTTGCTTAAAAAAAAAAAAAAAAAAAAAACGAGGACCAGCATTACAGAATGACAGGTCAGAGGCTCTAAGAGTCATGTGGGTTGTTTTATGTCCTGCTTCAATGATATCTTTTTGTAAGAAACCTTTCTTCTGTGTAAATCATGTTTTATTATTTACATTGTTTTTGTCAACAAAGATGTGCCAAAGATGATTTGGAATTTTGTAAAAACTTCAAGGTTCTGTGTTGTCGTGGCAGGGGACTGAGCATGACACTTATCGTGCCAACAGAATCTAGGTTTTGAGCCTCTATTTTTTTTCCTGACAGTTGGGACCTTGTATAGTGGTATCTTTGCAAAACATCTAGGCATTCCATTCACTATATCTTTTTGGCAGCCCTTTAGGATTCCAAAGATAATGGGAGTAAAGAAAAGATACCGGTCTGTCGGCAAGCAACTGGTAAAAAACCACCCCAATTTCTGCACGAAACGTAGAGACTCAAAACGTGGAAGTTCAAAATGCTAGGATAACACTTGGGGTAATTTTAGGATAATGCTAGGAAGCATGTTGATGTTAAAAAAACGTGTAAAAACAATAAAATATATATATATATCATTTTTTGTAAAGCCTTTTTGTAGAAGATTGAGAGACAGTTGCTTTACGCAGGCCCAGTGAGAAACTGGTCGAAGACTATTGGAGCAAATTTCGTACCGCCCTCTTGCGTGCTGCGTACAGCCTCCGCCACCGGAGCACCTTGCAGATCCTCGGATGTGCCAGTAGCTGATCCACGGAGATCCGCTGTATTGGATCTGGATGCATCATCCGCTGAACCAGGTCGCGTAGATCTGGACTGATCTCTGGATGCACCACGGCAAAGACATCACTTTCATGCTCAAAAGGTTTTCTCCAAACTAAAAAAGAACACATGCTGCGGCTTTAATGCGGCGGCTAAGTTTGTATAGGTGCAAAAGACACTAAACTCCCCCCCCCAAAAAAATTTTTTTTTTTTTTTTCTGGTGCCAGTGTAAAGTCACGAAATCAACTTTCCTCAAAAGGAAAAAATACTAATAATGCAACATTTATTTTGTGAAACTAATTAGAGCAATTCCGAAATGTGCTTTTACAGTGGATCGCAAAAATGAACCAAGCATAGCCGAATGCTCATTCTCCGCCAAAATGTAGAACTAGCGGTTTGGGCCAGATGGCAAAGTTTGAGAGCTAACTGTTATCTTAATCAAAAGTTATGTGATTTCTTTTTTAAATTTCAATAGGAGAATGAGTGTTACCGGTGGCTTGCACCATTCAACCCCAAGCATTTGGGGGCTTTCGTCGGCCACCACTTTTCGGTAAAAAATTACTGAAAATCGCTTATGACTTGAACAAGAAAACGGATCCTTCTAAAACCTTGGCATCTGCTCCAGAGCGTTAGCGCTACATTTGGGTGTAGACCGAGCATTTGGCAATGCGTAGTTTATTTTTACGATTAAGAAAACGTGGAAACAGCGCGAAATAAACGAAGGACAGGAACAAGAAGCAAACGCCGCAAATAGTGGCTTCGCGACGTTTGCGCAACCATTCGCGCTGCTGCGCATGTCGCCGCTCCTTCCACTTTCACTCTTCTTCCTCCGAAGGAATGGCATGCGGCCGACCCATCGCGAGTCCAAAGGGCTACTGATAAGAGTGCCAGTGCGATCTCGACGTCACGGGACACAGGACAACATGATTGGTAGGCGAGAAAATAACGTTTTATTCTAGTGGGGCCGTGCCAACCACGGGACGTGCTCGATGGCACGAATGCAGGTGGCCGCTAACGCGGACACCAGGGAAGAAGGGTTGGGGGAGAGATGGCACGGAACACAATGGGTGACTCTCCTCGTCGAATGAAAGAGATGGTGTATTCGCACGAAAGATCTTTATCTCCGGAAAAATCCGAGTATTAAGTCGGCAAGCCGGTTGTCTGGTTGCCGCCATCACTCGTAGACGGCGGTAGCTGTCTGGAATTTTGTGTCGACACGCCGCTTGTCCACGGACACGATAGTGGGGGAACTACCAACTTTAACAGCTTCGCTGTAAAATAGCTAATTGCGTGGAGATTCCGAACCTTACTATCATTGCTCGTTTTAGGCACGTTGTGCATTACATTTCGCAAAAACGTCAAATCTTTGGGTGTAGGAGATGTAATGCAGCAATCGTTGTTTTAAACGTCGTCCGATGGCGCCCGTGTTGTCCACTCCAAGGCACAAAAGGAGGGCCGTGTCACGATCTGTGATTACATTTTGAATAAGGAAATCGGCCACCCACAAGCATAATTTCTGTTTCTTTAGGATGCTTAGAGCCCATAGATTGAGTTATCACCATAAAGAGATGATATCAGAATCCACATGAATGCCCCTTTAATAAGAAAAAAAGGTTGTGGTGCTCAATTTTCTATGTTGCCATTTGGAGGCCAACGCTGGGCGCGGATTGAGCAGAGGTCTCAAAGGAATACCGACACAGCACCCGCGTCCAATCGACTTGAACTCGAGCTCCAGCCAAACACTGACATGTCACTAGCGTGACACTCTTCCATCATGGTAGTGCATCACACAAAGTAGCTGGGAGCTAGCAATGTAACCCATCTCAGGTGGCACAGTTTTCTGTGCAAAAATATTAGTTTTTTTATCCAGGAATTTAGGGCCTTAAAAAGTCCAAAGAAGGCAAGGTAGTGCCAAACCGTTTTTGGCCAGAGTCTGGGTACCTTAGCCCTAACTCCACCAAACAAGTGCCAAAGTTAGGCTCCACTGTCGGTAATTTGGCTGTCATCCAACATCTTTGGGCCTAAATCGCCAAACAAGTGCCAGAGTAAGGCTTCAGTTCCGGCTGTTCAGTTTTCATCTGGCAACATTGGGCCCGAATTGTCAAATAAGTACCAGATTTAGGCTTCGCTGCCGGTTCGTTGGTTTATACTTGGCATCTTTGGCTCAAGTCTGGCAATTATCCGGCAAGCAAGAGGAAAACCGTAGAAATGCTGGGCACAAAACTGTACTAGGCCCAAGTTAAGCACCTAGGACTGCCGAGCTTACGCTGAGTTCGGCGTTTTTAAGCCGTGCTACCCGGAATTCTGCGTTAAAGAGTCTGTTGCTTCTGTCACAACTTATAAACAGAGAACGAGGCGAATCCCACGTCCTCACCCGTGACTACGTCCGCCGGCAGGGTTCCAGTGCGGAGACTGTGCCAGTGCTCTCCTTGACCAGGAAGCTCGAGGTCGCAGGCCAGCTCCAGTATCGTGATCCCCAAGCTGCAACAACAAAATTAACGGCGACGAATCGGGAAAACGATTAAGTAAAATATGAGCCTCCCTCAAAAGGCCCTCCCCCCTTCCCCCAGTTCAGGAGTGGTGCTCTTCCCCGTACCTGAACACGTCGGCTGCCTTGGTGAAGTCGCCGTTCATCAGTTCCGGCGCCATGTACCGGGCATCTCCTTCGACTGGATCGTCTCGGTTCTCTGCCTGAGACGGGCAAGGAGGCACATAGAGCCACTATAAACAAGCTGCGCTTAGAGCGTCGACACTCCGTTTCCTGGTTGCCTTGTGGGTGCCGCCATTTTGTTGCCCGGTGCAGCCACAACTGGCAACGGTTACGGTTTAAAAACGCGACTTCCCGAAGTTCAAATGTGGTGTCGGGAGGCTGGGGGTGACGTTTTGTTTTGTTGCAGACTCTCGAATGTTTTGGGAAGGCCAGAACGACGTTTACAGCAATTTTGAGCAAAGCTTTAGACTACTGACGACAATGATTTTAAGCAACAAGACGGCCGAAGCGTCGCTCCTTCGAGGCGTAGCTCGTTCAGTGGGCCTCGGGAAGTCTTCGTGGCAAATGCCTTACTGTTGCAGAGCTTATAGGAGCTAGCCCCAGGTAGGCCTAGCATTTAGGTGTAAGTAACTGTTAACCCTTTAAGTGGAGAGTTCTCTTTTTTGGTGTGCAACCATGACTCAAACTATTTTCACACAAAAATTTAAATAATTTTTTTTGCGCTCAAATTTTGACATTGTTGTTTATTTCAATCCATGGAAAGAAATACTATGTAACTTCTTGTTTCGAGCACGCTTCCCTCAAAAGGAAAAGCTTGCTCTCCATCACTGTGGCCGTCAAGTGACCGTCAAATGACAAGGTTTTGCTGTCACTAAGCATGATGTACTCTCTCTCCAAGCCATTGCCATCATCTTGCTCAAGCGACACATCGTGCCACTTCCGAGCATTTGTGATCCAGAATGAATTTGAGAACAGAGATATTTCCCACCAAGACCATTAGGTTATGTCACCCCCCCAGCAGATGCAAATCAATTCAATGTGTTTACCTAATATTGTATTCAATAGATGGCAGCACCTATAACCTTTGTTTAAAAGTTTGCACGTGTTTAAAGGAGCTTACATCCGTAGGTCTACATTGAGGCCCGTCCAAAGATGGGCTCCCCAGGGTTAAGGCCCTGCGAACCTCTAAACTTCCGATAGAACATTCCCAGCAAAAACAGGTCTTATTTTGTTTCACCGACAAGAAAAAAATCCAGATGAAGTGATCGACACTGGATTCACGCTGTTCAGTCGTTCCATGAGGAGACAAGTAATCAGCACAATAGCTGCTTCATTTTAAGGGGATAAAGCGAAGGGGAAAACAATTAACGAGAGTTAAGTAATCAAATGGAGGTTTAGAAGCTAACGCTAAGTCAATTAATACAAACCAGGGTTAAATATATGAGTGGAAGGCAGCTTGAAACATAAATCTGAAGGGTCAAAATATATTTCCATCTTAAAGCTCAAAGAAGCTTGAACCTTTGTGAATTCAAAATTCGCCAGTGTCTGAGAGTTGAGCAACTTTTCTAGCTTGAATCTTGAGTGGATTGCAACATCTCTAAAACGAGACACCCACGTGGCAAACTTTAGTCGCCGAACCTTCACTGCATACACAGCACTTCATTTGATTGCCCCACAAGACCAAAAGGTAAAACTACCCATGAAAGCGACCGACCACCAGTGATCCGATCACTTGTCACAAACACCATACGAGTCTGCAGGGAACAAAGAGGCTCTTACTGAGTCCAGCCTCACAACGAGACCAAAGTCGCCCAGCTTGCAGAGGCCCTCGTTCGAGATGAAGATGTTGTCTGGTTTGATGTCAAGATGAATTAAATTGTGATCATGCAGGTGCTTCAAGCCCTGAAAATAAGAAGAAGCAAAGAACATTTAGGCACTGGCACTGGATGCTTCCCATTTGTGTGTCTTTATTTTACTTTTATTCTAGGGGAAAGGAAGAGGGTTCAAAAACTGGGTTTCATCTTCATTCTTGGAAGGAAAAGAATTTGGGAAAACTCTGACACTTTAGCTCACCCCCCCCCCCCTTCCCCCCCTTTTTTTTTGGCTCTTCATACTTTTCAGTGTTTGTATTTTACTTCACATACATCTCTGGACCCCATAACTTAACAAACAATACGAACTGAAACACCCAATCCAGCCTCCTACCAAGTCTGCAGTTTCCACAAGCTCCTTTATCTCAAAAATTTGTTGAAGAGTTCAAAGAATGGGACTTCTTTGCTCCATTGATTTCCTCGAAAACAACTCCTTTTTTAGCAATGCGCAGCACGGTTTCCGCCGCAACTTTTCTTGTGAAACGCAGCTCCTATTTCTTACTAATGACCTTCACCTAAACCTTGACTCCGGCTACCCCACTAGTGCTGTATTTCTGGATTTCGCCAAAGCCTTTGACAAAGTGCCACATAACCTCCTTCTGCTGAAACTTTCTATGCTAAAAATTGACCCTAACATACTAAAATGGATTGAATCATTCCTTCAACGTCGTCAGTTTGTTTATGCTAACCACACCAAATCCTCCCTGTGCTCTGTTTCTTCTGGTGTCCCCCAGGGGACAGTACTCGGCCCATTACTCTTCCTAATATATATTAATGATCTTCCTCTCAACATCTCTTCCACTGTGCGGCTTTTTGCCGATGATTGTTTAATCTATCGTAAGATAACCTCTACAGATGATACTGTAACGCTTCAAGGCGACATTTATAAAATTTCTAAATGGTGTAACACATGGCGCATGTCCTTAAATCCTAACAAATGTCAATGCATGTGCTTTTCTCGTTCATTGTCAATCACCTATCCTGTACTTCTTTTGAACTCTGTCCCCATTGATTATACTAACCAATACAAATACTTAGGCTTGAATCTCACACCTAATCTATCATGGCATACTCATATTAAAACAATTATATCCTTAGCAAACCGCTCTCTAGGCTACATTCGCCGAAACTTTAGATCCTCACCTGAAAACCTAAAACGTATTTTGTACACCACTATTGTTAGGCCTAAATTAGAATATGCGTCCTCCATCTGGCATCCTCATCAGAAAAATTTAACAGACTCCATTGAATCCGTTCAGAACCGTGCTGCTCGCTTTATTTTTAATGACTATTCTCGTACCTCAAGTGTGTCATCAATGAAGTCTCGTCTTAACCTTCCTCTACTTTCCTCCCGCCGTCGAATTTCCCGCCTTTCTCTTCTTCATAAAGTCTTCTACACACCTTTCTTGAAAATGTCTCTTCTGAACCCGCCCACCTACATATCATCAAGATTAGACCATTCATGCAAGATCGCCCGTCCCAAGTCATCAAGTGAAGCACACCAGCATTCCCTCATCCCTGAAGCAGTTGTGGACTGGAATGACCTCCCGGACGCCATAGTCACCATACCCGACCCCAAGCAATTCCGACTAGCCCTTCAAAACCACTTGTACTGACCCACTCCCCTCTATAACACCCCCGAGGCATTGAGGGTATGTATAAATAAATAAATAAATAAATAATAAATCACTAGTTTAGACCAAATCTCTTTTGAAAGCTGGCAGATGTGCCAAAGAAGCACAAACCACCGTTTTGACTAATTGTCCAAGCTAGTACTACTTGTACTAGTATTTTAAATTGCAACAAGATGTGCGTGAACATCAATTATCTGACAGCAAACCAAAAAAACATTAAAACTTTAATGCAAGCCGAATACAAATATTTTGCATTTAATGTAAATTAATCATAGACAGTTTAATAAAACTAAGTCGAAATTAATTTTTCTGCAAAAATACCTATTCATGAAAAGCATTTTACAAACTTGCATTTAATTAAAAAAATACTAACAAGGTGAGTCAGGGAAATTATAATCTAACATCAATCAAAGCAATGAATACCTCAATGAACTGAGTATAGGTTGACACACACACTTTTCTGGTACTGTCCTTTGAGTAGAAGGGTCGACCTACATTCGTAACCAATGAAGTCTGACATACAAAGTTGAGAAGAACTTCAAAGACCATCGAACCAATTGAGATGCACGGCCCCATTAGCCATTTCTCGAAGTGCACAAAAGCGGTGGAGCTTGATGCAAGAGCGCCGGTGCGACACTGTGAAATGCGACAGAAGGAACGGGGAATTTCTAAGGCATTATTCAGGATTTTCAAATATTCGAAAAACTAATACTTTGCACACTAAAAGCGTGCTGTGAATGCAAACGTTAGTCAAATTATTCGAAGTTTTGAATACAGTAACGTGATTGGTTTCAGTCACTTTGGAGCACCTTTTGAAGCAGTTAAAAGTCCATTTTGGAGCAAAAAAAGAACTTTCGGAGCACAAGCATATACTTCATGATCATTCCCGCCACTGCGAATATCATATGTTAAGATTCGTGTGTTAACCTGTCAAACTAAAATACACTGCTTACTTTGCCTTCCCCCTTCTGCGCAACATTTTGTTTGTATCGGTTGCACAGCAGGTTCGATTCTCTCAAGCACAGAACTCGCTGTTCAGAAGAATGTGGAAGCACCAGTCACAGCAACAAGGACAGTATGAACTCATGTGAATGGTTATTTTAGTTGTGGAGTCAAATGGAAACCAAATAGTATATCACATAGAAATAAGGTTAGAATGGATCATGTCGAGCACTCAAATTTATGTCTCGCTGCAATTCTAAAGGGTTCAATGAAACTCAAATTCTTAATTGAGATAAAAACACAGTCTTTGCTATTTGATCTTGAAATGACATTTTATACATAGAACTTCATGACAACAAAAATCGACATCTGAGCAATATATCTTAAAAACAGTAAAAACAGCAAAAACGATAAATCTTAAAAACAGACTAGCCAAATTATCTCTATGTTTCCATCCACTGCTCCAGCTAATTTAGCTTTAACTTACTCTCTTCACTGCACCATCGGACAGAAATTTTTTTCCAGATTTCCACGAGACTGGAAGTCTGGAAAAATAATTTCCATACCAAAGCCGAGAGAAATAACAAATATGCAAAATTATCCACCAATTTCACTCGCAAATACCACTTGTAATATTCTTGAACACGTCCTTACCAGACACATTATGACATATGTTCAGACTAATAACCTCCATAGGAAGACACCAATATATCATTTTTTAAACCACCTGAGACTGGGTGGAAGAAACACTGCAATTCTAAAGGGTTCTTCCACCCGGTCTCAGGTGGTCTAAAAAATGGTAAACTTACACCAGGTCGCCTGCGCCCTAACTGTTTTTACCAATATACTATATTTAGAAGAGGGCGCTCTACTGCTACGCAACGGACAGAGGCGACTCATGACCTCAGTTTATGTATTAACAGTGGTGGGCGAGTAGATGTTGCATTTCCGGATTTTGCCAAGTCTTTTGACCACGTGTCACATCCAAAACTGCTTCATAAACTCAAGTACATATTGAACAATTATCGAGTTTTAACATGGGTTGAAGCTATCTCATTGGCAGCGAACAGTTTGTACAATTAAATAAGGTAAAGTCAGACGACCTATCAATAACGTCAGGAGCACCTCAAGGATCAGTCCTAGGGCCGCTACTGTTCATTTTGTGCATCAGTGACATAAGCTAGGGATTTGAAACTGAAGTCAAAATAAAACATTTTGCCGACGATACAATTAAATGAACATCTGATGATCAGAAGTTATTAAATGAGCATTTACATAAATTGGCCAGCTGGTGCAACGATTGGCAAATGGAAATCAACAAAAACAAAACTGTTTACATGACTGTAACGCGGAGAATACGAGCACAATTCAACAACAGTACAGGGGGTATGCCTTTAAAAAGTGTTCAGGAATTTAAATATTTGGGTGTCCTTTTAAAATCAAACCTAAACCGAAATTCACACATAGAAGATGTTGTCAATAAAGCATTAAATAAAATTTGGATACTCAGACAGAAATTAGCATTCGCTACTCCAGAGCTAAAATTAACTCCATATAAAGCACTAATCTTACCATCGCTCAAATATGCGAGCCCAGTCTGGGAGCCATTCACACAAAAAAACATTCATAAATTCGAAAGCATCCAAAGTAAAGCGGCCCGTTTTAATTTTTTAATCGCTACATATCTACCGAGTCCAGTTCCCAACTGAAATCCGATGCAGACCTCCTTCCTATTAGCACTAAAATGATGTTGAGCCAGATGCAATTCTTCAACTTGCTACGTGGTCGATATGTTATGAATATTCATGTGAATATCCATGTTATGATGCTATGCCAGTCTGCGTGATTGTGCTTCAGGGTGCTATGATACGCAATGGTTTACCTTCCTGCTTCAACCTCATGGCTGGCAGTATTAAAAAAGAAAATATATACAGGGTGTTTTACAGGCTTTACATATTTGTTTAAAATAAACAGTGAAAGCTGCCCTGACCCGGATTGTGCAGGTGAGCTATACGGCCAGGGGGACATAACATAAGGGGCTGATCGCCACGGTAAGTCGGATAGTTAACTAAATTCTGTTGATTAACTTCTCTAATTATTGAAATACATGATACCAGTCAGACACTTGCCAGGTGCCATCAAAAAACACTAAATCAGTATATTTTAGACAGATTTCAAACGTGTGGAAAGTGTGGAGGTATGCTAAAGTGATCACTCATGCAACAAGATGAAGGCTAATGGCGCGAAAACGGGGATGTTAAGCTGGCGGTAATGTTATCAGCCGCGTCTTCGCACTGCCAGCCTTGCGGCTGTTCCACGAGTAGCAAATTTAGCACACCAACATACTTCTGGCGCGCCTCAAATCGCACTAAAATTTAACGACTTAATGGTTTTCGATAAAGCTCGATAAGTTTCTAATTGAATGAAAATGAATGAAGAGATTTTACTTAATTATCCGACTTATCATGACAATTATAACCCCCCATATGTCCCCTGGCCGTGTAACTCACCTGCACAGACCAGATTAGTGTAGTTATCGTGGCTCTTTTTAAAACAAATCTGTAAGTAAAAGTTCTCTGTACAAAGGTGACAACTAAACAAGAGAATTGACATAAAAAATTAAGCTTCAGCGCAGTCCACATAAATCTTCTCGCAATACCTTATTAAGTCACGAATTTAAAGAACAAAATCGTCAGAATATTTGTTGATACCCGACGCTTATGTCACAACATCTCGCTCTAGAAAAGTGCTTTTCCCCCAGTGCTGCAGCGAAGAAAGATACCCAAAATCGTGAAGCTTCTTTCATGGTTCTCGCTTCACCACAGTGCGAATATGACAAATATGGCGAGACTTACGAGTACTGTCGGTGTTTCATACAGGAATAAAATAGAGCAGTACGTTACGTAGGGCAAAAATCGTACAAGCCTACCATAACGATCCAGCCGTGTGGCGAGCCCAAACTCCAACATTTTCAGTAATAATAAAGTGAAACTACAGTTTGGCGCAACGTTGGCCCAAATTCATAGCATTTTGGCAAAATGTAACAGGATTTGGCACAGCAACCGTGTCACTGCGAATATTAGCACACCCCTAATAGACCTTTTCTGAATTATACCCAAAACCAAGGAGCATGCGAGAGTTTATTTTTAACGCGCCAAGCGCGCTGCCTTCCGAAGCAATAAATGTTTTGAAGCAAAATCCCAAAACAAATGGCACTTTGCATGCGTGTTCAACAATGCCTTTTTGCGGTCATTTACTTCGAAACTTTTATGCAACTACGACAAGCGCGAGCAGAGTGTGTACCTACGTTCCTAGCATTTTCATTGATGGTTAAATAATTTGACAAAAACGTTTACAGTTGAACCTCAATTTAACAAAACACGATTTTACGAATTTCCCGATTTAACGAACAAATCTGGATTCCCCACCAGCCTATGCGCGAGGTCTCCCTTCCTCGATTTTACGAAGTTCCAGATTTAACAAAATAATTAGCGGGTCCCGATGACTTCTTCAAATCAAGGTTCAACTGTATTACGATTTCTTGGTACTTTCTAAGGAAAGTTCAATGGCTGACTTCCAAGTCAATGATTGACGTAATGATTTTAGGGGAAGTCCCCAACGTGGAGAAGACTTACGTAAGGACAAACAAAGTTGCACCCGAAATCGCGCGCCCTCTAGGCGGCTGGTGGCCACTCAAAATGCGCTCCAATTCTTAGGCGGAAGTCAATATATTCTTACCACTTCCAAGTATGGCGCATCCCCGAAAAAAGATTTACATAGTCGCTTTCATCGCAACAATAAACTATGCACCGCAGATTGCTCAGACTCCGCCCAAACGTAGGACTGGCGGTCCGAACCAGATGCCGAAGTTTCAGAAGTAACCGTTTACTTTGTTCAAAAATTGCGAGCAATTTCCAGAAGCTCTCAACGGGAAAACGGGGCCCGTTCCTGGCAGTCGACGCCGTTCGTCCCCACATATGGCCTTCCGTAGGCCCCCATTTTCCCACTTTTAAAATTTTTGAAAATCACATACGACTTAAGGCCCGTTCACACTCTTGCGACTTCTTAAACCTGGGTTCCTTAAAACTCCTTAAACCAGAGAACACACTGGCGCCATCTATTGGGAAGCAGTGTAAACTCGGCGGTCCGGCACATTTTTTTCATTTCTCGCGCATTATCCTTTCTTTCTTGGCTCGAAAAACCTTTCTCAATGTTATAAACGAGCCCTTCTATGGGTATTACGCATATTTGACCTCGCAAACCCCGCAAAACCTTCGCTCTTGTGAAATGCAGTTCCAGGGTCACCGCATAGATGGCGCCACAATGCCAGTGTGTTCCCGCATTCTAAAAACATTTAAGAAGTTTTAAGAGATCTCGTCTCTCTCAGTCGTAGTCGGTTGCAAGAGTGTGAACGGGCCTTTACAAACAAGATTACGGCTAGCTCTGAAGCTTTGGAATCTAGTCCAGACCACTAGGAGTACATTTGGACAGAGATCGAGTGTTTGGCGATTCACAGTTTATTTCTGCGATGAAAAAATCTGTTTTGTAGTATACATTTTTCACATTTGCTCCACGTAGAGGCTGGTTCCCCCACATGCAACTCATCACGACCGTGCACCTCGAAACCTCTTAAAATCTCTTACGACGAGAAAATGCAGTGGCGCCTCTGTTGCGTAACCATCGAAAACTTTTAGCATTCCTTTGTGCCCCATTCTTTCCTTCTTTCTTGGCTCGAAAAACTTTGACAATCAATGTGCTAGTATGTTCTCCCGTCGCACGAGATCGCACGAGATTAGTCCTGATTGGGCCTGACTGGCGAGTGCGTGAACGGGCCTCCGGCAAACACGACAAAGTGGCACGAACCTGCAGGAGGTCGACGAGGTAGTTCCAGACGGCACGCTCGGGGATGTCGTGGTGCTCCTCCGCGTAGGCTGTCATGTTGGAGTGGCACAGCTCCATCTGGATGTAGAGGCGGCAGTTCTCCTCCCAGGCCTTGATGAAGCGCACGCAGTTGGGGTGCGGGGGCAGGCACTCGTGCTTCGCCACCTCCTGCAGCTTGTTTTGGCGGTCCTTCATGCTGCGGAACTGCCGGTAAGCCTCCTTCACCGCATACCAGCGCCCGTCCTCCCGGCTTCGGACCTTGTAGACCTGGCGTTCGTGGGAGGGGGGAGTTGAGAGCATGTGGCAGTTCGCTTGCAATCCCCCACCTTCAAAAGAGGGAAGCCTTCTGCTCCTTTCTCTCTTTGGGGAACGGGCATCGAGAGTGCGCAGAAGTCAATCGCAATTCTCTGTACGTGTCCCCAAAAGGAAAAGAAGCCTTCCGCTCCATTCAAAGAAGGGCTTCCCCAAAACAGGAAGCCCTTTCCCTCTTTGGGGAATAGGCTTCAAGATCGTGCAGAAATCAGTTGCAATGCCTGGTCTCTAAAAGGGGAAAACCTTTCCTCCTTTGGGGAACAAACAGGCATCAAGACTGTGCATAAATTGGTTACAATTCTCTGTCTTCAAAAGGGAAAAAGCTTCTGCACCCTTCCTACTTTGGGGAACAGGCATCGAGACTGGGCATAAATTGATTACAATTCCATGTCCGTGTGCCCAAAAAGAGACCCTCTGCTCCGTTTAGGGAAAGGGCTTCTTCAAAATAGGAGACCCTTTCCTCTTTTTGGGGAACAGAAGAAGGCACCGAGAGTGCGCATACATCAGTCGCGACTCCATGTCTGTGTACCTAAAAGGAGAAGAAAAGCCTTCGGTTCCTTTTAGCCGATTCACACGACGGGTCGAATCACGATTTTTGTCCGAGGACCGTAGACCACGTGACCGGCACGTCGCAGATTTCTGCGATCTGTGCCTTGTCTGCGGACGCGTAAATTCATAAAGTTGAGCAATTTTTCACTCGCTGAATTTTGACGGAAGATTGACTTGAAAAGCGTTTGGTCTGGATTTTTTTTTTTTGGGGGGGGTGGGGGGGTCGCCTATGACTAAATGTTTCATGAGGTGGAAGGGGGAGAGGAGGCCCCAGCAAAATGGAAGATTTCGGAGGGGGGGGGGGGGGGGGGGGCATGCTCCATGGGCTTGTCCCCTGGATATGTGCCTAGTACAATGTCTTCTTGGCTTTTTTTTTCTTTTTTTTTTCTTGATGATTAAAACGAAAATGGTGCATCATTTTCTTTTGTGTGTTTGCTGGTTTATTTTGCAGCGCAATTCTCGGTTCCACACATGAAAGAAACTGCGGAAACTTTGTCCGGCTGACGCGACGCAGGTTCTGCTACTCCTCCGGGTCCGTGTCAAGAAGCTCACATCAAAACTCGTCTAGCACACTATAATAATTTTTGCACGTCCAATCTGGATTTTACCGAGCAAGATCTTTCTTGTGGCTGTGGTGTACTTGAGTTTTGTGCATGACGGCATCTCCAAACGTCCCTCCACGAGCCCAGAACTTTGTCGCCTCTACACCGAACCCTTCTCGAGTGGACCATGGTGTCATTGTCATGGCTTGGGTTAGTAAGGCTAGTGGTGCCTCGGACGAAGCCTATCATGGTGTTTTGTCTCAATCTGTGTGTAGCAGCGGCGTATGATTCTTTATCGCGGTAGCAAACATTGATTTCTTTCTTGGACGATGGTGCCACGGTGCGATGTTGGAGTTTTGCAGCACTGTGGTGTGGCAAACGGGTACGGTCCGTCCTTGTTGGCATATGCTCGTCGTCTCCCTCGTGTGGACGCGCTAGGGAGAGGGACGAACCGCGGACATGTCGTCACGTGATCAATCCGTCCACGAATCAGTCTGTATGTGAATCAGCCATTTTGAGGAAAGGGCTTCTTCAAAGAAGGAAACACTTTTCTTTTTGGGAAATAGGCTTTGAGCCAGTGCAGAAATCGGTCATGATTCCATGTCCTCGTTCCCAAAAAGGGAAAGCATTCGGCTCCTCTTTGGGAGAGGGCTTCATAGAGTCACTAACTCAGCTAAGCTTCAGAGTAAAAACACTTTAGTCTTCTTGTTGCTTGAAATCATTGTTGCCATTTATCTTTGTCCTTATCTGAAATTGCAAAAAATACTTTTACGTCCTTTAGAAGTGTTAACGAGTCCGCAACAAAGCAACACAGCACCCCCAAAGCTTTTCAATGCCATAACTAACGTTCAGGATGTGTAATTTTCTAATTGTAACTATGGCCAGTTGCACCCGCTCTGCAGTAAGCAACAAAGTGATGGTGCCCACAAAACAGTCTGAGAATGGAGTGTCGATGCTTTAAGAATAGATTATTTAGTGACTCTAGGCTCCCCCAAGGGAGGAAGCCCTCTCCTTCCTTGAGGAAGAGGCATCGAGAGCACACCAAACTCAGTCACAACTCCCTGTTCCTATCCCCAAAGAGGGGAAAGGGCTTCCCCAAAGGGAAAGACATCCCCTCCTTGAAAAAGGTTTTTCTTTATGGCTTTTTTTCTTAGGCCACTTCCACCCTAGAGGGTGCAAATTGCACTCCATCATAGATGGAAGTATCCCATTCTAAATGACCTCCATCTTGGAGATTTCCCCAAGATTGTATTTAGGTCCAACAGAGTATAGTAGTTATGTAACTTCATTTATATCTTTCAATGTCATTGAAGTTCTCAAAGAGACAAAGCTGGTACAACTAGTAAATAAATTAATCATTGTTTTTAGTGAAGTTTATAGACAGATGAAACTGCCTTTCCATGACCGCTGTAAGTAGCATGAATGTGTCCCCTTTCTTAAAACACGTGTTGCCATTATAAACTTTGCATTTAATAGCTGCAATTAAAAAAAAAAAAAAGATTTACTCCAACTTAATATGAAAATTAACAAAAAGATGCCTTAAAACGTGCAAACCCACCACCCCTTATTCCGGCAGCGTATAAAAATGAAATAAAACCATGGGTGTCCGTGCTCACCACACCGAAGGAACCTTGTCCCAGCTTACAGTCGATGTGAAAGCACTGGTGCAGGTACAGGTCTGGACGGCTGCTGTCATAATGCGGGCTGTGGAAGGCTGTAGCCACAAGGTCAAGGTTTCTAGACGCCACAGCATCACAGATGCACACAAACACAAGGAGCTAAAAAGAAAAATTAAGCACAGTAGTTCTCAAATGAAGCCAAAGTAACAGATTTCAATAATTTCTAATGCCATCCGTCATGCCTTTGCTAACCATTTCAGGCATCAAAACTGAATTGAAGGTGTGAATAAAATTAGGCAAACCATGCAGAACTACAGTTTGTACCCGAAGCATAATATTCACAGAACTCCAGTGAGGGTATATTATTTTTGCATAAACTGCTATGGTATTGAGAATGGCAACCGAGGATCTGGTTCGCTTTTGCTCTAGCTTGCTGTTTGGTCGTTTTCACAAGATATTGGTTTCAGGTGTGTCAATTAGTACTCAAGATGCCATTTAAAGATGCAAATACGTGCATCACGGCATGGTTTTATATGAATAGTGCAAAAAAAATTTCACTTTTTAAAAAGACAATAACACACGAAAAAAAACATTTTGCCAGTCAATTTATTATGGTGTTAGGAAACTACCCATATTTTTAATAAAGTAAAAAAAAACGGACTGGGGAGGAAGATGAAATATAGAGAAGGAGAAAGTTGTTGGAAGTCACATGGCTGTTCAACTTCTTTTTCTTCAATCAATGTATTTGTAGCTTTTTAGAAGTCACAAAAAATGGGTATCATATTACTTTTCTATTTTTAATATTGCGGGTGTGCCATTGCGACTTTGATTATCTTTGGTGGTTGTGTCTAAACCATAGAAAACAGCATGTAACCACAAAGAAGAGAGTAAGCGCGACTCAAACTGGAGAGTTCTCAATCGGCGGTTTTAGGGCGGAAAGAAAACAAATTTCGAGCTGCAAATTGAGGCATGGGCAGTTGGGCTTTCACGTGTCCAGGGGCGGATTTAGGGAGGGGAGGGGGGGGGGGGGGGGGGGGGGGGGGGGGGCCAATTGTCCTCTTGTCAGCTCCCTAAGGCCAATCTTTTTTTAAAATAAAATCATTGATATACACCAGCCAAAAGTTTAGTTTTTGGCGACATAGAAAATATTGGGTCAACAAAATAGATGTGGGCAACGTTTCACATAGAGGTCACATATACTAATTCTAAAGGAAAAGGTCCGCCATTTTCCCATGCATTCTGACTGCCGCAAGCGGCGGAGCATGGAGACAGACCTTTGGGGTCTTGCACATGGTTACCAACTGCCTTCGATTTCACCAATATAATTAGGTTATCATTAAAGCAGTTTCATGAACTTCAACAATCCACATACTTACCGGTGGAAAGATATTCGCGTTCCTTTTGAAGCTTTCTTTTTGCATAGCACGCAAGTGTATGGCCTCGCGTCAACACAAAACTAAACCAAATAAGCAGCTTCGCGCTATGGTTTTGATAGGAGCGCCCCTGGAATACAAAACCGCGTAACCACGAGATTTCAGAGATTTCGACAGAAGGGAAGTTAATGGAGCGTAATGAGTGTATTGCTTTATTAGGCATTAGAATAGCTCAGAATTTAGTTTACAACGTTAAATTATCACTGTTTATTTTGCTGAGAGTTTTCAGTCTTTGCAATTACCATTGCGACTGTCGTCCTTCAGCTGGCAACATTGGTTTCTTTCTCCAGTGTTCTGTCGCGCTCTTTTACTTGGGACCCCAGGTGTCCGCGCACAGGATTTGCCACCCATCCTCACCCCCCTTTACCCCCGACGTTTACCCCCCCCCCCCCCCCCTTGCCAAATGCTTACCGCTCCTATCAGCGCTGGCAAGTTTAAATACTCTGTCAGTGTCTCTTTAATGAGGTTGACAACGCAACAGATGCGGAGTTCCAGCATTAAGCAGCTGGAAAAAGAGGCCATGTGCAACCCGGCATCATGGAAATTTGCCGCAATAAAGCCAGGTCTCCTTGTCGAAAGTTGGCTGCCACTCCGAAGACCCCTAAGAGGCTTCTGTGACAAAATTCTTTGGCATTCTCGAAAAGAACCGGCAGAACTAGTCCACCGCTAGTCCTAGTGCTACAAGGAGAGCTGGAAAAATTGGCACCGGCATATAAGGAGCTCAAACATTGGCAGAATGTATGTTTAGGTGGTGTATCTTACCTAGCGAAATTTAAAGCCGTAGCTCCCTTCCCATGCAAAGCGAGACCCACAAACTTGCCAGGGTCAATGGTGGACGTCTCACTCCGTCGTCAATGGCGAGCAGACAAAGCACTCTTTGCCTCACAACACTCATTGGGAAATAGTGTCACAAGTCACAACCATTGCCAACTCTGTCGTCTGCGAACATGTCCGCCATTGACCCTGGCAGGATTGTTGGTGTTGTTTTTCACAGAGCTATGCTTTGAACTTTCACCGGGTAAAATGCAACACCCAAATACACATTCAATGAAAGTTTAAACTATGTGCAGGTGCCGAGTTTTCTGGCAAGTCTTGCGGCGCTAGGACCCGTTGCAGACACCCTACACACACCTTGCACGTGACGTCACGCAAGGGAAGGACAAGGCCCCGCACCATGCTGGTGGTTGACTTCACACTGCGTGGATGCGCCTACCAAGGCCTAGGATGCCACTGACTGCCCTGACATGTGGCGACACACTGCATTTTCAACAAAGGCACCTTTTTTTTACAAGTGAACTCAAAAAAAAAAAAAAAGTGCCAATCTTACGGAGATTGCATTCAGTCAGTATGTGCGAAATTTTTCAGCGTTGGTGCTATTGCGCATTGAGCAGAAAGTATTGACACTCCGCCGACCAAGTTTCGATGCGAAGGGCTGTTATGTCAGCAAAACGAGCTTCATTGTGTGCCCCACAATTATTTGACGAGGGGCTCTCCTCGTCAAATAATAGCCACTCGTAGTAAAGCTGTTATGATTTCGCAAATCACCGGTAAACAACACAAGGTTACCATACTGCACAGGCACGTAGCCAGGATTTTGTTTCGGGGGGGGGCCTGCCCATGACAAAATGCTGTATGAGGGGGAGGGGGGAGAGGAGGTCCCAGCAAAATCTAAGATTTCGGGGGGGGCCCGGGCCCCATGGGCCGCCCCCCTGGCTACGTGCCTGATGCTGCAGATGGCATAAGCCAATGATGCCCCGGCGTAGGCGTCCTGGCAAGCGTGCACGCGGGGTACGCTGCCGACCGATCGCTGCCTGGCCGGGATCGCGGCGTGACACGCTTGCGATTACTCCGAGAGGGAGATCCGAAGGTGCGCTCTAAGTGTGGAAACGGTGTGGTGAAGCGTATGCAAAGGGCGTCCACATCCCGAACGGACAAAACCGATGCAACGGCATGCTACACATAATCAATGTTAGAAAAGTGCAGTCGCATGCTGCTATAAAATGCGTTCCGCAAACTCGGCAATGCGCGGCCGCACCCCTTCCCTGCCGCTCATACCTTCTATAACTTGACGGCTATTCTGTCGCAGAGCGTGCCGCCGAAACAAGCATTGGGACGCGCAGCAATTGCTACGGCTGAGCGCAGCGCAGTTTACTATGGCTCTTGCTACGAACGGCTGTCAACTTGAGCACCAGCACGGTGGCTGCAGGTGTTCGACGTTATCGTGCGACGTAAGTGCAAGGCATGTATACGATTCTTGCTGCCTCGTTTCAGCAGGGAAGGATACAACCTTCGGAGCCATTGAAGCTGACCGCTTGGGGCTGTGTTGGGCAAGCCTGAAGCGAGCCTGAGCGATCAGGTGACCTGAGTGGAGGTGGCAACGGGAGTTTGTTCCCAGAGCCATGTCGGGACTGCAGGAAAGTGAGAGAGAGAAGTGGCATCACAAGCAGGGGTGGACACAGGTATTCAGGGAGGGGGGGGAGGGGGTCAGTCTATCATATGTTTGAGACACCTCTCCCCTCCATTTCCCCGTGCTAAACATTTACACATACAGAATTCAAGAGGGGGTCAGGACATCCGGACCAGTGATTTGCCTACACACCCCCTAAGGGGGGGTGTACACGCTCCCTTGTTTTTTAGAAGGCACCCCCTTAATTCGCTACGACTCCTCTATTCTCAATGTCCCCCCCCCCCCCCCCCCCCTTCGTAAAAATTGATGTGTTGAAACTGAGGGCAACTGCAACAATAAAGGCAATGTATAAAACAAACCATCGTAAATTATGTAAAAAAAAAAAAAAAAGAAAAGCGATTTGCACGTTGAAAAATACGGTAATAAATTTCGAACGACACAGGAAATGGAGTGGAGGGCGCGGGGGGCGGTGCCACTGATCAGTGGGCGGTGCTTTCGACAACTGCCTTGAGCAGAAAAATGCCAAGTCCGCTTCTGTCTGTACCCGTACGTCCTCGGCTCATCGCAGCAATACAGTATAGTTACTCCTGTGAACCTCAATCGCTTTCCCATGAGAATTTTACTTTGGTCACGGGAGCAGAACTTGGAAGTGGCACACGATAACCAGCAGTCTGGAGGTTAAGATATTCATGCCTGCTTACAATTTTATATTTAATATAAAATTGTATAAAATTTCTTAGTAATAAGGTATCGCGAGGGTGACGCGCAGTCTGGCCGTGACGCAAGGCGACCCTAGGGCTATAGTCACCCTGCTTAAGACAGTGTCCGAGGCGTTTTTCTTGTATCATGGTCATGTCACACCCCGCAGACATGTTGCAAGCCTATGTATGAAGCAGACGAGCTTCGAACATACTCCTGTCATCAAATGTCTGTAGCGAACAGCGTGTATTTCGTATGAGGTACGGGCAGTGTGACAGCGGCTTAACATTAATCTAAAAATTAAACCGCAGCGCGGGTGCAGTGTATTCACCGGAAACAGCCGTCATGTGCTTGCTCACTGACACATACGATGCAGCGAGAGTAGCGTTTACAAGGACAAGCCTCACGTTACGTCCCACGCAGGTTAGGAAGACTTGCGAGCACGACGGGAAGTGTTGCGAAAGTGGACTGACGGTACCTTTTTTCTTGACAGAGACTCGGTCTCGAACATCTGCGGCACAGGCAGCACAGGTTTCAGAATCCACTGCGCCGACATGTCGGCATAATATGCCGCTGACGGTTCTTCACGCGACACCAAAATCACCGGCCGTGTAGTGTCACATAAGTTCTAAACACAACGTACACTGAAAATACCGCCTAAAACACGGCGTGATACCCCGAAAGGGAAACAAACTGTATCGCGCCAGGCGAACTGTCCGAATGAGTGGACGTCCTTTTGCGTGCTCCCGACAGACCTCTGTATGCCACTCTGCCTTTCACCAATATTCCTGCTTCCTGCCACCCCCCCCCCCCTTTTTTTTTCCTTATCAGACGGTAACTTGCGCCACCTGTTTATGTAAAACGCGCTTGCGACGTACCGATCGCCCTGATGCAAAACGGTTGTGGTGCTACTGCAGGGGCGGATGCAGGAAATTTCTGAGGGGGGGGGGGTCAGGTGTTGGTCAGCGTACCGTAGGTCTAGGAACCCCCTCCCCTTTTCCCTCGTTTCACACCCTAAATTTTCACATTCAAAAATCAAGAGGGGGGTCAGGACATCCTGACCCCCCCTCTAAATCCGCCCCTGTACTGAATACTGATACTAAATACTGGTGCCGCGGATTGTATTTGTACAAACTGTGCGGGATCCTCCCTTGGCTTCCCCTTTTTCCTTCACCCAAAAATAACAGACAACAAGCCTGTTCTCGCTTCGATCGGAAAAACGAGCGATTTCGCTTGCAGATGTGTTCAAACAGCGTACGTGCCCATGTATGTAAACTGCATGTGAAATGAGACGAGGTGAATGTCGTGCTAAAGGAACATTAATGAAACACTTCGAGCACAAAGGGGATGTTTGACCCCTCATTTGTGATTGATGGAATTCGCTCTTCGGAAAACACGAAGAGGAGGGGGGAGAGAGTTTTTTTTTTTTTTTTTTGTTTCCAGACATGGTACATGCCATTACGCTACACCACCGGCGGACAAGCCTATAATCCATCCCAGTCAATCCAGCGCTGTGGATGAAACATCTGACAACGCTCACCGCACATCGCCACGCCGGCTACGCCCCTCCGACGTTGGCCCCTTCCGACGGTCACGTGACAGTCAGGACACTGACATCCCCCTAAATTTACCTCTTTTATTTTTGACAGGCGATTCCTTATGGTGTCAGAAGACTACCCAATCAATATTTTGCTACAGCGTCGCGTATATTAAAAAAATAAATAAAGAAAAAGAAAAAGATTGCCCGAGACCGAAACTGAAACTGGACTGGGGAGGAAGAATCACGTGGTTGTGAAACTTTTTTTTTTTTTTTTCACCTTAAAACAGACAACGCATTCGGAGCTTATAAGAAGCCCCAGCAAATGGGTATCATATCTATTTTTCTATATTTATTATTGTGTGTTTTCCTTCGATGACCTACGACTTTGATTATATTTGGTGGTCGTGTCTAAACATTAGAAAACGGCCCGTGACCACGGAGAAGAGAGTGAGCGCGACTCAAACCGGCCGATCGGCGGTTTTCGGGTGAAAAAAAGGGATGAGAACGATTCGTCACATGCGCATTCGTCACAGGACGATTGGTCACAGGATGATTCGTCACATAGGAACATTCGTCACAGGATGACTCGTCATGCGGGCAACTGGTCACATTGATCGAGCAGGGGACGATAGTAAATTGTAAATTTCAACGTCTGCCCACATACCCTGATGAGGAATTTCACGATTTTCCACTGTCACGTAAACCAATGGTTATATAAACTAATATTACAATACTCATCCGCTTTTCCTTTCATTATATTACGGGTCTTGAGCAGGTTGATCTCAGTTGCAGGCTTGAACGAGCAATAATCCGACTGGCAGCCAAATTAGTTTTTAGTTTTGCCTTGCATACACCTATTCGACAAAACCAACAAGTATCGGAATTCCTTCTGCCGAATGTGTACGAGTACCCCTCGTGCAGCATCATGGCTCTACCTCTCTCTGTCGCGATCACCTCCATCCTTTTGAATGTAGTCTGAGTTCAAAAATAGTCGCTCTTCTATGGCCTCCGCATTCACCGTTCAGGACGGACCCAGATAGCTAGAACGTCTGTTACAAATTCTTTGATCTCGAGAAGCGAAAGACATGCTAAGATAAGAGGTGACCGACTTTGTGAGGCCCAACCAACATTCAATGTTCGGGACCGAATCAGAAGCTAAAACGTTCGTTACAAATTCTTCGCCTTTGTCCGCCCGAACCAAATTGAACAATACATTTTTGGGGGGACGAACTATTGTGGGACATGTTGGCCGCGTGACGAGTCATCCTATGACGAATGTTCCTGTGTGACTAATCGTCCTTTGACCAATCGTCCTGTGACGAGTGTGCATGTGACGAATGGACCGTATCCCGAAAAAAAACCTAATTTCGAGCCGCAAACTCTGTTCTGGGTAGTTGAGTGTATTACTGCCCCATTGTTTGTTTTTAATCTTTCATCTAATTAGTACCTCCACCAACATGACACGATTCATTTCTCTTTGGTTTATCTTGGAGGCCCTGTATGTGCATCGCGCAACTGCCATCTTGAACGCGTCAGATGTCGACTCAGTTTCATCTCGTATGTGCATCGCCCAGCTGCCATCTTGAACGCGTCAGATGTCTACTTAGTTTCATCTCGTGAAAGAGCTTTCCGCGCCAGACTTCTGTCCCACGTGTTTTTTTTTGTTTTTTTTTTTTTTGCCTTTTTACCGTGACACTTAACGTCCAGCCGTTGCCCTCATAGACCAGGCAGTTCGTCGTTCTCCGAAGTCATAGAAACTGTCTTCCTCTTCAGCACGTGCTCACTTACACTCTTGACCATGTTGAAATAACCTGAGACTGGGGTAGAGAAGAAGCATCAAATCGTAGAAGAAACAGAAAATAAACAGGACGACGTCTCAAACTCAGCTCTCGGCTGAGTTTGAGACGTCGTCCTGTCTATTTTCTGTCCCTTCTGCGATTTGATGCTTCTTCTCTACCCCAGTCTCAGGTTATTTCAACATGGTTAATATTCACCAGCTCGCCTGCACCCTTACGATTTTTTCTACACTCTTGCTTTAGTTTCACTAACGCCTTCTGTTTATTTCCTTTGAAACTTTACAAAAGTTAAAAGCAGTGCGACAACACTTCATAATGCACATCAGCAGCTACAGCACCCTATTTTTTCGCCATCAATGACTATGAATATTTTTTTTTTCCAGAAATGAACGAGAGCCTCCACGCAGTACCACTGTAAGACAAGGCCCACAAATGACGTCATCATTGTTGAAACCCCGACCCGCCCCAAGCGGCAAACAAGCTGTAGCTCGTAGACGCGTGCGTCTGGCGTCGTCGTTGCAGGTGACATCATTCAAAGAGCGCTCCGATTACCATCACAGACGAGGGCAAGAAGGAGCTCCCCTCCTATCAGGGCCCTCTTCTGTGACTCCCAGATTTGCACAGACTTCGCTATTCTCCTCCCAACCTGTCACTCAAAATTCTTACAAAAGCAGCTTCCCTCTCCTCCTTTTACATGGTGTTCAAAGGTATGCGATGTGACGTCAGTGCAAGGAGCCCATCGTTTCCGTGACGTCGCGGCCAACACGCGAGGAGGGTCTTGCCTTTCTGTACATATCCGCTTTATCTTTCGACTTTGACTTAGCATTCTGGAAGCCACGAGAGGGAGATTAGAGTTTTCCCCTCCGATGGAAACAAATACGACTTTCGGGGATTAGGTTCCCCCTCTGATGGATACAAAGGCTGCATTCAGGGGCTCGGTTCCCCCTCCGATGAATACAAAGGCCGCTTTCTTAAAAAGTGGGATCGGAGACAAGTTGTCATAGCCAATATCTATCCATTGAAGCGGAACAAGGAGCGTTTCCAGTGGATTCTTCTTTCGACTGAGGGATTTTAAAACGGCGCATCTATAGCATTAAAATCTAACCACTATTTTTTTTTTTTTTTTTTCAGTCGGTTAATAAGAGCTCAGCGTCGTTCTGACTTCCCCGCAACTTCTGCGCAAGAAGCAGACGACTTGCTCTCCGCTTGTTGTGAGGCGCGCTGCAAGACGCTTTCGGTGCATCTTAGATTGGCTTTACGTTATTTCACTAAGATGTGCGCGTTTCAGAGGCCAAAATTATCTCTCCTTCCTACGACAATCAAATCTTGTCAGAACTGCATCACGCGGAGCATGAATAATGCGCAAAGCGTCCTTCTTTTTCTTGATCTGAGTTTCCAGCCAAGATGAAAAGTTTTCGGCAGTGAAGTCAAACTTGCACGGGGAACGGCATTATTGTGTGGCAAAAGAAATTTGCTTCCTTCTTCTCTGGCCTGACTTTGGAAATTCGGGCCTTTAGCTCATTAGTCAGGGTTGCGATGTAGCGTTTTCTGGTGCAGAGTTGTCTGGTCGCAATCCGCCGATAAGTGCAGATGGGCTGGTCATTGTGCGAAAGCAGTCAATGCACGCTGTTGATTTATCTTCGAGTCAAACAACGAGTTTCTCCCACAAAGGCAGGATGCCTTTCAGATATAACGTCGTTGGAAAGAGGGAAACAGGAAATCAAGAGAGGACGAAAAGAGAAACGCCACGCCAGCAGCTCTCGTATCGCTTCCGAGTTTGGGGGACCAAAGCGTTCCGAAAGCCTTAGTTTCCGCGTCTCATGCGCGATGGCTGTTAGAGCTCACGTAAAAAAACACACACACAATAAAAAAGCCCTCGGAGCGCAAGTTCGTCTGCTTCTTTTGCAGGGGTTCCGGTGACATCAGAAAGACGCTGAGCTCTGGCTTAGGTCTGGTTGAAGGATAGTGGGTACCTCAAAGCTAGCTGCCTTGAGGTCTACCCACTATCCTTCCAATCAGAGCCAATCAGACCTCGGCGTTCTGATGTCACCGCAAAACCTGTTGAAAAGAATCAGACCCTCATAGATTTCAGAGAGGGAACAACTCAGACCTTGGAGAGCTTTTGCAAATAAAATGGCGGCTGCCTTCTGCGCATATTGGTTGCGTGTGCGCATTCGTGCGTTCTCAGCAGGGCGGAGACGCTTGCAGACGATCGACGCTTTCGCGTCCTCCCTCGCAGCTTCTATGCGGCTTGAGCGCAAGCAGCGCAAGTTCGTCTGCCTAATTAAACTTGAGGAAGAAAACGAGTAGGCTCGTTTTGTCCTTACTTCGTCTGCCTCTTTTGCAGGACTTGTGGTGACGTCAAGAAGTCGCCGAACTCTTACTGGCTCCGATTGAAGAATAATGGGTAGACCTTGAGGCAGCTTGCTTTGAGGTCTACCCACCATCCTTCATTCAGAACCAAAATCAGAGCTCGCGGCGTCTTTCTGACGTCGCCGCAACCCCTGCAAAAGAAGCAGACGAACTTGCGCTCCGCATTGCAAACGCGGCCCTGCACCACGTGATCCCGATCGAGCGGTTGGAGACACTCTCAAACCTAGGCACACCACTTTTTTATCAGCAGCAGCTTGGAAAACCCATTCTCGATCAAGCTGGGTTTTTCCTCGTTTCCGGAGCGGCCATTGCTGATATGGCGAAGCGCAGATCCTCAAGGATGTATACACGTCCATTGTGATGTTGCCGTCGTCCTGTAGCGACTTCTGTTAACTTGTGCGTGTGTGTTCACTGCGTCGTGTGCTATTTACAACGGCTGCCAGTGTGAGTTCCTCATGATTTCTCCTCGTTTTTCCCTTTTTTTTTACGTGAACTGTGAGCTTAACTGTTGCACCTGTGGAAGTCTTACGGATCAATTATTAATATATTGTTTCGAGAATGGTCGTTATGCATGGTGTTTGGAGGTGTTCAGCGAGCTGGTAAAAATTGTGTCCGAATATTACAACACGGGTGTATACCCTTGCGACAAGGGACTGCCCCTCACAGATGCTAATGTAGATGACGAAAATGACAAAAATAATCCCTGGAGAAGGGGAACGAGAGGGACAGAGGACAAACACAAATCTCCAAACACAGCTAAGTGACTGGTGCGCGACCATTATAATCACTGGCGTAGATATTGCATACTATTTATGCGTAAGAAAGAAAGAAAGAAAAAAAAAAAGACATTGGAAACTATCAAACAATACAGTTGTCGCCATGAGAAAATATCGCATTTAATGGGTGAGTTAATATAATTGTCATATCATAGGAATATTTGAAATAGAAGATCATTGTTAAATTATTTGTTTTCTTTCCGTGTTTTTCGTTTTCTTAATTTGCATCTTGCGTAATGAGTTACATTAAAAAACAGAAGCAAACATTTTTAATTTTAACATTGCACAAAATACCTTTCCGGTTGCGTTCCTTACTTTGAACAAGCTTCTTTATAACAAAAAACATTGCCGGAAATATTGCCTTTTTTACGCTTCAAACATTTCGACATATATTATAATAGCACTGCCAAAAACGGCGAAAAATGTCACCTGACGTGCACATGGTCGTGTCCCCCGTGTGGCTCTTTCAAGAATGCCCAGACATAGCTGTACAAATAAAAACAGCATAACTGTGGTGTTTTGGAAAAAAAGATAACCGTGTTTTCGCTCATCGCAAAAATAAACTGCGCATTGCCGAACGCTCAGTTTCGGTCTAAATGTAACGTTGGCGGTTGGCCGACCGTATGCCGAAGTGTCAAAAATTAAAGCGATTTTTGGAAATTTTCAATAAAAAGATGGTGACCCGCGAAGTCCAAGGACACATGGAGATTAGTGGAATCCCCTACCGGGAGCGGGACCGTTGAAAATTAATGTTATCAAACTTTCATATCTGGTCCCATTGCATTGTTTATTTTTTCGGTAAAGAAAACGCTTTCTTTTTTGCTGGTAAACATTTGTTGCATATATTGAATTAAAAAAAATACATATAAAAACATTACATATAACGCAACCCGCTACCAATAACTACTTGTCCTTTTTTTCTCCGAAACACAGCAGTAAAGTTTATATACATAATTATTCACAAGCTCTCTCCACTTGCCAGCTGATTCCTAATACTGTAAACGACTTAAATTTCGCGAGAACCTAATTTTCGCGAATATCGCGAATCGCCTGCAAGTCGCGAAAAATAGGTGCCGCGAACAAATCCGGTAAAATGTGAACACATCGGAATTATAATGCAATTAAGTGCAAAGGTGCAAGCGAGCTGGCCAAGAATGACGAAAATAATCCCTAGAGAAGGGGAACAAGAGGGACAAAGGACAAACATAAATCTCCAAACACAGCTAGGTGACTGGTGAGCGACCGAAAAAATCCGCCTGGCGGATTTTTTCGGTCGCTCACCAGTCACCTAGCTGTGTTTGGAGATTTATGTTTGTCCTTTGTCCCTCTTGTTCCCCTTCTCCAGGGATTATTTTCGTCATTCTTGGCCAGCTCGCTTGCACCTTTGCATTTAATTGCATTATAATTAATGCAATTAAATGAAATTAAACGCAAATATATATATATATATATATATATATATATATATAGTGTCCCAAGCGGACCTTCTGCTGTAAAACGAGACGGAATATTCGGAACCTGCAGGTTGCTCAAACTTTCGCTGTTGCATTGAGCAGGTCAGTTTTACCGTGTGAAATTTCAAGGCGCAGTTCTCTCCTGTTAAAAATGAGTGCAAAAAAAGATTGCCTAAGTTAAGGTTGGGCGTGTTCACAGACGACCGAGCCAGTAACGAGAGCGACTATTTACTTGTGGCACCATCTCCCGATAGACGCCGCGAACAGACGATGTGCTCTGTTGTCTGGACGATGCGCCTATCGGGAGATAGCGCCACAGGTAAATAGTGTCGCTAACTCGGTCGTCTGCGAACGAGCTCAACCCTGACCTCGACAATTTTTTTGCTCTCCTTTTTCACGGGAAGAGAAGTGCGCTCCGAAATTTCACACGGTAAAGCGGACCTGCCCAATGCACATTCGGTGAAAGTATGCGCACCTTTTATGTGCAGGCGCCGATTTTTTCCGGCTCGTTTTACAGCGGAAAGTCCGCTTGGGAAACCCTACACCTTAGATATTCATAAAACAGACGATTCTCTTGAATGGATCACCCTTCATTTCTCGAAAGGTGAAAAAAAGGGGTGTAGAAAAGGGTGTTGCGCTGCAATGCAGAGTAGCAACAACATATATCCGCTTCAAACACGTCTAGCAGAGGTTGTTTTAGCGCCTTTATAGTTACGTGGAATAATATTTTGCCTGTAACGATGATGTGTATCTCGAGATAGGTTCCTTAAACTTCGGGATATTATGCTTCACCTGAAATATAGACCAGATTCTGGTCTATATTTCAGGTGAAGCATAATATCCCGAAGTTTGAGGAACCTATCTCGAAATACACATCATCGTTACAGGCAAAATATTCAGAACAATGTTCTGCATTCTTGTCTCGTGCGTGCATCATCTAGCCGTCTCCATTCGTCGTTTCTATGCATTTGTAAATTTGTAACCCATAAAGAAATATATATTTCCAGCACCCCGAGGGTGTTCCTGCAACGTGTCCTGATAGCCTAACTGCTAAAGCACTCTCTTAGAAAAAAAAAAAAGGTGTATTATTACACCCTTTGTTCCACATAATACACCCCAAAACTTCAGTTCGACGCACAGCGCACTGACGTTGATCTGACGGTACTAACCTTCACGAGAGGCTTGATAGCCGTGTGGTACAACTTACTAAAATAGCTAATGTACGTGTTACTGACAAAAAAAAATAATAATCGGGGTTTTATTGGCTCTACTGCAAAACCCCAGTGTTTTCTTTCTGTAGTCTTTGATACGTATTTTCCCTATTTAATAAGTCATATCGCACCGTTATCAATCCCCTCGTAAAATGTGGGACCGTCTGCTCGATTATAGTGCGCTGTACGCCGAATTGAAGTTTTGGGGTGCATTATATGGGACAAAAGGGTGTAAAGTGACACCCTTTTTTTCATGCATGCTGATTTGCACCCTTAGGCCGCGGACACACGGCCAATACACCGCACAAAGGAGAGTCTCCAGACACTGTCTGAGGCGTGTGTGCTCTTTGTTCGACGGTCACACGGGTTATACAAAAACTATCTGTAGACATGTCCCCGAACATAGACATTATGAAGGAAACATGCTTCGAACTTGTTTGAGCGTGTCCGAAGATTATCATGTCGGCAGACCGTGTCTTTGGTACGGTGTATATATGAGCAGTGCGACTGGGGTTTAATAACGGTGTTGCTCGGACACCCCTGACGGTATTACCCCCGTGACGTGCTGATTCACGCCCATACGGGTGTAAAAAATATTTGTTTTCAGATTCACGAACGAAGACACGCTATGGGCGGCGGACAATCGTCTCAGGTGCGTGGCATACATAGGCTCTCACGCCACGTCACAATAGAACGTGTGAGCGCGTGCTGAGCTTTTGGTCGCTTTCGGAAAGCAACCAAAAGCATACGCACAAGCGCCGAGACGTTAATTCGGCATCTTTATTTCTGTTAGATTTGACGGCTTGCCTAGGGTTTGATTCGGGGTTTGTGCAGAATTCTCCCCCTGGGGTGTAGGGGGAGGGGTGCACGAAAATCTACGATCCGCGATAGTGTTTATATGAGAAAGGAGAAAATTATCAAAATAGAAATAAACAAATAGCAACATTTATAGAAGAAAATAAGATAACACCGTCACAAATTAACTAATACCAGATAATACCTGGGTATGAATCTATATGGGTTCAACAACTTCAGTGGTTGTTGCGCTGTGCCGTCGGCGGGAACCTGATTCGTGGAGCATCTATGTAAGCGCCCTGCCAACAACAGCACCACTGCTGCGGCATGACGTCAGACTGACGTCATAGAAGCTGGCTTGTCATGCTGTCGGACGTCGCGATCCCGGCGGTTGGGGGCTAGAAATCGCAGTGACAAGCAAACGAGCGAACGCGAATGTCGCTGTCGTCACGTGGCCCCCTGGCTACGTGCTGAAACTTCCGAGAAACGTCGGGCTGGAGGGTGACCTGCAGCAGGACAGGCGTCTGCTGCGTGCACACCACCGCTGCCATGAAACCACCAGGACCGCGGCCGGTGACATGACATGTCTATGACGTCATTAAACGAAAATAGAGGAACCACTTTTTTTTTTTGATGAGGTAAACAACAGCTGGAGACGCGTTCCAGGCACCGTACCTCACGTACTTTGAGCTGGGCAGCGCTAACATACCTGGCCACCGGTACCGCCTATCCCCATATTCATATGTGGTAAAAGATAAGAGTGCGTGCCGCCCGCCTTTGAGATCATAGGCAGTTTTAGTAGAACGTTTTCAAAGGCCCGCTACCGCTACAGGCGCGCGCTTCAGAGCATGCATCGAAGTGGCAGCGCGAGCTCCCGCTACAAATAGCGTGACATGAAAACACGATCTACGAAAACTCTCTCATATAAGCCTGGGACGAGAATGTACCGCTGAGGTCAGTAGAAAGTCACTTGCGTGAAGTTACGCGGACGACGTAATTGGAAAATCCAATATCTTCGCCGAAAAAAACTTAGTTGACGTAACAACGTAATATTGTCACGAATGAAGGTGACGAGAGGATAAACAGTGAATTGAAAAAGGTTTGATCCGCGATCTTGTGCCAAGCAAAATAAAGAACGAGCGTCGAGACTGCAAAAAATCGTGTGGCGATCTGGCGGCGTAACAGCAAGCGAGAACGAGACTGACTCGACAAGATCATGGACAGCTCCTTATCTAGTGTGCATCGGCATCGCGAAAGTTCGACCCAGAAGGTTCGGACATCGAGCGATCGGGGTGAGAATTACCAGGCACTTTCGAGAACAATTGAAACTAGGACGAAATTATAGAAGTTATGTCCCCAGTAAGAATAAACGCGAATCTTCTAGAATTACGTGATCGAGCGTTGTTTGTTCGGCCCTGCGCGCGGCAATATATGTTCCAGCCAAACTACAAAAAAAAAATCGTTTGGTTTCAGAAGCAGTTCCACCAGTTCAAGAAACTGAGGAAGGAGCAAGCGCTGAGAGAAATGGAAATCTACCGAGAACATTACCCGGTACGTAAAACGCATGTGGGTCCGTGACAGCCATATTTCTAGCGTGAGAGCGGGATCGGTGCAGAAGTGTTGAGTAGTGGACCAGGTCGCCCCCCCCCCCCCCCCCCCCCCTTTCCCCTAAAAAAAATATTTTTTTTTTTAAGCACGAAAATAAACTACGCATCGCCGAACGCTCATTCTTCGCCCAAAATGCATAGCACTGGTGTTTCGAACCAGACGCAAAAGTTTCAGCACTAAACGTTCGTTTATTCAAAAGATATAAGTGATTTTTCGAAAATTTTAATGGGGAAATGGGGCTAATTTTTCGCCATTTTCGGTGGAGCTCTTGCGGCCGCCATTTTCCCAATGAAAATTTCAGAAATTCAGTTATAACGTTTGAATAAAACCACGGGTAGTGCTGAATCTTTGTCATCTGCAGGTTCTGACCACTAGCGGTATATATTTGGGCGGTGAATGAGTGTTCGACAAAACGTAGTTTACTTTTGCAATAATTATATATATATATAAAGAGAGAGAGAGAGAGGGAGAGGGAGAAGAAGAGGACACCCTGTATAAGTGAACATGTATAATGAATAACAGAGCACGAAAAAAAAAAAGAAACAGGGACACAACAAGAAGTAAACGGACGAGCACTCAGTGAGAGCGACCTATAAACGTCATCACTTTCCTTTGCATTAACAATCTCACAATTTCACAAAAAAAAAAAAATCCTTCTGCGATGTTAGTGCGACGAATGTACTGTGAATGTGGAAATAACCGAATGAGCGGAGATAAAAGTTTCCCTGTGCGTCATACTGTGTACTGATATCCGCGATATCGACGAGGGAATGACTGTTTTCAAGGAGGGGCTGCACAGAACTTGGGAGATGGGTTGCAATCACGTTGCAATGAACCTTTTTCACGTAAAGGAGACACCAATCGGCGAATACTGGAAGGGCGATCGGCGTCCGAAAGGAGAGTTTCGCTACCTCTTCTGGACTCTACCTCCTGCCGCCTCTGCGACTCAGGACTCAGGAGGGACTTAAGGCCCGTTCGCACGATGCATTTTTCTCGGGCATCTAGTGTCGAGAAATGTAGTTTCGCGAAATGGTTGCGCCGTCTGAACGAGTCCGAAAAGGACGCGCGCATCTAAAAAAAGTTGCGCGCACACCTCGCTTCTGGAGCGAGCTTTTGCTGAAACTTTGCCGAGTCCTGTCAATCACTCTGAGGGCGCCGCCAATGGCCGCTCAGAAACGCTCTCACGTGGCCTTTGAGGGGGGAGCGAGCTGTTTGAGAAGACCACTTCACTGCCGGTGTTGTAGCCGAGCCAAATCTGAAAAAAAAACCGAAACCACGAACGATGGATACTGCCGGCGCTTCCGCAAGCACGTCAAGCACCACTGAAGGAAAAGTAAGTAGGATATCGGAAAAAAATCCAGCGATGGACGAAGACGTAATTGGTGATGATGATAATTCGCGTATATTTTTAGTCATAATTAAGAAATAAAACCTTGAGACAAGGAAACAAAAAGGGACGTACACAGTACCTTCTCAAAACCAGCACAGCCTACAGCTCTCATTTACTTCCACAACAGTCTTCTTCTTTGTCAACCTCCAACCAAATTATACATATTCAACAGTAAATAAAGTAAATGGCACTAAATGACAATTCAACAACTAGTAAATGACAATTTAAGAGTAAATTAAGTATATGGAAGTAAATGACAGCTGTATGCTGTGCTGGTTTTAAGACGGTGGTGTGTATGTCCCTTTTTGTTTCTTTGTCTTAAAGGTTTTATTTCTTAATTATGATTGTTCACCAGCTCGCCTGCGTTTTGACTCTTAGAATGTGGCGGGAGATGGAGAACACGACGCTGAATGGCTAATGGTGATGATGATGATGTTGGCTTTCAACTGAAGCGCCACTTTATGGTCAACACCCAAACTATTTTCGCGAGTCTAAACGTCATCGTTGTTGCACGTGAAGTGGTACGTGTGAACGAGCACATTTCGCGAAACTTGAGTGTCGCGAAACTGTTGCGCGCCTAAAAGAGGCATCGTGTGAACAGACCTTAACACAGGTGAGCCGCCGATGCGGCAGGAGAGGTATACGTAATTCTCCCGCCGGGAGCTAACCGCCACGTGAAAAGGGTTGTCGCATCTGCAGAATTATTTTTAATGCGACAACTGTCTTTAGCTATGATGATAATGCAAAGGTGCAAGCGAGGTGGACAAGAATAACGATAACACGTGACGTCAATTTTTCCGCTAGCGGGGAAACTGAATTTGTCTGTAGCTCCCGTAACGTCTGATCTCGCGATATCAATTTTCCCGCCAAATTTAGCGAGGCAACTGAATTTGTCTGTAGGTACCGTGACATCAATTTTCCCGCCAAATTCAGCGGGGAGAGTGAATTGGGGTGCAGGTCACGTGGTGTAAATATTTCCACTAAATAAGGAGGAGAACAAGGGTGACTAAAGACAAATACAAATCTCTAAACACAGCTAGTTTACTGGTGCAGTGAGGTGCCCGACTGAAAAAATCCCCCTGGTACTTCTATCGAACCAGGAACCTCTTCATTTCCAATAGAGCGCTCTGTCAATTGAGCTAACCAAAAGTTAGACGTCACCAACAAGGGTGAACGGCCTGCTTTTTAAGGTTATGATGATAATGCAATTAATGCAAAGGTACAAGCGAGTTGGACAAAAATAACGATAATAATCCCTAGAAAGAAGGGACAAGGGGGGCAAAGGACAAACACAAACCTCCAAGCATAATGACTGGTGGAGGTCCCTGGTTCGATCGATACCAAGACCAAGAGAATTTTTTCTGGCGCGCACCAGTCACATAGCTGTGTTTGGAGATTTGTGTTTGTCCTTTGTCCCCCTTACTCCAGCTTACGTGCACCTTTGCATTAATTGCATTTTTATCATAACCTTAAAAGGCAGGCCAAGGCCGTTCACCCTTGTTGTTAGACTGGTGGCAGCTGTTAAAACTTAAAGCCCGTTTTCTCCACACTGACGTGTAACTGCTGGTTAGCTCAGTTCGTAGAGCTCTCCACTGGAAATGGAGAGGTAATTTGAAGATGTTCGATACTAGGGCCAGGCGGAAGTTTTCAGTCGCGCACCGGTCACCTATTCACGACTCCAGCGACCTGGGACGCCACTATCGGGAAAATATGGCGGTCAAATCCAGGTCCTACCGTGCGCCAGCTCAACGCATAATGCTGGGGCAGCAGCAAGTAAGCATTGGACTTAAAATTGGTTCCCCCGCGTTTTATCTTCCACGTTTCGAACCTGCGGCGATGTGTTGGGGTAAGCGAACTTCCAGAGCTTGAGTTTCTTCGAGGAAACGAGGAAAGGACTGCCCACTGTCCTTCCACGGTGCTGATGAACGTTGATAAACGCAGAATGTCTGGCTGATGCGGTTACATAGGCTGCGTGCAGAGCAACCTGGGTCACAAGGCGATACTAGGGTTACGACACAGTCACCGGTATAACTGTTCTGTCGCGCGAACCACCGACAACATGGAAACACGGAAGCCAGAAGAGACGAGCAGAAATCGCGAAGGGACGTGTTCCGGCCAGTTCAGTGTTTTCCAGCTAGGTGCCGTTCGTTTTGTTGGAGTCGCAAATAGCTGCGTTTGGAGATTTGTTTTTGTCCTTCGTCCCTCTTGTTCCCTTTCTGCAAGAATTATTGTCGTTATTCTTGTGCAGCTCGACTGCACCTTCGCATTAATTCCGTTATCATGATAACCTATATAGGCCGTTCACCCGTGTTGGTATTAGACTGGTAGCAGCTGTTAAAAGCCGTTTGCTCTACTGACGTCTAACTCCTGGTTAGCTCAGTTGATAAAACACTCCACTGGAAATAAAGAGGTCCCTACATGGTTCGACACCAGGACCAGGCAGATTTCTTCAGTCGCGCACCAGTCACCTAGCTGTGTTTGGAGATTTGTGTTTCTTCTGTGTCCCTCTTGTTCCCATTCTGCAGGAATTATTATCGTTATTCTTTAGCTACTTCACCCGGTTTTCGCAATACGCTATCTGGCCTCGAATCTCGCCGTGCATAGCGGGGCGCGCGCATCCAGAGGCGCCGCGCGGCGGCCGAATCCACGCATAGGAAAGAGGTCCGCATAAGCAGGCGCCGCGAGTATGCGGACGTCATACTCGACGTCGTCCTAGAGGTTGTCCTGGACGCCGTGTTCGACGTCGTCCTAGACGTCGTTCTTGAGGTCGTCCTAAAGATCGTCCTTGAGATCCTCCTTAAGGTCGTCCTTGAGATCGTCCTAGAGGTCGCTCTAGACGTCGTTTTTGACTCCATCCTCTAGGACGTCGTCCTAAAGGTCGCCCTTAAGCTCGCCCTAGAGGTCGCCCTTGATATCGCCCTACAAGGTCGCCCTAGACGTCTTCTTTGGCGTTGCCCTAGACGTCGTCCTAGCAGGGGTGGATCTAAAACTCAATTGTTTTCGTTTTTTTTTTTTTTTTTTGGGGGGGGGGGCAGAAAATTTGTAAGGATACTATTCTCCCACTCTTTCGTGTGCACCGGGGGGTCCCCCCATGTCAAATTGTTCTCCGAGAAGGGAGGACGACCTTGTTTGCCCCCCCCCCCCCCCCCCCCCCCCCCCATTCTTGGATCCGCCCCTGCGTCCTAGCGAGCAGATAAACCCGCGCCGGGCATTATACGAAGTAATCACTCGTGGCTTTGGCGTAATTAAACCCGCGCCGGGCATACATGAAGCGGCAGCACGCACACATTCAGAATGTGCGCCCAAGCTGTGTAGCAATTGTCGTTTTGAGTTGAGCTAGTTGATACATGGTCAATGATGGTGGTGAAACAACTTGAACATTAAACGATTACACAGAGACAAAACAAGACATACACACACGAAGCTGCAAAGATGGTGGGGAAACAGCTCGAACATTAAACGATTACACAGAGACAGAAGAATAAACGATTACACAGAGACGGAAGATTTCGTAGATTTCCCAATGTCGACCGCGCTTTCCGATCCCCATTGGTTTGTTTCGCGCGTTCTCCGCCAGGCCACGTCAGTTTTTCGTTCCCGTCTAAATTCTATTCTCGCACTTTTGACGCTATAGATGGCGTCGTGTCATTTCGGGTATCAGGCTATTACCAATTTCGAAGTGGCGCGCTGCAGTCGTGCTGACGGCAATGTTTGCGTCGTAAACCATTAATAAAATGAAGTGTCTACCCAAACTTCGACTCGCCGTATCCACAGCAAGTTGCGTTGTGAGCCTCGTGACGAATACTCTCGCAATTCATAGACAACCAACAATAGTAGTTCCTACAGCCAATTCTTTTTTTTTCAAAATGATTAACTCATTGATGCGCCCGTTACCCGTGTGTTCAATTATTCTTCACGACAGGACGACGTTGACGATCTTGGCCTGAACGAGAACTATCGGTTTTACCTGAACGAACTGGCATCCCGACCAAATGGTAAGCAAAAATCTATATATTCTTTTGAGCGCGTACCGTGTTTTTTGCTCTGCAACAAATGAACTGCACATCGCCGAGACCTCTGACCCTCAACGGTAGCGCCAGCAGGACACTTCAGAAATCGTGAGGCGACACGTCTCCGTCAAAAATTGTAGAAGTTAAAGCGACTGGCAATCCGGCAGTACGGTGTCTGTTGGAACACCACCAAGCAAACATACGGTTTTCCTCCTCGCTTCCTCCGCTTTTCGGTGACCTCGGTCAACACAGCCTAGAAGACAAGGCTGTAGCGCTAAGATTCTGGAGTCACCAGCGAAGGCCATTGCTCGACACAGGTTAGAAACGAGTGCAGCGTCAGCGATCGGCTTCGAGTCAAGTTTGAGCCAAACGTTGACGCAATCGTCGTGTCCAATCCGTGCCCGGCGTTTGCTTTCTCTGATGACGCCATCTCTATCAGCCCTACGGCTTTGTTATCTAGGAGGTGCCTCGGTGCTCGTCAGACTTGACGTCACACGCCACCTGCCAATGCTGTCCGTCTGTTACCGGGCCCTCGTATCCTTCCTTGGCCTTCCAACATTTTTTCGATCTTGCTCCATAGTAAGGGTTTTGTACCTTTGCATTCGAAGACCTACCCGCGTCCAGCGTTGCTCTATTGTGCTATCACGCGACACTGGCCGACGGAGTAGCGGAGGTGTGTGCGTGTGCGACTTGTAAAAAGACGAACGAAGGCCGATTGACCGACAGCCAACAGAGCTTGTGAGTGGTTGTCAGGACCCACGTGATGAGCATGCTGAAGAAAAACACAAACAAAAATTGACAAAACAAAAACGTTCTCCCTGGCAAAAAAAAAAAAAAAAAAAATGCGGACGGAAGCGGATTGTTGCACGACTAATGGCGAACTCCACTGTTCGTTTTGGAGTGCCTCGGGATCAGTAGAGATCCGAGATGGAGCACGCGATACGAAGGGAGTCGCTCCGCCTCCGGATCTCTAGTGGATCATGACCACACCTCCGGGATCGGCAGATGCCTCCCCGACATTCACCTTCCCGGGAATCTCCTTCTCGCGGTCCCGGATCTCGAGGCGAGATGCCCGGCGAAAAAGGAAGTCACGTGTGCTCGCCGAGGGCTGGCCAGGCCGGCTTCCGGTCGAATCCGCCGAAATCGCCGGAGCAACTTTTCTCGGATCCGGATCGAAATCTGGAGTGGGAGCTGATCCAAAACGATGAGTAGAACACGTCGGTCTCGATCTCGATCGCCCAGTGAAATAGGCGCACTCAAAAAAAGTCGATCCCGACGCGCTCCAAGACGACCAGCGGAATGATTTCTAAAGTCTCCTGTATCGACGAGCATTTAGACGCCAAAGTGTCAGAACTCAGAAGCAATTTTCTTGAAGTTTCAACGTGGAAACGACGATCAGCGGAGCGCGATGTATGCTGCTTCCAAAACTGAACCGCATTTTCTATTTCAATATTTATTAAAACCTCCTTTATATTTTAAATAAGATAGCGTTGACTTCTGAAACTTCCCTATCGCTATAGAATCAACATCGGGGAAAGTCTGAAGGTGCCTTATGAAATTAACCTAAAAATAAAAAAAACTTCAAGGTTTGTTATGGCGTGACCGAACTTACATCATTCTGCCCGTGACTATATGCACAATCCTGTCCCTTCGCTGCAGGCATTCTCATCGAAGACATGCTGTCGCAGTGGTGGGGCAAATACGACATCCTTGAAACGAACCACGACTACATGCCCTGGTAATGAGGCACTGAGCTTCTCCACACTGTTCCCAATGTCGACCGTGCTTTCCGATTCCCATGGGTTTGTTTCGCATGGCTACTTCAGTTTTTTTTTTTTTCCTGTTTAAATTTTATTCTTCTCGCATGTGTCATTTCGGGTATCAGGCTAGTCTACTGTGACTTATGCACCTTCCCTCCGCATATCACCAGTGCAAAATGTCAGTGGGCTGTGGGCGCGCGAGCGGTGTACAATATTCCGCAGAGCTATTGCGCATGCTCAGAACGCAATCCACAACGAATCGTCTTCTGCGAGCTCCAACCCACACCTGGTGTGGACAAATGCTGACTTGTTTGTAAACAGCGGGTCAGTGTATACGTTTTGCAAATACCTATAGGTTTCTATTCTTTTTTTTTTTTTGACACCGCTATATTTTGTTGCAGGTATGTGTATCCAATCGGTAGAAATTTGTGGCCCGCTGACAACATACAGAGCGTAACAGCACTCTGACTACCACAAAATCCCGATTGAACGCCCACCCCCGGTGAAGACGTAACTACTGTCGCTTGCGAGCCCAAACGCTACGATATATGGAGCACGTGGTAAGGTGCTTAAAGCTCGAAGCGCAAGTAAGGGCGAAGACGGTTTACTTATATCATGACTAGATCGAGAATAATAATAATAAAAAACAAGCATGTGGGACAGAGTTTTTAGAATCATTAGTTTGTTCATGATAGATTTAGTCGGGGTGACCCAAAAATAGCTAATTTGTGAAGCAAACAAAGCGTGATAAACTTGAACCTTAATATTTGTAGGCAAAATTAAACGGCAATGACCGATTATGCCAACTATTTTAGCCAATTTATAAACCAAATATTCTACACGATCATCCCATTGCATATGTTCTGAAAAATGACACCTAGAGTGTTTACTATTTCAATGCCGGTACCAATGTTTACAGTATAATTTTTAACGATGTACATATTTATAGATATAAATACGATAGCCTTTGACTTAGCAGAATTTACTTTCAGTATTTTTTTTTTCCGTCCATAAAAGTGCCGTAGCCACTTCAAGTTAGCATTTCCGTCAGCTACATGTTCATTCATATTCGTCGCAGACAGAAACATAATTTAATGTCGTCAGATGACACGTGAGTTTTGACCAATGTTGACTATATCATTAACATAAACATTGAATAGCAGCCTGTCAAGTATATACTGCCCTGAAGCACACCATACTTCAAGAGTCGAAAAGAACAAACACAATCATTCACTAAGTCGTACTGCTTGCACTGGTTCTAGATACAAATGAATACGTAATAAAGAGGTCCCCCGCATGCCACGTGAGTTTATCCAGGAGCGTTGTATGGTTAAGACAGGCGAAAGCTGTACTGAAGTCT